TGGTGTTTGGCCTCGTCGGGGCTCGGCGGGGTCTTCCTTATGAGGAGGACGGATACGGATTTTGTTGTTATGCCTGCTGTCTCCCTCGTTTCTTTTCTGTTTGATTCACGTTGGTCCTAAACAGTAGTTTTAGTGGGGCAGCGCAACTCGGCCTCCACCTCTTGCTCTTCGTGTGGCACTACCACGTCCCAGTTCTTCAATGATCATGAGAGATTCATTACCTTTTGGATTGGAATACCCTTAAGAAATGGGTTCTTCACGCACGGGAAAGCCACTTTGTGGCACCAGAGCTTTTCGCAATCATAGGAAGGTGCCAGATCTGAATATATTTTGCACACATTTTCAAAGGACGATGACTTGATAGTGTACCTAAAAAAAGTTCAGTTGCATGAATTACATGTGAAGGCTGGTTGAAACTTTGAGCTCGAGAAGAGCATCACATTATACTTACCACACTTTGGGTTCACCCACATGAACATAAATAATGGAGTACAAATTCATTTCTTCGACATGTAAGAAGAAGGGTGAACCACATTCTGCCACAAATAAAGTGGGACTTGAAGAGCCTCTTACATCGAGGGACATTTCTTTCATTTTGGTGTTATAATAGTCTGGCAATTTCCGCAAGTTCCACTCCTGAAAAACAGATAAAAAATCAATTTTTTAGTCATCTTACGATATTATAAAGAAAAACAAGACCATCTCTCTAGAGAATTACCTTCAACTTGGTACTGAACAGACTCTGTGTGTCGACATCTGTACAATACTGTACATCATCGAAGGCAGCTTTCCATTTGGTTTGATTCCCCACACCTCGTCCTAATCCCCACCGCCCATATCTGACTCAAAAGTGGACAAAATGGCATAAACATACATCTAAGTCCTGCGGCGAACCACTGAAACAAAAGAAATGCATACGTTGACAGGCACATACTCGTGAAACATGCACAGCAACCAGACCGCAACCGGGTAACATTTTCGTTACACAAGCGGGAGCATCTTTCGTACGGGCGAAAGACAAGTGCTGAATCGGTTCAAGACCAAATAATACGGAGGACGGATACGGATTTTGTCGTTATGCCTGCTGTCTCCCTCGTTTCTTTTCTGTTTGGTTCACCTTGGTCCTAAACAGTAGCTATGACGCGCAATCCACTTTCTTTAAGAGCAGATTTAGACTCATTAATTGGTTGTTTGAATACAACTCCTTAAGGGGGCTCATACATGTTAAAAGCACTTTTTTTAAAAAAAAATTTTTATGTAGACGGATTAAGATTTTACAATTTCTGTGTTAAAATCCTTTTAGATAATTGAGTAAGCTTCATTTTGGCTTAAGGGAAAGTGACTTTGGACATTTTTTGGAGATTTAGTCGAAACGTTTAAAATTTTGCTTCTCGTAAGATTTTGTTCGCATACTTGCTCAGATCTGTGGGGAAAAAATCAGGGAGACTCATCCCCAGTAGTGTCATAGAATTGACTAGAATGGGCTTTATATCTGCAATAGTTTTCAAGAAAAAAAATAAAAACAATTTTTTGTTGAAAAATTTGTTTAAAAAATTGTTAAAAAAATTGTTTTTATTTTTTTTCTTGAAAACTATTGCAGATATAAAGCCCATTCTAGTCAATTCTATGACACTACTGGGGATGAGTCTCCCTGATTTTTTCCCCACAGATCTGAGCAAGTATGCGAACAAAATCTTACGAGAAGCAAAATTTTAAACGTTTCGACTAAATCTCCAAAAAATGTCCAAAGTCACTTTCCCTTAAGCCAAAATGAAGCTTACTCAATTATCTTAAAGGATTTTAACACAGAAATTGTAAAATCTTAATCCGTCTACATCAAAATTTTTTTTTAAAAAAGTGCTTTTAACATGTATGAGCCCCCTTAACATCCCCTCATAAAGTGGAAAACTACTGACATCTTGTGCCATCATCACTTTTCGGAATGCCACTATCACCATAAGTAATCTTCAAAAAACTCACCATTGTCACAGCCCATACCCGCCTGTGCACTAGAATTAACTAGTGAAAGTCGAAGACTTGTGCTGAGCAAGGCCCTTTCGGGCATGTTCTTAAGGGGGCTCATACTTGTTAAGAGCACTTTGTTAAAAAAATTTTTTTGATGTAGACGGATTAAGATTTTACAATTTCTGTGTTAAAATCCTTTTAGATAATTGAGTAAGCTTCATTTTGGCTTAAGGGAAAGTGACTTTGGACATTTTTTGGAGATTTAGTCGAAACGTTTAAAATTTTGCTTCTCGTAAGATTTTGTTCGCATACTTGCTCAGATCTGTGGGGAAAAAATCAGGGAGACTCATCCCCAGTAGTGTCATAGAATTGACTAGAATGGGCTTTATATCTGCAATAGTTTTCAAGAAAAAAAATAAAAACAATTTTTTGTTGAAAAATTTGTTTAAAAAATTGTTAAAAAAATTGTTTTTATTTTTTTTCTTGAAAACTATTGCAGATATAAAGCCCATTCTAGTCAATTCTATGACACTACTGGGGATGAGTCTCCCTGATTTTTTCCCCACAGATCTGAGCAAGTATGCGAACAAAATCTTACGAGAAGCAAAATTTTAAACGTTTCGACTAAATCTCCAAAAAATGTCCAAAGTCACTTTCCCTTAAGCCAAAATGAAGCTTACTCAATTATCTAAAAGGATTTTAACTCAGAAATTGTAAAATCTTAATCCGTCTACATCAAAATTTTTTTTAAAAAAAAGGGCTTTTAACATGTATGAGCCCCCTTAAGACTTCAAGTAACAAGTTTCAAAGAAAAGTAAAAATTAAAAAAACACGGCAAATACCCGGCGAAGGCCTCAGACCAGGCGGTAGAAAGAATTTAGGAACTGAGTGACGTCACCGGTTTAGACAGTGTCGTGATTTCGGAAACGGCACAGGTTGTTTCGGTGAGTTGGTGCGTTCCGAAACTAAATGGACTCAACCTATCCTAACCTAACCTAACGGAGATTGACAGATACCCTCTAACGCAACAGATACCGTCTAAACGAGGCATTCATATTCACATTCAAAAATACCGCTTCTTTACACATTACGAAAACGTACACGAGCTACCAACACAGCCATACTCTAAGTCCAATATTTACTATTGTCATTTTTATTATACAACTTTAAAAGCAAAAGAAAATGACAATGCAACACATTCAAATTAAGAAAAAAGAAAAAGATCCATTTGGAATTAAAATTACGTAGAAAAAGCAATGCGAAAATAACTCAGATAAAGGCAAGGGTAATGTTGGCAGCATTGGATGAGATTCTAGTCAAAATTGCAGAGTCCATGTCTCAAGGTCCGATCCCCAAGGGCTTCGCAGTTGAAGTGAGGTTAAAGAACAAAAACAAAGTTCAAATTTATGGTTGGCTCAGCAATAACATGCACACTGCACACCTTGTATTTTCTCATCAAAAGCGATGCAAGCAATAACCCTTAATCATCCCTGCCTCTACATCGTGAAAAAATCTCTTTTTGATGTGCATTTCACCGGACATCAATATGACTCTCGTATCCCTATGGCAGCCTTGCTCGAGGGGATCACTTACTTATCTTGCCGGACTCAGCATGGCCTGGACTTGGACATCCTCGCCAAGACCCTTGGCGGGGGGGGGGGGGGCGAATGTCAGTGGGGCAGCGCAACTCAGCCTCCACCTCTTGCTCTTCGTGTGGCACTACCACGTCCCAGTTCTTCTCGGCATATCGTTCCTGCACACCACATCCAAGCATGTTATCAGGGTCGCTGTCGGCCGCCGCCCGCGGGATCCTGGCCCGGACGATGGCCCTCGGAGCGAGATTGTCGTCCTCCATGATGAAGCGCTGCGGTAGGGCGAAGCGCTCCTCACGTTCTGGCCCGCCGTCTTCACTCGTCTCCTTCATGGACACGATCCACGCCGAATTCCTACAACATAAATCAAAAGACAGCTAGCTCCAAGCTGGCACCTAGGCGGTCGACGAGGCCCCTCCGTTACACACCTCGTCCCAATCCCCGCCGCCGGTCATTGAGTGGAGAAGCTCCATCGCTTGCCCTTGCCCAGCACCTCGTTCAACTCCACGCACTCGAGGGACCTGTTGAGGGGCTGCTGCCGCAACAGCAGATGTATCCCCAACCTGCAGGGTTTCTCATTCCTGGATTGTTAAAGTACCTCCACATGTCATAAGCGATACTGCCACTTATTCTCCCCTTTTTTACCCGATGCCACCACTTGTTAGCACTCTGGTGAATTGTCATAAAATAGTAGCATTCAGTTTAGTATACGTCTTACTCTGCTAAGTGCTACATACAACTGTCCATGAGTGAAGCACTCAGTGCGTAAATCGACTCCGACCACTTTAATGGTTTGTCCCTGACCCTTGTGCACGGACATAGCCCAGGCCAGTTGGAGAGGGAATTGTCATAGATGAAAATTTGCCGGATGTTGCCGCATGGGAAGAGTACATTGTGGACAGTGACAATGTGAGCCAGTTCGGTGAGCATTTAATGGCTCTCGAGTCAGCCGTTTTTATTGAAGAAACACATTTTTGTATCGTTTTGGCAACAGGAAAAAGGCTTACACTTTCACGTTTTGTTTTTTCCCTTGTTTTCACCTTGCTGCACTTGTGAGGGCTTAGGCTTCCACAGTGGGCCCAGCTCCGCAGCCAGCTGCGGGACCTCAGCCAAATGGAAAGGTTCAAGGTGGTGTTCTGCAGCGGATCGGGCGAAGGAGGCCAGCCTCGCGTGGATGTGCCGCTGCCGCCTCGACGGGACCAGCGACTCGCACCGCGGCAGCATCACGCCCCGCATGACGCGCGGCACGACGCGCAGACGCTGTCCGAGCTGCCGGTAGAACGCCATCCGGGGGCTGCCAGGCGGCTGGAGGCGCACCTTCCGCACTAGCGGCACGGGCTCCTCCATCGGCGGCTTCTTCCAGTACACCTTCGGGGGCCGCGCGATCACCTCCGCAGAGCGGGCCGCGGGCCACTCTGGCCGCTGGTCCTCCCGCGTCCCGTCTCCCAGCAACGGGACGAGATGGCTGCAGTCCCGGTCCTGGTAGTCACCCTCGTCTGCGGCCAGAGACGCGAGGATGACGGGACTCAACACTCGCACCGGCAACCTGCCAGGGTGGTCCCTGGGAAAGGGGATGGAGGGCCCATAATAGATGTTGAAGTCCACCGCGAAGAGCCCTGGGCACTTCATAGATGGTAGAAGTGGGAAATTCATAGATGACTTCCTGCGCAAACCACCAAGTGTGCAAACACTTCAGTTCCTCCCTTTTGTCGAACAGCATATTCACCACAATCATGGCGTCAATGCCGGCACGGAGGGTGAGGCCATGACCATGGCTGCTTCTGCCAAGTATTTGCCCGGTCGTTAAACACAGAGTTTGTGGTGATTTTGTAGAAGATGGATTTGGATAGAGAGCGGAATGACGAGTCACATGTTGATAGGACGGTGTATTCAGAACAAGTGAAGCGGATACATTGAGAAGCAATATGGCTGACAAAACGGAAACAACTTACAGACTAATTACAAACTATACGACAAGGCAGTGTGTACTACCAACTGCTGCACTATGTCAGGACTATAAGTAGGTGCTAAATTAATTCAACATACGTCCACACCTCCATCTGGCACACCCAAACAAAGATGGACGTGTCATGAGGGACCAGGAGGAGCACTACTTGAATCTTTGAATGTGAGGCCCGGAACCATTTGCAGAGACTCATCTCGCTGGAATTTCTCCAACCATTCAATATGTTCAATATTAACCATGGCAGAAGGCAAATCAAACTGAAACAATGCAAGCCGGCAACTCAATAAATCGATTACAACAGAGACATTCGTTGAGAGATTTAAATACATGAACGGGGTCAGCAACACATCTCAATTTAAAATCAGGAGAAACTGGGTTGGGAATACAATATTTAATATTACCTGATTGGGACCAAACCCAAGTTTACTTAACAGAGACCTGTTCAGGAGCACTGCTCCCTCGGTTGATGGATCCTGCAATATGAAACTGAAAATGTCAACACTCGTTTAGTGTCATGGCACCAGCAGAAGAAAGAGTCGAAATGGAGAGAGGGCAGATACACCTCGTTGATGACGCACCACTGAACTAAATTTTCTTTACACACTACTGGGAGACCCACAATGGCGCAGTGTCGTTCAGCATCTGAAAATAGATTCGCATAACATACCGCAGACAAGATGGCATAGGGCAGCGTAACTTGTTACGCTGGAATGACTCTGTATGGACCTATGGACTACATTCAAGGGCATAACCCTCAGTAACTCATATCTGACTCAAAAGTGGACAAAATGGCATAAACATACATCTAAGTCCTGCGGCGAACCACTGAAACAAAAGAAATGCATACGTTGACAGGCACATACTCGTGAAACATGCACAGCAACCAGACCGCAACCGGGTAACATTTTCGTTACACAAGCGGGAGCATCTTTCGTACGGGCGAAAGACAAGTGCTGAATCGGTTCAAGACCAAATAATACGGAGGACGGATACGGATTTTGTCGTTATGCCTGCTGTCTCCCTCGTTTCTTTTCTGTTTGGTTCACCTTGGTCCTAAACAGTAGCTATGACGCGCAATCCACTTTCTTTAAGAGCAGATTTAGACTCATTAATTGGTTGTTTGAATACAACTCCTTCACATCCCCTCATAAAGTGGAAAACTACTGACATCTTGTGCCATCATCACTTTTCGGAATGCCACTATCACCATAAGTAATCTTCAAAAAAACTCACCATTGTCACAGCCCACCCGCCTGTGCACTAGAATTAATAACATGCACACTGCACACCTTGTATTTTCTCATCAGAAGCGATGCAAGCAATAACCCTTAATCATCCCTGCCTCTACATCGTGAAAAAATCTCTTTTTGATGTGCATTTCACCGGACATCAATATGACTCTCGTATCCCTATGGCAGCCTTGCTCGAGGGGATCACTTATCTTGCCGGACTCAGCATGGCCTGGACTTGGACATCCTCGCCAAGACCCTTGGCGGGGGGGGCGAATGTCAGTGGGGCAGCGCAACTCGGCCTCCACCTCTTGCTCTTCGTGTGGCACTACCACGTCCCAGTTCTTCTCGGCATATCGTTCCTGCACACCACATCCTAGCATGTTATCAGGGTCGCTGTCGGCCGCCGCCCGCGGGATCCTGGCCCGGACGATGGCCCTCGGAGCGAGATTGTCGTCCTCCATGATGAAGCGCTGCGGTAGGGCGAAGCGCTCCTCACGTTCTGGCCCGCCGTCTTCACTCGTCTCCTTCATGGACACGATCCACGCTGAATTCCTACAACATAAATCAAAAGACAGCTAGCTCCAAGCTGGCACCTAGGCGGTCGACGAGGCCCCTCCGTTACACACCTCGTCCCAATCCCCGCCGCCGGTCATTGAGTGGAGAAGCTCCATCGCTTGCCCTTGCCCAGCACCTCGTTCAACTCCACGCACTCGAGGGACCTGTTGAGGGGCTGCTGCCGCAACAGCAGATGTATCCCCAACCTGCAGGGTTTCTCATTCCTGGATTGTTAAAGTACCTCCACATGTCATAAGCGATACTGCCACTTATTCTCCCCTTTTTTACCCGATGCCACCACTTGTTAGCACTCTGGTGAATTGTCATAAAATAGTAGCATTCATTTTAGTATAAGTCTTACTCTGCTAAGTGCTACATACAACTGTCCATGAGTGAAGCACTCAGTGCGTAAATCGACTCCGACCACTTTAATGGTTTGTCCCTGACCCTTGTGCACTGACATAGCCCAGGCCAGTTGGAGAGGGAATTGTCATAGATGAAAATTTGCCGGATGTTGCCGCATGGGAAGAGTACATTGTGGACAGTGACAATGTGAGCCAGTTCGGTGAGCATTTAATGGCTCTCGAGTCAGCCGTTTTTATTGAAGAAACACATTTTTGTATCGTTTTGGCAACAGGAAAAAGGCTTACACTTTCACGTTTTGTTTTTTCCCTTGTTTTCACCTTGCTGCACTTGTGAGGGCTTAGGCTTCCACAGTGGGCCCAGCTCCGCAGCCAGCTGCGGGACCTCAGCCAAATGGAAAGGTTCAAGGTGGTGTTCTGCAGCGGATCGGGCGAAGGAGGCCAGCCTCGCGTGGATGTGCCGCTGCCGCCTCGACGGGACCAGCGACTCGCACCGCGGCAGCATCACGCCCCGCATGACGCGCGGCACGACGCGCAGACGCTGTCCGAGCTGCCGGTAGAACGCCATCCGGGGCTGCCAGGCGGCTGGAGGCGCACCTTCCGCACTAGCGGCACGGGCTCCTCCATCGGCGGCTTCTTCCAGTACACCTTCGGGGGGCCCCGCGATCACCTCCGCAGAGCGGGCCGCGGGCCACTCTGGGCCCCTGGTCCTCCCGCGTCCCGTCTCCCAGCAACGGGACGAGATGGCTGCAGTCCCGGTCCTGGTAGTCACCCTCGTCTGCGGCCAGAGACGCGAGGATGACGGGACTCAACACTCGCACCGGCAACCTGCCAGGGTGGTCCCGGGGAAAGGGGATGGAGGGGCCCCTAATAGATGTTGAAGTCCACCGCGAAGAGCCCTGGGCACTTGGTAGAAGTGGGAAATTCATAGATGACTTCCTGCGCAAACCACCAAGTGTGCAAACACTTCAGTTCCTCCCTTTTGTCGAACAGCATATTCACCACAATCATGGCGTCAATGCCGGCACGGAGGGTGAGGCCATGACCATGGCTGCTTCTGCCAAGTATTTGCCCGGTCGTTAAACACAGAGTTTGTGGTGATTTTGTAGAAGATGGATTTGGATAGAGAGCGGAATGACGAGTCACATGTTGATAGGACGGTGTATTCAGAACAAGTGAAGCGGATACATTGAGAAGCAATATGGCTGACAAAACGGAAACAACTTACAGACTAATTACAAACTATACGACAAGGCAGTGTGTACTACCAACTGCTGCACTATGTCAGGACTATAAGTAGGTGCTAAATTAATTCAACATACGTCCACACCTCCATCTGGCACACCCTAACAAAGATGGACGTGTCATGAGGGACCAGGAGGAGCACTACTTGCATCTTTGAATGTGAGGCCCGGAACCATTTGCGGAGACTCATCTCGCTGGAATTTCTCCAACCATTCAATATGTTCAATATTAACCATGGCAGAAGGCAAATCAAACTGAAACAATGCAAGCCGGCAACTCAATAAATCGATTACAACAGAGACATTCGTTGAGAGATTTAAACACATCTCAATTTGAGAAACTGGGTTGGGAATACAATATTTAATATTACCTGATTGGGACCAAACCCAAGTTTACTTAACAGAGACCTGTTCAGGAGCACTGCTCCCTCGGTTGATCGATCCTGCAATATGAAACTGAAAATGTCAACACTCGTTTAGTGTCATGGCACCAGCAGAAGAAAGAGTCGAAATGGAGAGAGGGCAGATACACCTCGTTGATGACGCACCACTGAACTAAATTTTCTTTACACACTACTGGGAGACCCACAATGGCGCAGTGTCGTTCAGCATCTGAAAATAGATTCGCATAACATACCGCAGACAAGATGGCATAGGGCAGCGTAACTTGTTACGCTGGAATGACTCTGTATGGACCAATGGACTACATACAAGGGCATAACCCTCAGTAACTCATATCTGACTCAAAAGTGGACAAAATGGCATAAACATACATCTAAGTCCTGCGGCGAACCACTGAAACGAAAGAAATGCATACGTTGACAGGCACATACTCGTGAAACATGCACAGCAACCTGACCGCAACCGGGTAACATTTTCGTTACACAAGCGGGAGCATCTTTCGTACGGGCGAAAGACAAGTGCTGAATCGGTTCAAGACCAAATAATACGGAGGACGGATACGGATTTTGTCGTTATGCCTGCTGTCTCCCTCGTTTCTTTTCTGTTTGGTTCACCTTGGTCCTAAACAGTAGCTATGACGCGCAATCCACTTTCTTTAAGAGCAGATTTAGACTCATTAATTGGTTGTTTGAATACAACTCCTTAACATCCCCTCATAAAGTGGAAAACTACTGACACCTTGTTCCATCATCACTTTTCGGAATGCCACTATCACCATAAGTAATCTTCAAAAAACTCACCATTGTCACAGCCCATACCCGCCTGTGCACTAGAATTAATAACATGCACACTGCACACCTTGTATTTTCTCATCTTCATCAAAAGCGATGCAAGCAATAACCCTTAATCATCCCTGCCTCTACATCGTGAAAAAATCTCTTTTTGATGTGCATTTCACCGGACATCAATATGACTCTCGTATCCCTATGGCAGCCTTGCTCGAGGGGATCACTTATCTTGCCGGACTCAGCATGGCCTGGACTTGGACATCCTCGCCAAGACCCTTGGCGGGGGGGCGAATGTCAGTGGGGCAGCGCAACTCGGCCTCCACCTCTTGCTCTTCGTGTGGCACTACCACGTCCCAGTTCTTCTCGGCATATCGTTCCTGCACACCACATCCTAGCATGTTATCAGGGTCGCTGTCGGCCGCCGCCCGCGGGATCCTGGCCCGGACGATGGCCCTCGGAGCGAGATTGTCGTCCTCCATGATGAAGCGCTGCGGTAGGGCGAAGCGCTCCTCACGTTCTGGCCCGCCGTCTTCACTCGTCTCCTTCATGGACACGATCCACGCCGAATTTCTACAACATAAATCAAAAGACAGCTAGCTCCAAGCTGGCACCTAGGCGGTCGACGAGGCCCCTCCGTTACACACCTCGTCCCAATCCCCGCCGCCGGTCATTGAGTGGAGAAGCTCCATCGCTTGCCCTTGCCCAGCACCTCGTCCAACTCCACGCACTCGAGGGACCTGTTGAGGGGCTGCTGCCGCAACAGCAGATGTATCCCCAACCTGCAGGGTTTCTCATTCCTGGATTGTTAAAGTACCTCCACATGTCATAAGCGATACTGCCACTTATTCTCCCCTTTTTTACCCGATGCCACCACTTGTTAGCACTCTGGTGAATTGTCATAAAATAGTAGCATTCATTTTAGTATAAGTCTTACTCTGCTAAGTGCTACATACAACTGTCCATGAGTGAAGCACTCAGTGCGCAAATCGACTCCGACCACTTTAATGGTTTGTCCCTGACCCTTGTGCACGGACATAGCCCAGGCCAGTTGGAGAGGGAATTGTCATAGATGAAAATTTGCCGGATGTTGCCGCATGGGAAGAGAACATTGTGGACAGTGACAATGTGAGCCAGTTCGGTGAGCATTTAATGGCTCTCGAGTCAGCCGTTTTTATTGAAGAAACACATTTTTGTATCGTTTTGGCAACAGGAAAAAGGCTTACACTTTTTGTTTTTTCCCTTGTTTTCACCTTGCTGCACTTGTGAGGGCTTAGGCTTCCACAGTGGGCCCAGCTCCGCAGCCAGCTGCGGGACCTCAGCCAAATGGAAAGGTTCAAGGTGGTGTTCAGCAGCGGATCGGGCGAAGGAGGCCAGCCTCGCGTGGATGTGCCGCTGCCGCCTCGACGGGACCAGCGACTCGCACCGCGGCAGCATCATGCCCCGCATGACGCGCGGCACGACGCGCAGACGCTGTCCGAGCTGCCGGTAGAACGCCATCCGGGGGCTGCCAGGCGGCTGGAGGCGCACCTTCCGCACTAGCGGCACGGGCTCCTCCATCGGCGGCTTCTTCCAGTACACCTTCGGGGGCCGCGCGATCACCTCCGCAGAGCGGGCCGCGGGCCACTCTGGCCGCTGGTCCTCCCGCGTCCCGTCTCCCAGCAACGGGACGAGATGGCTGCAGTCCCGGTCCTGGTAGTCACCCTCGTCTGCGGCCAGAGACGCGAGGATGACGGGACTCAACACTCGCACCGGCAACCTGCCAGGGTGGTCCCTGGGAAAGGGGATGGAGGGCCCATAATAGATGTTGAAGTCCACCGCGAAGAGCCCTGGGCACTTCATAGATGGTAGAAGTGGGAAATTCATAGATGACTTCCTGCGCAAACCACCAAGTGTGCAAACACTTCAGTTCCTCCCTCCCGTCGAACAGCGTATTCACCAAAATCATGGCGTCAATGCCGGCGCGGAGGGTGAGGCCATGACCATGGCTGCTTCTGCCAAGTATTTGCCCGGTTGTTAAACACAGAGTTTGTGGTGATTTTGTAGAAGATGGATTTGGATAAGGAGCGGCATGACGAGTCACATGTTGATAGGACGGAGTATTCAGAACAAGTGAAGCGGATACAGAGAGAAGCAATATGGCTTACAAAACGGTAACAACTTACAGACTAATTACAAACTATACGACAAGGCAGTGCACTGTGGCAAAAAGCTACGGAAAATTCTGTAAACAGCTTGTGGTAACTCTCCGTAGCCCCCTTATTAATATTCTCCGTAGGCTCCTACAGTATTTTCCGTAGGACCGCACAGTATTCTCCGTAGGACCTTACAGTAATCTCCGTAGGACTATACAGTCTTCCAGGTCCTACGGAGAAGACTGTGCGGACTTACAGAGAATACTGTGCGGCCCTACGGAGAATACTGTAAGAGCCTACGGAGAATATTGATAAGAGGGCTACGGAGAATCCTGGCAAAAAAATTAACAGAATTTTCCGTACCTTTTTGCCACAGTGTAGGCTGCACTGCACTCTGAAAACCGTACAAACTACTAGGCCTTACAAACAGAAGTAGCTTGGTAGCTTGGCACTCAACTGATACTACCAAACTGCTGCACTATGTCAGGACTATAACTAGGGGCTAAATTAATTCAACATACGTCCACACCTCCATCTGGCACACCCCAACAAAGATGGACGTGTCATGAGGGACCAGGAGGAGCACTCAGATTCAGATACTTTATTTGTCTTTCACATACACATATGCTGACATCGTCACTACTTGCATCTTTGAATGTGAGGCCCGGAACCATTTGCAGAGACTCATCTCGCTGGAATTTCTCCAACCATTCAATATGTTCAATATTAACCATGGCAGAAGGCAAATCAAACTGTGAAACAATGCAAGCCGGCAACTCAATAAATCGATTAGGACAGAGACATTCGTTGAGAGATTTAAACACATGAACGGGGTCAGCAACACATCTCAATTTGAGATCAGGAGAAACTGGGTTGGGAATACAATATTTAATATTACCTGATTGGGACCAAACCCAAGTTGACTTATCACAGACCTGTTCAGGAGCACTGTTCCCTCGGTTGCTGGATCCAGCAATATGAAACTGAAATTGTCAACACTTGTTTAGTGTCATGGTACCAGTAGAAGAAAGAGTCGAAATGGAGAGAGGGCAGATACACCTCGTTGATGACGCGTGTATGGACCTACGGACTACATTCAAGGGCATAACCCTCAGTAACTCACATCTGATTCAACAATGGACGAAATGGCATAAACATACATCTAAGTCCTGCGGCGAACCACTGAAACAGAAGAAATGCATACGTTGACAGGCACATACTCGTGAAACATGCACAGCAACAACAAGACCGCAACCGGGTAGACGGACCGCAGTGCACTGCGTTCGGGGCCGCTGTCATCTGTCATAAATGTGGCGGGCTCACCTTTCCCCCGGAGGCTGACGGCCCCGCGGCCTCGCGCACCGTCCTGAAGGACGCCGTGTAGTTGACCTCTGTCTGCTCCTGCACTGACAAAAATTTTGTCGTAACTTACCAACACATTTATCGCTAATTTTTTTAGCGACAAGATTTGTTGTGGAACGAATAGCTTGTTAAACCAAACTCGCACTGGAACTAAAGGATAATTTCACAACGACTAACTTGTAATAACACATTAGCAGTCTACTTTCTGTTGGTCAACGACAAGTGTTGTAAGTCGAAAAAGATTTTGTAATGTCTGGGACAAGTTTTCATGGAGTACTTTTGTCGCTAAATTTATTTTGCCAAATTCTTTTTTTAATAATAGTAATGTTGCTATGACAAGAAGACCAATAGATGATTATTCATAATTTGCTTCAATTGAGCAGATAATTGCAAAAGATTTTGTTTCCATACAAATAGTATCGTTAAGGGTGATGACAAGAATTTTGTTCTTCAACGACAAATTGTCGCTTACAAGATTCAACGACATTTCTTTCGCTTTGGTTCATGATAAAATTCTTTGTTTTTGATCGACTAAATTTTCACTCATCTGATTGTTTCTATACAACCATTTTTTAACAGTGTGGTGCAAGACGCAGGCAAGGGGAATTCCTCCGACCTTCGACGCACCGAACATGAACGTCACCACACTGCCTCCCTGATCACACGACGCTCTCCAGTCCACAAAGACGACTTCTCTGGCGAAGTCTTGTTCATGGGCCCTTTTCATCACCGGGGTGAGAACCACAATGATGAGCGGGTCCTCCTGGATGTGCAAAGTGATGCCCATTTCGGCGTGGTCTGCCTGCTTCCGCCGAAGAAGCTCCGCCATGCTGGATGGCGTGCGGTCCCCAAACTGGCTCGTCCTGCAACAAAACCCGAACCTAATTATGAAACTGTCGGTACTGTTGCATTTTCATTCTAATCCAAAATAAAAATCAATTACCAACAGACTTTTCTACAAACATGGTAGATCTGGTAAACCTGATGGTACCACAGGTTGACATTGTCCTGCCTCCACGATGAAATTCTCAGGGCCGATCTGGTCCAGAAGCATTACTTAATGGTACGCCTTGGCAGCAGCAGGGCTGATTACCGTCATCAAAGTACTGAATAAAAGACGCTCTTGTCGCATTATTTATCCGCAGAGGCCGTGGCCAGGGCGAGGGGGTAAACACTTCAAGAAATCGTGTACAGAGTACTCGGTATTACGCTGTATTACGGTGTATTACACGTGTACTGCGGCCCTCAAATGACAAAATGTGGCACATTTGACCCAAAACTGGTATTACGATCACGTGTATTACGCGTAATACACGGTTTTTGTGTACAGGGTATTACGCGAGTGGTTACCCCCTCGGGCCAGGGCACTTATTGTCAAGACCGGCGCCGGTGGCCGAAACTCAAGACGCGTTTAGAGCTCCACAGTCGCTAAACAGGATTCGAACCGAACGTGTCACCCGCGGTGTCACCTTCCGAGAGCGATCCATTAGAGGTGTTACACGTTCGGTTCCAGTCTCATTCATCGACCCTACAGCTCAAAACGCGTCAAGAATTTTTGGCCACCTCCACCGCTCTTCTGGCCCACTGTGCGCAGGTTTGGCTGCCGGCCAGGCCCACTCTACGCGCACCACACACTTGTGGTGTGAATGAATATGGAGACCCACTGATAAACATTCCTTTCACCGGAAACACCGCCTACGATAGGCAGTAGTGCGGCCATCATTCAGCGCACGGAATGCCTCGGCCAGCACACTGATTCCGAGAGTCGTTTTCGTCACTCTGTCTCGCTCGCACTCACAGGGCGCTCCCTGAAGGCGCGAGAGCGACAGAGCGACGAAAACGGCCCTCGGAATCGGTCTGCTGGGGCCACCTAGCATCCCATAAAAGCAGTGTGGCAGAGCCACTGCCGTGACTTGCAGCGCAGCAGTCAGTCCGTGTTCGAGCCCTCAGTCGAAGACCTGCTCTGGTGGGTACGCATGTCACCTTCGCACAGTGGTCCTGAAGACCGGTGGAGGTGGCAAAAATTCTGGACGCGTTTTAAGCTCCAGAGTCGCTGAACAGAACTCGAACCGAACGTGTGACCCCACCAATGGCTTGCTCTCCGAACCAGGGATCCAGTGGTGGGGTCACACGTTCAGTTCGAGTCCTGTTCAGCGACTCTGGAGCTTAAAACGCGTCCAGAATTTTGGCCGCCTCCACCGGTCTTTTGGCCCACTGTGCTTCGCTTCGCCGCGGTGCAAGAGAGAACGGCGCGCTTTTGTTTTTTTTTTTACACATTACGGGACGTCTTTTGTCTCTCTCGCACTTACTGCCAACGACGCAAGGAGCAACAAGAACAGAGCTACTGGAAAACGTTACGTAATAAGTAAACAACCCCTTGTCACGTTCCAGAAATGGGGCCGATGGTGTTGTTGATGTTGCTGCCGGTCGCCCTGCAAGCCTTCTCCCTTCCTGACGGTGGCGTCTCTGAACTTCTCACCAATAGCATCTTCCAAGGATCTGGTCAGTGTTCCATACTGTGTTTCTTTAACTCACGATAAACCTTCGTGGATTTACAAATGAATTTTCGTTAATTACGACGAATCTTTATGGCAAGGGGGATTTCTGACGGTGTGAGTTGGGCCAGAAGACCAGTAGCGCCAAAGCTCCAGACGCGTTTTCAGCTCCATAGTCGCTACAATGGGACTCGAACCGAACGTTTCACTCCTCCCATGGATTGCGCTCCGAACGAGGAACGCATTGGTGAGGTCACACGCTCAGTGCGAGTCCCATATAGTAGGTGCTCTGGAGACCCAAACTCGTCCAGAATTTTAGCCGCCTCCACCGGTCTTCTGGCACAATGTGTTCTGGCCAAGTTGTTTTTTTTTTAGTTTGTTTGCTGCTGGTGCTAGCACTGGCCGCGCTGGTCAGCAATCGACACCCATAAAACCTTACGAAGTATTTTGAGCATACACACGTACAAACTAATTTACTTTGTTATACGAAGAAATAGTTCGTAAATTACGGAGTATTTTCTTTGTAGGCTTATGTATGCTCAAAATACTTTGTTCTAACAAACTGCTTTGCTTTGTAAGGCCTGAAATAGTTTGTAAGGTTTTTTCAGTGGAGACCACAGCGGTCGCACATCCATCCCACGTTGTCGTCCATTTATTTCAGGCCCAATTGGAACTAAGGGTAAGCCGAAACTTTGTTGTCAGGTGATGACGACTCTATCACGAAGGGCGAAGAGGGGTCGTTCATCGAGGGTGACATCCGCCCCCCTCCCCAGGGCTTCAGTCGCAACGGCCTGACGGACGAGAACCGCCGTTGGAAGGACGCCATCGTGCCGTACAAAATCGAAGGCAACTTCAGTAAGTGAACTAACTTCCGTGTACAAATTTTTGTATTCCACATGAATTTTGGATGAATTTCCATGTTAGAGCCAAATTTTATTGAATTTTTGTATGAACGTCACTGACTTTAGGAGAATTTCTATGAGTTTCGACTAAATTTAATGAATGATACAGAAATTTGACCAAAATTCAAGATTGTCCACAAATTTTGGTGTACATTTCTTTTTCTTTTTTTGAGTTGTTTCCCCTCGACTGAGGGCAAAAAGTTTCACATTGCCCTCCCTTGAGGCCCCCTCTGGATCCGTCTCATACATACACTTTCAACCGTGGTGCCCCACGGACCAGAAGAACAGTGAAATTGGCCAAAACTCAAGGCGCGTTTTGAGCTCCTGGGTCGCTGAACGGGACTCGAACCGAACGCGTGACACCGCAAATGAATTCTTTGTTCGGAGAACAACCGATTGCTGGGGTCACACGTTCAGTCCGAGTACCATTCAGGGACTCTGGAGCTCTAATCGCGTGCGGGATGTTGACCGCTTCCACCGGTCTTCTGACCTACTGTGCACTCTCCATAGCCAACAAGGCAGGAATGTACCATTGCGTAAAAAGGTTTGCTTGTGCATGAGGCACAGTGGTTTTAATCAATATATTTATAAGTGCTGTCATCATCCTTTTCCAGCCAAAGAAGAGCTTGGTTTTGTCAGCCAGACCATCGCCAGCTACAACCGCAACACCTGCATTCGCATCATTCCAAAGAGGCCCAAGGACAAAGACTACATTGCTGTCATCAACAGCAAGTCAGGTAAGAGGAATTGGTGGCAGCAGGGATCCTTCAGTAAACATTGGACTGACACTGCTTTCAAAACCCGTATGATAAGACGGTTGAAAAGGTTCTGGTTTTCCCAAAGGGAACTTCCAAAAGCCTTGTTAAACCATGGGTTTTCCCTGGGAACGTAGGTTCCTTTTTTTCCTGAGAAAATTTTGTTGAATTAAAGGGTCCCTATGGGCGCAGTTCATTATCTTAATAATTGTTTAGACAAAATAAGGTCAGTCATTTAAATCACTTACCCTTTGTCAAACAAAAAGCTTTGTTTGGGGGCAAGTTCCTGCCAAGTTTGAATGTTACTTAAAGGAAGCCTTTTAAATAAGGAGGAAAGTTATCGTCGAAAATCTTAAAATTCCAAATTTTAAAGCCACCATTAAGTTTCCAGGTTATTTTCCACCTTTCCTTTTCATTCGGGAATTGTGGAAGAAACAACCGGTTTGGGCAACGTTAAGAGTTAAATTGGTTGACTCTTTATGAGTTGGCGTTATTTATCGTTTCATCGTAAAGCATGCTGTAAAAAAAATTAGTATACTTGGTTATACTCTGTCATGCCTGTAGATGATCATTTGCGTCATTCTTCAGGCCGAATTAGTTTTGCCAAGTGTGTAAGATTCAAACCAAACCTTAAATTTGTATTTGAAGCGTTTGTCTGAACCGAATGGGTTTTGCTTTCAGGTTGCTGGTCGTACTTGGGTCGCATTGGTGGACGCCAAGAACTCAACTTGGCGAAAGGCTGCTTCAACGGCAAGCCGGGCACGACGATCCACGAGTTCATGCACGCCATGGGCTTCACTCACGAGCAGAACCGCGCCGACCGCGACGACTACGTCACCATCAACTGGGAGAACATCGTGAAAGGTGAGTGCCTTTCGAATCTGTACACTGTAAATGCCTTAAGGTGCACTAAGGGCCAGATGATCGGTCGAGGCGTTTGGAGCGCCAGACTCGGGAAGAACGACTTCGGAACTAGATTCCTCGTTGGGAGAGCAATCCATTGGTGGGGTCACAAGTTCAAGTTCGAGTCCTACTTAGCGACTCTGGAGCTCTGAACGCTTCCGTGATGCCGCCTGCACCGGCATGTACACTCAACCTGGAGTCAATCTGGCACTTAAACACTCCACGCTGGAGCATGCAGTGTACTTGGAGGTACTCACTTCACTCCATGCTCAAAGAGACAACACATGTCTTACAGTTTATGTAGAGTAACACGTGTATTTCCCAAATGTAAATTTCTTAAAAAAATTTCTTAAAAATTTCTTAAATAAATAAAAAATGTAAAAAAGTCCTTTCCACCTGTGCACGCCACCTAGCGTGTACTTTGCAAGCATGCTCCATCGTAGAGTGTACATGCCGGGTTGATTCCAGGTGGAGTGTACTTGCAGGCATGCTTCAACCTGAAACATGCTATGTGCACACTTGTGTTTGTAGAGTTCAATGAGTTTCGAGAATTTACTGCTGTTTTCAGGGAAGGGGGAGGGGCATTTTCTCTTGAGAGCGCGATAGTTGGGTGTCGAAGCACTTCTTAACATTGCCTTCGTTTCCAGGTCATGAAAATAACTTCAAGAAAAACACTGCCACCTCCGCCTACGGTGTCAAGTATGACTTCAACAGCGTCATGCACTACGCCCTGACAGCGTTTAGCAAAAACAAGAAGCAGACCATTACACCCAAGGTACGTTGACTTATAATTATATGTCTTACGTATTTGATTCTGCGTAAGTTAAACTCATTTCATTGGTGTCCGTCCACTGGACAGGTATTTGTAGATATTAACATATGGGCTCACAATTATTAGTATGCAAAACTTTTCGTGGACATTTGTGCACGAAATTGCATTATTTCGTGACAAATTATTCACAAAACTTGTACGAAAAGTTACGCTGCATTGTGCAAGACCACTTACAAGAAAAAGTCCAAACGAATTCGCTGTTTACATGGATTGTTTTGTTCTTAGCTCGCCAGCAGGCTCATTTTTTGCTCATTGTTTTAAACTGAAATTTAATTCCGCCAATGTCATTTCTAAATTATTTGCAGAACTACAAAGGTGAAGTCGGACAGCGCAACGGTCTCAGCGCGGGCGATGCGGCCAAGTTGAACGCCATGTACAAATGCAACGAGGAGGAAGATATTGAAGAATGAATTTAATTGCGCCCCTGTCTCAACTTCTGGCATATTATTGTTAATTTATTTAATAACTTCCTAATTATTGTCATGAACCCCATTGTCATGCAGCCTGTATCTCATCAAGACAAAAGAGATGTATAGTTTGCTTTTTCAGTCATTTAGCTGATGTAAAAACCCGCCGTCAGCAGAAGTTTCAATAAATCGAAGGTTAAAAAGCGAGTTTGTGGATGGATTTATAACTCACGCCCCACCACTCACGTCCAGACCTGTGCAAACAACGGTTTTAATGTCAATCTTTTTCTACGGAAACTTTTGGCGGTATGACAGCCATCGCAAAGATCTCGTCCCATCGCAGCAAGCCCCAGGGGAAAAATGTCATGAGACTTTTTACGTTAAAGCATAAAGTTAAAGCCTTTTTAAAAATTTTGCAAAACCCATACATTTACGCCCTTTGGGAACTAAAATATTTGTAAACGATGCCTACCCTCAAATTTTCCTTTTGTTCCATTTGACAAATTTGCATCCCTGTGGGCACAACGTGGGTAAAATTGTGCGATGTAAACAAATTCCCTTCATTTCATGGTTGGACACAAATTTTCCCCATATTTCGGTAGCACGCTGGCCAAGATTGCTCACCATTTTCGGAAAACATGGAGTATAAAAGTCGCAGTAACGTTTAAAAGGAATGTTTTAAAATGAATGTGTCAAAATTTTTCTAAAATGATAGATGCTTTGGGTTTCCGTTATGAAAGGTCACCCCAAGTTCGGACACCACAAAGGAATGCTTATGAATGAAATCACCTGTTCTTTTTTGGGCACCCTTATTAATGAAAAACCGCCCCCCCTTTGCAATATTATTCAAGCTTTGTGTATGGGCCAGCGAGACCGTCGCCGGCGGTCAAAACAGACGCGTTGCGCCACAGTCGCTACACAGGACTCGAAACGGACGTGTGACCCCACCATAATGGTTTCCTCGTTCGGAGAGCAATCCATCGGTGGGGGTCACACGTTCGGTTCGACTCCTGTTTAGGGGTTCTGGAGCTCAAAACGCGATTCTGGCCGCCTGCACCGGTCTTCTAGCCCACTGTGCGTCGGCTGTCGGCTCCCGAGCCGGCTCCAGCCGGCTCGAGCCGGTCGCGGTGCCGAAAAAGTGGTGGCACGAGTGAGGCGGTCGGTGGACTTGTCACCACGCTCTAGTGCTGTAAATGCGGAGGCTCACAGATAAAACCTAATATTCCTCTTTCCGGAAACGCCACTTACGATACGCAGTGGAGCGGCCTCCAATTAGCGCAAGGGCACTGCACTGCAGGCATGGCGCCGCCGCTTCCCATTCTATAAAACCAGCGGGCGGCGCAGTGGTCGTTGCTGGTGGTGGAGCGCAGCATTCGTTGTGTTCCTGCCTTCCGCCGAAGTTTGCCTGCCTTGAGTAAGTTCGCACTCCACATTGCTTCGGCAGTAAGATCGAATCTTGAAACAGGGTCGACCGGCTGAGCATTATCGAGCTCCCGATGCTAAAATGGCTTCGAAATGAAGGTTCTGACAAATCGATTCCTGTTCAGAAAAGCAATCCGGTGTACGCATTGTATCGCCAAAAAAGTACGTTAAGAAGTCCTTGGAATTTTACGTGACGTTCTCTCAGGTCGCCGCAGCGGACGCGCCAAAAACGTCGCCGAGCGATGGGGAGCACCACGCACGTTTCTGAGGCTCACAACCGGACACGAGCCCAAATTGAGTGATCATCCGGAACACATCTTCGCAAGGCACCCATGGTAGATACGCCGTTATTACACTGTCACACATGTCGTTCTGGGGTGGACGAGCATTCGGTGTTTTCCTGCCTTCAGCCGAAGTTTGGCTGCCTTGAGTAAGTTCGCACTCCACATTCTCTACAAATCGAAGAGTGTACATGGTATGCTCTAACTGGAGCATGCCTGCAAGCACGCTCTAACTAGCGCATGCCTGCCAAGCATGCACTTACTAGCGCATACATACCATGTACACGCTTCCTGATGCAGACAACTCCCTATCCCTTAAGCACTAGATGCATGCTTCAGTTAGCGTGTACATGGCATGTATGCACTAGTTAGTGCATGCCTGGCAGGCATGCGCTAGCTAGAGCGTGCTTGCAGGCATGCTCCAGTTAGAGCATACCATGTACACTCTTCGATTTGTAGAGTTGGGCCAGAAGACCGGTGGAGGCGACCGAAATCCTAGACGCATTTCGAGCTCCCGAGTCGCTAGACATGGCTCTCGAATTGAAGGTGTGACCCCACCAATGGATTCCTCGTTCGGAGAGCAATCCGTTGTGTACGCAATTGTATCGCCAAAAACAAGTACTTAAAATGTCACCTTTGGATTTTCTGTGGATGTGATCTTAGATCCCCCACGGGAACGCCCAAACACGTACTCTACAAATCGAAGAGTGTACATGGTATGCTCTAACTGGAGCATGCCTGCAAGCACGCTCTAGCTAGCGCATGCCTGCCAGGCATGCACTAACTAGTGCATACATGCCATGTACACGCTAACTGAAGCATGCATCTAGTGCTTAAGGGATAGGGAGTTGTCTGCATCAGGAAGCGTGTACATGGTATGTATGCGCTAGTAAGTGCATGCTTGGCAGGCATGCGCTAGTTAGAGCGTGCTTGCAGGCATGCTCCAGTTAGAGCATACCATGTACACTCTTCGATTTGTAGAGTACCCTCCACCGTGGGGCAGACTAACGGAACGTTCTTGACGGCCACCACCGGAGCACGAGCCCAAATTGAGTGATCATCCGACAGAACAACGTATCTTCCAAGGCAATCCCACGGTAGATACGCTGTTATGTACTGTTGTCACACACTTCTGTCACGTTCCAGGGATGGTACCGATGCTGCTGTTGCTGCCGGTCGCACTGGGCTTGTCAGTTCCTAGTGGGGGCGTCTCCGAACTTGTCACTAATAGCCTCCATCACGGATCTGGTCAGTGTTGAATCATTTGTCACTAAAAGTTCATGTTGCTCCGAACCAACTAACTGGTTCCCCTCCTCACAAAAAAAAAAAGATTCCTGGACAATGTGCATCAACTTAAGTACATCATTGTGAGGCAATTTGTTCAGCTTCTCATTCAAGAAGTTGGACGGATTTTTGACATAATTCGCCATTACACCCTTAAATCTCGTCGTCCGTCAGGAAACTGAAAAACTTGAAAGTGAAGGGAATTCGTATGCGTCAAAAAGGAAACGTTTTGCTTAGTCAGTCCAAACTTTGACAAAACTTTCAGGTTTGACCAAAACTTGGCTAGACTTTTGGGCTCACCTCTGATGTCTGGGCCCTGACTTCCAGATTTTCAGTGTGGGCTTTGTGTCTCATCCCAACTGAAGTGCTCATAAGTTGGAGCAGACTCGCGCTAAACGTCGGACACACGACCCGTAAATACGGTTGTACTGATAGGCAATGAAACCTCACATGCTTTCACCAACAATGCTTCTCCAAACTAAATTTGCATTTCAGGTAATGATGAATCGTCCGCCAAGGGAGAGCAGGGATCGTTCTTTGAGGGTGACATCGTTCTCCCTCCCGAGGGCTTGGGCCGCAATGGTCTGACGGACCTAAGACTCCGTTGGCCAAACGCTATTGTGCCCTACAGAATCGAAGGCAGCTTCAGTAAGTGAATTGTGGAACCACAATGTGTCAGAAGACCGGTAGAGGCGGCCCAAACTGACGTCTTGTGAGCCCCGGACTCAGACTCCCTAATAGCGACTCATACTGTGCGTGTGACCCCACCAATGGATTCCTCGTTCGGAGGGCAATCCATTGGTGGGCTCACTTACCGACCCTGGAGCTCTAAGTGCGTCTGGGATTTTACCACCTTCATCGGTCTTATGGCCCTCTGTGCGTTCTCCACGACACGAGCACCATGCTTAATCGTGCAAGCATTCATCTGCACTCAAAATGTAATGGAAATTGTTTTTCTTACACGACTTACGTAACTTAGAGCATATTCGACGGTGCTGTCCATCAGGTGATGTAAATTTAATTGTCCCTTGAAAGAAGATTTTCTAGCAGGCATCGAAGAAAAAGGTCCACGCGGTAACAAATTTATACCGTATCGCCGTCGGTTGTGCTTAAAATTTGCTTAACTGGTGGGAGCAAAATGTCTAATGACATTAAGTGTCTACTGGAAAAGCTGTTTGTTCACCCAAGATTTCTGTTGATTTTTTTTTGTTTTCTTTTTAATTTTTTTTTTTAGCCCAAGCCGAGCGTAACCTCATTGGCAGGGCCATAATGGACTACAGTCGCAACACCTGCATTCGAATCGTGCCGAAAAGGCCGAGGGACACCGACTACGTCGCGGTCATCAACAGCAAGTCCGGTGAGAGGGAGACGCCTAACCTTACACACGAAGTATTTTGAGAATACGTAAGGACCGCGGAAGATGAGTTCGGAAATTCACTGACACTGACATTCCACGAGTAATATTGAAATTTCGTAAACGAAATTCACAGTTAAAGAAGTCGTACATTTCAAGGAAAAAGGTACGGCTAGACCGTACCTCACGGTGTACAGAACAACCGTACCCAAAAACCGTGGTTCCCATAAGAGCCCATGTTATGAAAAACCGCACTCCGTACCCCAAAAGCCGTACTGGCCGAGGTACGGTGGTACCAGGTAAATTGTCTAGCAGGCACTGTGGGAAAAAATCACAGTAAATCCTGTAGTGATTAGTACAGCTGTCACTGTAGTTCAGAGTACAGGATTTACTGTACTTTTTTACAGGATCTACTGTACTTTCTACGGGATTTACTGTTACCACAGGAGTGGAGTACGGAATATCCTGTACCAGGTACAGTAAATGCTGTAACCAGGTACAGTAAATACTTTGTCCTGAACTACAGTAAATCACGGCAAAAAAATTAAAGGGATTTACTGTGGTTTTTTAGCACAGTGGGCTGACCTGTACCTTTTCCCGTGGATTTTTTCTACAGTGTGGTATACCATTCCTAGCGTATGCAATAATAATCTGAGCCAAAAAGCAAGAAAATTACTGCATTTTTAATGCGATAATTTGCCACAGATGCTATAATTTGCAGTGAGTGTTGAAGGGATGTTTACGACGAACTTTGTGTGCGTACAGGTTGCTTTTCTGCCTTGGGGCGGCGAGGCGGACGCCAGGAGCTCAACTTGGCGTCAGGCTGCTTCGGCGGCAAGCGGGGCACACCGGCCCACGAGTTCATGCACGCCATCGGCTTTACGCACGAGCAGAACCGCGCCGACCGCGACAACTACGTCACCATCAACTGGGAAAACATTGAACCTGGTAACGGCACAGTGGGCCAGAAGACCGGTGGAGGCGGCCAAAATTCTAGACGCGTTTTGAGCTCTTGAGTAGCTAAATGGGACTCGAACAGAACGAAAGACCCCACCAGGATTGCTGTCCGAGCGAGGAATCAATCCATTGGTGGGGTCACACGTTCGGTTCGAGTGCTGTAAGCGACTCTGGAGCTAAAAACGCGTCGTGAGTTTTGGCCACCCCCACGGCCCACTGAGAGGGTGCAGTCCTGGGCAAAGTTCATCTGTCAAGAAAACTGGAACGTTAAGTACAAAACCATTGCGACAGTGCGATCGTGGATGGACAAAACTAAACCCGCGGGCATCACTCTCAATCCAGCAGCGTGACATCGCATTGAAACAAATGTGACAAAATGTCACGTTCTTATGAGCATTATGGCACATTCGTTTAGACGTGCATACGCTTATTTCCGGCTAAAACACGAACAAACGAATGAGACACAATGTTAAAAGGAACTAGACATTTGAGAGATCTTTCAGTCAATATTAATAACCTAGGGCATTACCCAATCATTATTCATTACCTACGAAATTGTGGCTCACGAGTTTTCCCTCTTTACTAGGCAAAATCAACAACTTCGAAAAGAACACTGCCACTTCTGGGTACGGCGTCAGGTATGACTTCGGCAGTGTCATGCACTACACTCTGACCGCGTTCAGCAAAAATGGGAGGCAAACCATCACACCTAAGGTATAGTACTTATTTATATTGACATGGACACATGCTACCGATACAAGGGAGGGGCGGCAAAGACTCACAAAATTTGGTGAGAATTTTGACTCTTACCAGACGGTGACAAATATTTCTCGCCGATTTTCACCTGTCTTGCCACGAACTAGTGAGAAATTATTGACATGTTTGTTACAAGGCTTGCACAAGACAAAATTTTGGTGAGAACTTTGATTTTAACCACAAGACTGTGAGTAATATTTCTCGCCAAATTTTGGTCGCGATTCTCGCACCCTTCAGTTTTCAGTGTACGTAGTCCTGGGTATGACTCTTTCAACGGCACTGCTTAAATCTAATGCATCCGTTTGACGTGCAATGCATCATTCAGGTGCAGACGAATGCTGTGATTGGACAACGAGATGGCCTCAGCTCCGGCGACATTGCGAAACTGAACGCGATGTACCACTGCAACAGAGAAGACGAGATCGAAGACTGAGTTTCGCCGTCCCTCCACCTCTTCTAGAATTTCGTCAAATGCAGCACTTCAATTACTTATTTTTGTCATTGGTTTGTTATCTTATTTAAGTCAGGTTGATCAGCGTAAAGTCAGCCTGGTTCTATTAAACTCATAAAGAACAGAGAGACTTATTATTGAAAACATACTGCTAACACTGTAAATTCCTCTTAACCATTCCTGGCGTCTCGCACACAAAGAACCTGGAAAAAGACAGGAAGTGGGATCCAGGAAGCGGAAGTACGAAGAAGAGAATATCTGACTCGTTCCCAATGAGAGTTTAAACTCGATTATGGAGTATGACATATCACTGCACCAGTAACTAGACTTAGTCACATGGGACTGCATGCTGGTAACACGGTAGATCCGCATTCAAAATTGGTTTGACTGAACTTTGCTCAGTGCGAAGTGGAGAAACCTAAATTCAGATTTCAAAGAAACCCGTGGGAAGAGTGCCAACAACCCCGCTTGTTATGAACGCAAGTAAGTTACTGTGCGTGTTGCGAAAATGGAAAAACTAACTATAGCCTGACTCGTCGCACATGGCGAAATGAGGAGAGCGGAGTCAGGAAGACCGCATTTTCCAAGTCACAGAATTCTTCAGAACGAGCTGATATTTTGGAGAGTGCACACATGCTTCATCTTTTACTACAAACCACCTACAAAATTCCCTCTTAAATTTTAGGCTGCTCCAGTGATAGTTACGGAATGAATGAATGAATGAATGAATGAATGAATAAATGAATGAATGCTAGAGGACGGGACATTCATTGAAGTACACTCTCATTCCAGGAACGTGAAACGAACGTGGCAAAATGTCACGCGTTGGTTGAGGACGCCCCGGATGCCCATTGGACAGCGTTGGGATTGACGGAGTTGGGCGGGATGCATTCGGGATGCCCTGTACGTCCTGGACGTGTTGAGGACGCTTTGGATGTGACATGGATGCCGAGGCGGAGTGGCCGGAGGCGCTCGGGATGCAATCGTGATGCCGAGGGGACAGTCCAGATACGCTCTGGACACGTACCACATGCTTCGCATGCATTCGGGATGCCGAGTTGATTGCTGAGCGGAATGGAGGCCGACGCATAGGCCTACGCTCATGATTAGTTCGGGTGGTCCACTAGTGGAAAATCTTTCAGGAAGTCACTCAGGAAAATTCACTCAGAAAATTGTCTGAGTGACAAATCCTGAGACATTTTCGCGCACCTCTGAGTGATTTTTCCTGAGTGACCCTTTCTATGATGTATCCTGAGTGGCCTGTTTCTCAGTGCCTTTCTCTGAATGAACCATTTCTGAATGGCAATTTTCTGAGTGACTGTCTTAAAAAGTCAAAAATATTACTGATACGAACATGGGAAGAACTGCCTACCGATGTTGAAATGAAGTCCGATCCGAATCCGAGGTCCGTTTTGCGATAGCTCGCCATCGGCTTTTGAAATGCCAGTAAATGAGGTCCGATTTCCACGGAATAAAAACTGCCCTTGTCAATTGCTGAGAACATGCCACCTACCAAAATTGAACCGAAAATTCCGTCAACTTCCTCGAGATTTTCTGAATGGCTCGTTTCTGAATAGCTCGCTCGTCGCGAGACTTTAAAGTCTCGCCATATTTTGGCACGAAGTCTTTCCATCCAATTTGCAGTGAACATACGTTGTTATGTCAGATGACCACCCTGGGGTCCCAAGTTAGCCCCGTTGACGGCAACGTTCAGAATCTCAGCTATCAGAGTGAGGTACGCTCATTTCGATTAGGATTTGAAGAAATGTTTTTGACATTCTAACAAAATTCACTCAAGTGCCTCTGCTCAGTGGCTAGGAGTTGCACAGACTTACTGACAAAAATATACAACCGCACCCGAGTACCTTTCTTCGCTATCGATGCAAATAAATTCACTATAAACTCCTTACCTAAGGCATTCAGCCCTTCATTCATTGCACTTTTCACATTTCTGGTTGGGCTTTGTTTTGCAAACCTCGTTGACTTTTGTTCGTCCCTTTCACACATCTTATCGTGCGGTGCATCGCGCCTTTTCGTGCGTCAACGTCACCACTGAGGTGCGGCGAGAGAGATAGAGACGGAGCGTCGAGAGCGACGTCCGAATCGGCCTGCTGCAACGATTGCATCGCAGGTGCTGGCGTCACTCGGTTCTCGTCCGGTTGAACATTTTTTGATATCCGACGCTCTCATCCAGTTCAGCCGCCTGGCCTGTGCCTTAAGGACTGTTGTAGGCAGGACAGCCACTGAAAAACCAAACGTGGTCCAGACCGCACCAACTAGTGTGGTCAAATGGATGCCATTTTGACCAAACCAGTTGGTGTGATCTAGACCACACCAAACGCACCAAACGTGGCCAAAAGTTTGGTGTGGTCTAGACCGCACCAAACGTGGCCAGACGTGGTCTAGACCACACCAACTGATGTGGTCAAAATAGCACCCATCTGACCACACCAGTGGTGCGGTCTGGACCACGTTTGGTTTTTCAGTGAGCGCACAATAAAAGTACAACACGGATTGTATAAAGTGCAACGAAAATTACACAAACCACATCGAGGCCTGCACTGCCCAGCAGTCGTCATGCCGGTTCCATTGTACTTTGTACAACAATTGTTGTACTTTGAAAGTACAAAAAATTCCTGATAAAAAATTTGCCGGGAATTCGTGTACTTTTGTTGTGTTTTTTTTTTTTTGCAGTGTAGCCGCGCTTCTGCGCATGCCTTTGGCCAAAGGGTTGCAACTGCTTTTCCAAAACGGACGTGCGGACATTTTGTTTTGCATCTGGGGAACTAACCAAGCTAGGTAAAACCTGTTTACAAAGTGGGGGCTGGCGGCACACCGAAAATATCTTAACAATCTTCTTGCGAAACCTTTTAGTAAAACATGGGGCGAAAATGTGACGATTTTCCCTGATGGATCTTCTGAAACGATCCACGCCATTCCCAGGGCATGAATTAATTACGCGCTTGAAGTGCAAAGTTTTAATGCGGATCATTCCATGCTTGCAAAAGTATGTCGAACCCCTATAAAATGACCCATGCCTTTGTTTCTTTGCGCCATTGTATTCCTCTCCTCGCCTCACTTGCGTTGTCCTGCTTTCTTTAGTCCTCATTGTACCCAAGGGTTAACCGTCTCGCTACGATTACCACCAGTGAAGACGAAGGGAAGCCTCGGCGTGTTTCGGCCTGCGTCTACCAGAGCTGTTCGCGACCTGACAGGTCGAACCCATTTTAAAATGCCCATCCTCATGTTTTTGCGGCTTGTACCCTCCTCGCCTTTATTCCCGTTGGGGTCCCAGCTTCTCTTTAGCCCTTGGGGTATCCAAGGGTTAACCGTCTGCACGATTACAAGCGTTACGACCTAAAAGCCTTGGGGGTGCTTCCCGGCCTGCGCTAAAAAGCTGGGTGCGACCTGACAGGTGGGATCCTGATATGTATCAAGGATGCACATCTCATGTGTTGCGGCTTGCCACCCTACTCGCCTTTATTGCCGCTTTGGAGATCGCCAAGAGTCGATCTGCAGCGCCTGTGAGTCATCCAAATAGGGTTAAGGATCGTGCACTAAACAAGCGTTTTCGTACCTTAAAAGCGCTTGTTGAGTTGCGAAAAAGCTTCACGGCCTCCCTAAGAAATAAGGGATGGACGGGATGAGTGGGATTAGATGGAAAGGTAGAAGCGGTAGCAAGACCGCTTTAAAAAAGTGCCCTACATTAAATTTTTAAGCGGTCTTGCTACCGCTTCTAGCTCTGCATCCGATCCCACTCATCCATCCATCCAGCGCGCTCAGGGGGGACTGCATGGTGGGAGGGTGGAAATATTGAAAACGGCCTTTGTTTCATTGTGCTCCTACCGCCTCCGACCACCCCCTAACAGGAGTCATTGTATCACGCAGAAAACTTATCTAGTCCCAGTCTACTACGACGCAAGGGCCTGCTCAGACAAACGACATCACACTGTAGTTGAGAACGCAACCATCATCATGGACGAGAAGGGTGCAAGTTACATCAGCTCGGGCGTCCGGTTCACAAAACAATTGAAGACTGTGTCCAAGGTTAAGGCAATGCACAGTAAAAACTCTACGAAGAGTCGCTTTGTGATACGAAGAAAATTAAGGCATTGTAAAATCTACGAATAAATGCTTCGTATTATGAAGCAAAATCCTTCGAAATACGAAGCATTTCTTCATAATACGAAACAATTCTACAATGCCTTTATTTTCTTTGTAGTTATGAAGCAAATGCTTCGTAGGATTTCAAGTGTGTGCACTCTAAATGCTGTACAATGAAGATTCTCCATATTATGGTGAAAATGTTCCATACTATGGTGGTGCAGCTGACTCCATAACATACCATTCAGAATTCACTGTAACTAATAGGCATTTTGATGAATTTCCTTGGTATTATGGAGAAAATCTCCACCATTACATGGTGGTGCAGCCTTTCACCGTAAGACATTTACAGTGTGCTGTCCACCATCTCTTCTTGAACGGCTTTGCGAGTTAAAAGCGGCACCACGCTGGCTCTCTTTTCACCGTGCACTCCCACTGCCCCGCTGTTTGCATGCAAACAGTAATTTACCATTTTTTTCTACGCAGTTCGTCGTCATAATCACGAAATGTACCGGTGGGATATCAGATAATCTTTGTGAGTACTATATACGCTGGGTCTGGACTACAGGCCTGTGTAGCTTCATCCCGGCCAAAGACATGTTTTGGACTCCCTTCATCGATTCATTTGAACCACCATTCAGGTGCCCTGTTAAGGTACGTAAATTGTCGCTGATTATTAAAGGGAGGTTGCCAAAATTTGGGGTGCTTTTGTGTCTTTGAGCCACAGTTCCCCATTTTTCGACATATCGACTTGCGGTTTGATCTCCCTTACTATCCTACACACTAACCGAGCACGCAAGTCACCCGTTTTCAATTTTAAAAGTGCCAAAACCAGCCAAAATTTTTCTGTTCGGGCGCCGATTTTGTCGAGGCCCGAGAACAAAGCCATAACCTGCGTTCTTCTTTAAGATATTGACTTTGAACTGCAAATCCGCGAATGCTGTGCGGTGCACAGTGATGCAAAACTAGAAAGAGTCGCGCAAACAGCACTTTTCGTCGATTTGGTCTGTCCGAGGGGAGACTGAAATTTTTGAGCGTAGAAAATGTCGAAGTACATGGAGGTGCAACCGTTTTCTACTCTAAAACTGGTAATCATATCTCTCTACAGCGCTTAAGTAGAGCAATGCGAGGCAAAAATCGAACGCAGCAACATGCGGTGCGAAAACTGCTCGTTCCAGCCGCATCTGTGGAACAAAAAGAATAATATTGGGTGTTTTTGAAAGCTGAATTCGTCATATATCTCAACTTTGTTGTGAGATAAGAGGAGTTGCGAACACTTGCGAACGGGTGTGTCACAGCCACATGAGAGTATCCCAGGCCTACTACAAGGTGTATATAGTGTAGGCCCGAGAAACCCCGAGATTCTCGACAAAATCCACACCAAAGTCGCGACTACGCCTGAAGACGAAATACTTTTATGTGTTTCAGGGATACTACTTCATGCGTAATGCAACGTTGGATCTCGACAAACTTAAAAATTTAGTCCCTGACCTGTCGAAGCACATTTGGCCCGTAGAGATTCAGCTCTACAATGAAAATGGTGATCTGGTGATCTGTGTGGCCGCAACCGGCGAATTTCGTTACGTCAGGGGGACGACAACTGGTTAGGTCCCCGTTAAGTTGGTGAAATCACTTCCAAGCCAATGACTTGGAAACGCTATGGAATCGCAAACCCGTTTGAGGTAAGCTAAAAAATTTATCCGCTTACTCAGCGGCCAAGGAGGGGTCGGATGGAGCCGCCACGAACTGCTCTGCGCTCCGCATGGTGAAGATCAGTCGTTTTGTTTCTCGTCTCACCGCAGGAAGACAAGCTAAGCTGCCCTGTAGACTGCTTCCAGATAGCCGAATCTACCTGATTATCATTCTGTCGAAGAATTACTGCAACGGAAATTACCAATGTTCGTATCCTAGTTTTCATTTTATGTAAAATATGATTAACCCTATGAGTTTTCAAGCTTCATTTTAGTTTTCAGTTTTTTGATAACTGCCTGGTCGTCTTAGTACTCATTTTCTTATGAACATGTTGAACCATTTAAGTGAGCTTGAGCACCTTGTTTCAAGTGGTTCGTTAATTTTCTGGTTGACTGGAAACTAACCTCTTTAGCTTTTGTTCTTAATAAACTCGTTGTTCCTTTCAAGTTAGATTCGAGTTTCAATTTAAATCTTAGAAGCTTCTTAGTTTGGAGGTTGACTCGAAACTAATCAAATGCCAGTTTCCGTCCGGGAATTTTTGTTGGAAAGGAATTGTGATTGCATTTTTATTTCAATAAATCAAATACCATGCATTCTTTTTTCTTCATTACCCTTTTCTCAGAATAGAATGGGACCGAAAATCAAAAGGCACCATAATGGCTGGAACCAAGGTCTGTAAACGGCCTAGGGAGGTTCGTGAAATGATGCTCCCAGCTGCTAGTTTTGATCGAACTTGTTGAAATCAACTTTCGTAAGTCCTGTTTCACTCTCTTTGTTGGCTGAGCGATAGCGAAGCCCGTTACTCCAGTGGGGTTGAAAAGTTTTGTCTGTCTGTCTGTCTGCGTGTGTGTGTGTGTGTGTGTGTGTGTGCACTACTCCTCCTGAACGGCTCGGCCGATCTGGCTGAGATTTTGCAGGGTCATTAGGTAAGTCCTTGGCTCGCCACACACCAAAATTCGGCTTTCTATCTCAATCCATTCGGTCATATTAGCCAAAAAACATTTAAAAAACGGCAGAAAAAAGAACTCTTTAGTTACTTTCAATTTTTTTGTCAAGTTTCATATCATTTCATATGTTTTGGAGGCTGCTGATGACGAAAATAGAACCCGTTCGGACCCTCGACCGAAAGTTGAACCCCATCGGTGTAGATTTTCATGACCAAATGCTATTTTTTGAGGGGATTAAGCCCATTTCTACGGTCTGCCTAGGAAAGCAGCCTGCCGAAGGCAGGTTAGCGCCGCAGGCCAAGGTAGGTGTATACGCCAGGCGTGGATGGTCGAAACTGGCGCAGCATCGCGAAGCCTGTTACGACAAGACACGGTCTGGCGTACACCTACCTTGTAAAACAGGACTAAAACGAAACTGGAACAGGACTTACACTCAGTGCGGGCTTTGTCCCAAATTGTATCAAATAAAACCTTCACTACAGTCTCGTGACCCCACCAATGGATTGCTCTCCGAATGAGGAATCCATTTTTGGGGTCACGCGTATTATCAGAGTGCCATCTAGCGGCTCTGGAGCTCAAAACGCGTTTTGGCCCCCTTCACCGGTCCTCTGGCCCACTGCGCCTCCGTCCTTGAGCAAGTCGCAGCCGAAGGGCTCTTCGTTATCACGTCGCACGAGAAACTAGGGTAGATCCCGACTTTCCGTTCCGGCGGGAAATACCGGTCGGCGAGGACCACAGGGCGCTTCGCCCGAAACGGGTTGTGTAGATGAGGCTAGTGCCCCCAAGCAGTGGCGTGGAGAGCCCGGCATCGCACTATAAAGGCCCAAAACGTCACGCGCGTCCCACTTACTGTGCTTCACGCGGCTCGTGCAGGTAGGACACGTTCACAGGGCGCCGAAATTTTGGGCGCTTTTATCTCGTAAACGGTTAGAGATTACAAAAAAGAGTTATGCGCAGCATAAGCCGGGATCCTTAACTCACCTCAAAAGGGCATCATAACGTTATCGTACGAGTTAAAGTCATGGCGTCAGATAAGTTATTTCTCGAATTTGTGTGGAGATACTTTTGGAAGTACTTGCAAAAGTCTGTACCCTTAACCGTTAGCGAGGTTAAATGTTCAGTTAAGTTCAGGATCCCTGAGTTGAACTAACGTTGAACTAAATTTATTCTTTGCACAACTTTTTTTTATCTCTAACCGTTCTTGAAATAAAAGTACAAAAATTTGGGAAAAGTATTCGGACTCTGCATACAGTAAATCGACAGGGTTTTCGCTCCGGATTTTCGCTTTCACATTACGCGTTATTATGCTTTATTACGCAACACACGTGTAATCTCGTGACATTACACCGTCAGGAAACTGTCCCAGTGATAGAGAAAATCTTAATTCCTTGACAACGCGTCTTCTGAAAAAATTGATACGTTCTTCGAGAAATATTCCGAAATCTCTAATATTTCTAGTTTGTATGAGTTTCCGACAGTTATAGTAACCAAAATACTTAAAAAGAAAGAAGTTTCCGGAAATTCCCGACGTAGCTTCAGAGGTTCAATACGCATCGAACCAGTTGGTGACATTTTTGACACGACCATGAAGGAAATTGCTAGTGTCATGATCTGAAAGTGGTGAAAATTCGTCTACCATTTATTCATCAAGCGACAAAAATCTTTTACAGTCCATCATGCAGGTCTTCTCGGTCACAGTGTGCTTGCTGGCTGTGGTCGTGGCGCACGGTCTGGCCCGTCCGAGCTTGTCTGAGAGGGTCACTGGATGTATGAGCGCGTTGTCCAATTGTGCAAGTAAGTACCATCCACACCGAAGAGTACCATCCACACCCAAACGAACCCCGAATTGGTGGAATCACGCGTTCCACGCCCAAGACCATTATTGCCACAACGTTCTTTGCTGAAAACGTTCATCTTGTTGTTGACGTCTTTGCCGACAGACGCACTGACTGTTTCTTAAAAATTTTCAGGGAGTAGTTCTTTTGAGGGAATACAAGTATGAATAAAAAGATACATTTAATTCAGAGGCGATTTTTAATGTCGCTAATAATTAGAACGACCTGTATTTTGCATAGTTTTCGGACAATTTGGCTTGTCCCCCCCCCTTATTTTGTAGTAGGTTTTCAACTTTCATTTTTCAATGAATCGAAGCCAAAGTCGACGTTTCTTTCTCACTTTGAGACATTTGTATATGAACTGGTGCCGTTGGTGAAAATTAATGACTTCATGCACTCACTCGACCGAGCGTTTTGTTCAAAAGCAACAGTTTTTGAAGCCTATTTTTAGCAAATGCAGCTTATGACTTGAACAGTGAGCGTGTGCGTTTGTCTATCTCGGGATTTAAAAATGTGAAGGAGTAAAATTTGCCTGATCTCGGCAAGTCAATGAATAGAATTTGCTATCTGAAACTCATCGCATTCTGATTTACAGGCAACATTCCGCTCATCGGCGGTGGTTCCGAGACCGACAAGACCGATGGCGCTGGAACTGACGGAGTTGACGTCGATGTAACTGGCATTGATGGTACCGGAACCGATGGGGCCGGAATCGACGGTACCGGAACAGACGGCGCCGGATCAGGCGGTATCGGAGTAAACGGCACAGACGGCACCGGAACCGACGGAGCCGGAATCGACGGTACCGGAATAGACGGAACTGACGGAGCCGGATCAGGCGGTATCGGAGTTAACGGCACAGACGGCACCGGAACCGACGGAGCCGGAATCGACGGTGCCGGAATAGACGGCACAGATGGTACCGGAACCGACGGTGCCGGAACAGTCCCAGACATCCAAGACTTAGTGGAAGTTCCTCTCTGCATGGATGACGACTGCACCATCGATGGTAGCAGTGGTCCGGAGGAGGTTGGAGGTGCTAATGGAGAGTCTAGTCACGAAACCAACAATCCTAGCCCTACGGATCCGGAGGAGTAACACTCACCTCTGAAATAAAGATTTTAAGAACTCTGTTGAAAAATACGCTTATTTTTGTTCTAAAGCAATTATTACCCCATCCCACCCCAAGTAGCAGAGCAGGCTAAACAATGCACAAAGGACGCCAATCAATTAACTTTAAAAGAAAAAAAAGACACCTGCAATATTGACAGAACATTAGTTGATCCAAAAAGAGAAAAAAAGATTTTATGATTTTTATTTTAGTTAAGCGTGATATTATATCGTGTAATGTAAAACGCAGGATTTTGGTTTAACTCCATACAATGAAACAATTAGTGAACAGTTAATAGTAAAGTGCTTATTCATGATAGTCTTTTCTTTCAAAGGTCCTCCTTGTAGCCCATCTTTCTAATCGAATGCCTTGGGAAGTTGCAGTTCGGAAGTCTTCTTCGCCGAGGGATCAATCTTTGATGTTCACCCTGTTGATCAGGACTGCAGTATTTAAGCACGTGAAGAGTTCCTTTTTCTCATCCATGAGGTTCACTTCTGCTCTCCATACGTTGCCGGCAATATTGATGTGGGACATGGCCTCTCCCAGAGACACATCCACCGTGGCGTTTTCGAGGAGGTACAGCCCCTGCATCCAGACGCAGAAGACTGTATTATTCTAGACTATAATATTCTGATATGAAGGATTCCGTTCTCAGTCACTACGAACAAGATAAACTTAAAACTCTCCGAGGTAAAGTCCTATGACTTTGGTGTGAACAATTTGAAACTATCAGTAAAAATTTACGATGGTAGATTTTACAACCGATCCCATCTTAAATTTACAGCTGAAATTGACATTCAGTTTCGACCATCTCCAGATCATGATGCAGTCTGAAATAACGGTCATTGCTATCTTTTTTGTTGCGAATTTTCTGAATGGTTACTCCGTGACGCCCAGTAAGGGACAGTGGACCAGACGACCGGACCGGTGGTGGAGGTGACCCAAAAGTCTGGACGCGTTTTGAGCTCCAGAGTCACTAAACGGGATTTAAACCGAACATGTGACCCCACCAATGGATTGCTCTCCGAACGCGGAATCCATTTGGTTGGGTCACACGCACGGTTCACGTCCTGGTTAAACTCTCAGCACGTAATTGACTTTTTGCTCATTTTGTCAGTACTTGAGCAAAATCAACTAAGACGGACCAGTTCTTCCGGCGACCCTCTCCGATTTGCCTGATTTTTTGTAGGCTTAATAAATAACTAAAGGAGAGTCTAAAGCCAAAATATTAGGTCCGACAAAAATTTATTGCTTGAGATATGGCCAACTTTAGTTTAACTTTTGGAGAAAAAACACGAATTTGGGTATTTTGGACTAATTTTACACTTTTCATAGTAGAGGGCTAAAATTTGGTCACTCTGTGTAAAATTGGCCAAGGAACAAGAATATGACCTCAGATTTGACCTCCGAAGAATACCTGCAGAGTAAACCCCCTCAAAACCCCCTAAAAACACCTAAAAAAACAGTTTTTTCTTGGGGTTTCTGGGAAAAATATGTGGACAAAAATTTCTGATGACCTCATCTTATAAAAAATGACGCGATGAATCGAATGAGACCACGCGCAGATTTTTATGTCAAACCGTTTAGGAGATATAGCAGTTCAAAGCATGCAAATTTTGCCATTTATTTTTTAAAAAATGTAGGTTTTGAGCATTGTTTGACGTTCTCTGCCTTCTTGGTGTGTGTGGGTGATCTTTCCTTGTGGAAAAAGACGCGCTGAATCGAATGAGACCACGCACAGAGTTGTATCTCCAACCGTTTAGGAGATATAGCGGTACAAAGTATGGGCACGGTATTCCGCCCTCCCAACAGGCGTGTTTGGCGGGCCTGCCTTGTCGGGTGTTTGTAGGAGCTCTCCCGTGCCCATACTTTAAACCACTATATCTCCTAAACGGTTTGAGATACAACTCTGTGCGTGGTCTCATTCGATTCAGCGCGTCTTTTTCCACAAGAAAAGATCACCCACACACACCAAGAAGGCAGAGAACGTCAAACAATGCTCAAAACCTACATTTTTTAAAAAATAAATGGCAAAATTTGCATGCTTTGAACCGCTATGTCTCCTAAACGGTTTGACATAAAAATCTGCGCGTGGTCTCATTCGATTCATCGCGTCATTTTCTATAAGAAAAGATCATCAGCAATTTTTCTCCACATATTTTTCCCAGAAACCCCAAGAAAAAACTGTTTTTTTATGTGTTTTTAGGGTGTTTTCGGGGGTTTACTCTTCAGGTATTCGTCGGAGGTCAAATCTGAGGACATATTCTTGTTCCTTGGCCAATTTTACACAGAGTGACCAAATTTTAGCCCTTTACTATGAAAAGTGTAAAATTAGTCCAAAATACCCAAATCCGTGTTTTTTCTCCAAAAGTTAAACTAAAGTTGGCCATATCTCGGGCAATAAATTTTTGCCGAACCTAATATTTTGGCTTTAGACTCTCCTTTAGTTAGTTATTAAGCCTACAAAAAATCAGGCAAATCGGAGATGGTCGCCGGAAGAACTGGTCCGTCTTAGTTGATTTTGCTCCTTGTGCAAGTAATTTGTGCAACCATAATACGTACTTTTCCTTTTTTAAAGAACTGCTTAGGAAATATTAAATAATGTACTGAGAATTTTGTTTAGTACATAATTTTACAAAGGAAATCAGTCATACTTACTTAGAAAATACTAAGTATTATTGCTGTTTATACGAATACGTTATTAATGAGGAAAAACTCAGTAACGTGCTGAGAGTTTAGCGACTCTGGAACTCAAAACGCGTTTAGAGTTTTGGCCACCTCCACCGGTCTCCTGGCCCTCTGTGCAATCAGTGGAGGTCCCGTAAACTGACCTTAGTGATGGGGCACTTGAAGTCCGGACGGAAGGCGCTCATGAACCCGCTCCACATCATGCCTTTGGTGGTGATCATGTTGCAGATGGCCGCAGTGAATGGCCAGGTGACGAAGTACTCGCAAGTGTTCGAGGAGACGGCCTCCCGACATCTGTGCAGCACCACCTTCATCTGGACAGAGAGTCCTGGATGTGTTAGAGAAGCGCAAGGTGTGTCCGCCATCTTGAATCGAACCGGTGGAGGGTTTCCTCATTGCTTCTCCACTCTCAGACTCGTACTGAGTTTCTGTTAGGGCCCTGATACAGGGGGGAACTGGCTCCTAAAGGGCCCGGCGGGAAAATACTCTACAAATCGAAGAGCGTACATTGAGCATGCCTGCAAGCACGCACTAGCTAGCGCATGCCTGCCAAGCATGCACTTACCAGTGCATACATGTCATGTACACGCTTCCTAATGCAGGCAACTCCCTATCCCTTATGCACTAGATGCATGCTTCAGTTAGCGTGTACATGGCATGTATGCACTAGTAAGTGCATGCTTGGCAGGCATGCGCTAGCTAGAGCGTGCCTGCAGGCATGCTCCAGTTAGAGCATCAATGTACGCTCTTCGATTTGTAGAGTAGCTCAGAGGGGCCCGGATTTGCCTATCTTTTAGGGGTTTTTCATGAATAATAATAGTTTTTTAAGCTTTTTACGCTAATATCGATACTTTTTATTTATTTTGAAGCTATTCCGAGTCAAAAGTATGCTCTGACAAATGTGTTTTTCGGTCTAAAGGGGGCCCGTATAACGGTGGGCCCGGCGGGGATTGACTTTTTATCTCTTGCCATAAAAGTTTTTGTACAAACGTAATATGTACTATTTTCTCTTTAGCTATGATTTTTTTGTCATTTGCAATTTCTCAATTTTCAATTTTTACATGATCTATTCACAATTTTATCTTTACAACGATCAAAATTGTCCATAGTTAAGGAGAAAACAGTACATTTTACGTTTGCTCAAAAAGCGCTACAGTCAGCTCTGGTTAACTGTCCCTCCACTCGGGAGGCGCCGGGAACAGCTAACCAGAGGCCGCCAGGTACCTAGGCCCGGCCCGGCCCGGGACCGAGGGTCCGGCTGGCCGGGAAGGGATTGCCGGCGGCTTAATCCGCTCGCTTGTGGCATATTCCAGTCGAAACAATAAAACTTTTTCTGTACAATTTTCAAACAATCTGTTAACAGAAACGCATAGACGATTAAAAAATAGCAAGGGTGAAAAAAAATGCATAAGCAAGAGAGAAAGAAGTCCATACAGGTCTGAGAGTGTAGGCCACAAATGATCCAGGAAGCGGAAGAAGGGGATAACTCAATTTTGGCCATTTTTCAGGAGAAACAAAAAACTGTTAGCAGGGAAAACTAAAACAAAACAAATGAATGTTGCAGATGTTAATAATTTCAAAAAGCATTAGTAAAATTTTGGAAAAAAAATCAAAAGTGTAAGGTCACTCCGTAGAGGATTTCTGCGACTTATCACTTTCCGTTGAAATGGAAAACAGAGTCAGCTCACCTTATATTTCCTAAACAAAGAGGAATTTTGAGACAAGTCAAGTGGAACAATAGTCTGCATAAAGTGTATGTTACTCTGGTGTATTTTTTGGACTTAGCTCTTTTTTCCAAATTGAAATTTAAAATTAAGGGGGGGTTAAGTTGAGTTGATTCTTTTTACACTAGATCCATAAAAACACAAGTTGAGTTACATCCTTTTGCCAATTTGTCAAACGGACTCATGTAGACTAAGGTTGAGTTATCTCCATTTTCCAATGAAATTTAGACTGTATAAGGGGTTAAGTTGAGTTATACCCTTTTTCCATGTGGATTTTCTCCTAAACTGCTTGGAATTCAGTCAAATAATTTGGTGTAATGATGTAAACCATTCTAAGGCACAATAATAAAATAAAAACTCAATTTGGGGATAAGTCAAGTTATTCCCTTCTTCCGCTTCCTGGATCAAATTTAACTGCAAAGCTACCATGCACTGACCGTGGTGAGCGCTTTGGCCGTCCTCTGGAACTCCATGGCAGCATTCAGGTAGACGACTCCGCGGCCGTCGACAAGCGACGAGTAGTTGTGCACGATGAGCGAGTGCTGGCGTTTGTCCTTGCAGTGCTCCATGTAGAGGACGCGGGGCACCAGGATGGTGCGTCGCGAGCCTGGCCGGCCCTGCAACGCGTTAGAGCACACTGTGAGAACACAAGTAAAACTAAAGCGTAGTATTACCCACTGTTTTCAAGCGCAATCAGTTTACGCTTGAAAACAAGCGTAACAGGCTCATCCGCCAAGATTCCCCCGGATTCCCCCAACCTAAATGCATGGGGTAATTTCTAGTCTACACTGGTAGCCAACGAATGTGACATCACATTCGTTTGAACGTGAAAACTATGATGTCAGATTGAACGTGACAAACAGAGAAAATTCATACTCAAACGAATGTGACACGCCGCACCGCTGTCACATTACTTCAGGTGTGACAAGAAATCAGCAGGAAAACTGTCACATTAAAACGAATGTGACACATGGTACCCATTGACATACATCGTGTCACATCCAAACGAATGTGACACCCATATGCTGTCACGTTCGTTTGAATGTGACATGCCCTAAATGTCACATTCAAACGAACGTGACACGCCCCGGACACGCCATAAGTCTCAGGATATGGCGTGTCACGTTCAATTGAATGTGACAATTCGGGCATGTCACATTCAAACGAACGTGACAGCATATGGGTGTCACATTCGTTTGGATGTGGCACGATGTATGTCAATGGGTACCATGTGTCACATTCGTTTTAATTTGACAGTTTTCCTGCTGATTTCGTGTCACACCAGAAGTAATGTGACAGAGCGGTGCGGTGTGTCACATTCGTTGGAGTATGATTTTTCTCTGTTTGTCACGCTCAATTTGACATCGCCGTTTTCACGTTCAAACGAATGTGATGTCACATTTGTTGGCTACCAGTGTATGCTTGATTTCAAGCGTAACGTCTTCAAGCGTAACTTTATGCTTGACTCAAGACGCTTTAGTTTTACCAGTGAATAAAAAAAAAGACGGACCAAGACGGGTCATCGTTTGGCCTGGACCGTGGACCGTCCCGCAGTGGCCCGAAGACTGGAATATGCGGTCAAAATCCGGACGCGCTTTGAGCTCCGGAGTCGCTAAATAGGACTCGGACCGAACGTGTGACCCCACCGATGATTGCTCTCCGAGTGAGGAATCCATTGGTGGAGTCACACGCTCAGTTCGAGTCCTGTTTAGCGAGAAAACGTTTTTGCTGAGTGCTGATGACGAAAATAACATCCATTTCGACCCCGGACCCCAAAAAGGCCGAGTGCCGACTGATAATAGGAACTGCGCTAATTGTGAACGTTTCAATTCATTTTAAAAAGATGCACCTTATTTATGGACATGAAGTCCATTAGCATTTAGTTTGTGTACAATGTGTGCTCAAAATACTTCGTAAGGTTTCAATACCTTGCGGTATTGAGTGCTGGTGCTGTTTGCCAGTAAGACGAAGGCGACCAGTGCCAGAAGCTTGGCGATCATAGCGGAGAGTAGCCGCTAGCAGTGGCGTGCACTGTTGAAAAAAGGTAAGTTCAGAAACAAGCAAATGAGTAAAAAATTTTATCCATGAAGCGGAAGAAGGGAGTAACTTGATTTACCTACAAATTTTCGTACAACTAAGTCTGATAAGTAAGACCGACTGTAACGTATAATTTTTCATAGCGCAGAATACTGATTGGAATATTCAGACTAACATAGTCGCATATTTAAGATTTTGAAGTATGAAAGTTTTAGTATGAAAATTCAGATTGCATGTGAGTAAAGTAACTTCTTACGTAAAAAGATGAGTTTTAAGTAATTTTCTAGTGGATCGCTAAAAAATTGACAATAAATGTTTCTTTACACATGTCTTTCGATGAAGTTTGAGCTTTGTTGCAGTGAATTTGGCGCAAGCATAATACGAAGCCATTTTCCTTCGTCATGCGAATCCGAGGGGGTATGCGCTCTCTGAACCTGTGTACCGACTATTACGCTATTACGCTCTATTACGCCACAAATTAATCGGAATTTAGCTAAAAACGGCCTAAAACACTCCAAAATTGATAAAATTTTGACAATTTCAGCTATTACGCGACTATTACGCGTATTATTACGCGTGCTAGAGTGAACCGACTATTACGCGAGTGCATACCCCCTCGTGCGAATCTTTTGTGTATTTTCATCGTAAGATCCAAAGAAAAAAACTTTCGGAATACGAAGAAAAACTACGTTCGTATCATGCTTCCGCCAATTTCTTATTCGTTTTGTGTTTAATTTCTTCGTTAGTCACTGAGAGTGTTTACAAGTGCAGATATTAGTGTTCCGGATTGGGTGGGCGGTCAAAACCCGATGACTCCAGAGCGACTCTAGAACTCGGCCGGTGTATGCAGTGCCGCCAACAGACACTGTCAGCAGGCTAGCGTAGGACCTGAGCTAGCCCGTCGGCAGTGCCTACGGGCGGCACTGCATTCACCGCGGCCGAGTTCTAGAGTCGCTCTGGAGTCATCGGGTTTTGACCGCCCACCCAATCCGGAACACTAGCAGATATTGTTTCCCATTGCTGGTGTCAAACCCATCCGACGCGCTTACCGTATGCTCACGCTCTGATGCCCCGCGCTGACCAGTTCTGCGACCTGCGGCACGAAATGCCCCGGACGCAATGACCGGCCTCCATTCATCGTGAGCAGTGAGGGCGAGGCGTGGCGCCAGCCTTTGTATCCCGTTTTCGCCTTTTATCGTTTGCCACCTACGCAACGAAACAGACGCGGTCAATAACACGCCCCCCCCCTTTTTTTCTCTTTCTCTCTCTCTCTCTCTCTCTCTCTCTGCAGGCCTGCCTTTGCTTGCACTCTCAATCTCGTACAATGAAATTTGACCTGTGTTATGTTATGTTTGACCTGTATCATGCTACAGTGAATTCGGCGCAAATTTAATGCAACAATTTTGATCAGGAGCGGAAGAAGGGGAAACCATTTAATACGAAGCAAAAATTTCGTAAAAGCGAATCATTTTGAGATTTTCATTAAAGATACGAAAAAAACTTTCGGATACAAGAAATAAATTAGCGTTCGTAGTTTTTTGCGCCATTTCCTTTCGTTGAAATTTCTTCGTAAGACAGAGAGTGTCAGCTAGCCTTCATACGCTCGAAAACGAATATGGAATGATTTGTGAGGCATGCAAGTACGCAAGCTGGAAATGGGAGGTTCTACTAAAGTGATGCTTACTTGTGTCAATTTTGAGCACTTAGTCTTTATTTCAAGATTGTAAATGTAAAATTAAGTTTGCAGGGTTAAAGCCCCAATCCAGTCGAGTTGATTCTGCTTTTACCAGTTCGACTGAAAAATCTCTGACGCAATAGTCCTTTTCAATTGTAAACGGAGTCTGGGGCACTTCTGTTGGTTTCTCCATTTACCTATGATAATTTGGACCATGCAAAACAGAAGCTGGTTATAACACGCTTCCTTTTCCATGTGATTTTCTCCTATATTTTACTGTCTTTTTTTTTCTGAGCTGCCAAATAATTTGTTGGTCAATGTACTGGAATGACCTTATTCTATGTGCCAATGAAGTGAAAATTCCAAAATCTTTACGAAATATTTGGCGTAGAAAACTTTTTAAGTTATTCCTAAAATACTGAAAAAACCTCTTCACTGGATCATTTGAAAAGGTATTGCTCTATTTATGCTTTGACTTCATTGTACTACAGATATGCAAACAAAGTAACCTTGGTCATACCAATTTGAAATATTGCTCGTATTTTGTTGAGCCATCTCCCTTATAGCCGGGAAATTTGGAATACGAGGACATCGCAACGATCTACATTCTTTTTAAGCTTACAAATGCTCAAAATGCTTTGTTATAACAAGCGTCTTTACTTCGTAACGATTTAATAGTTAGTCAGGTTTTCAGAGGGAGACGCACTAAATAGCTTGTTAACAAATTTGGAATACGAGGACATCGTAACGATCTACATTCTTTTTAAGCTTACAAATGCTCAAAATGCTTTGTTATAACAAGCGTCTTTACTTCGTAACGATTTAATAGTTAGTCAGGTTTTCAGATATAAGACTGGTTTATTGTTGACCTCCCACTATCTTCCTCGACCGACCTGGGGTACCCCGGGTTCAGGGACGCCGCCGACGGTACGTGGGGTGACCCCCCCCCCCTCTCCCCCCGGGGAACTCCCCACTGCGACGAAAACCGTGCTCCACCCCAGGACAAGAGATTTTACGGCCAATTCTCTGTATTTTCGACGGGGCGGGAACTCTACGGGGCCCACTTGTCTCGTCTCACACGTCACTCAGCTGGTGGTTTTCGCAACGTCAACTCCTTTGACCAGTGTCCTTCGAGTCTGTGCCGAGTGTCTAGTGAGTCCTCCGTATCTCTGCCCTGCCGAGCGAGTTCACCTTGTCTCTGCCGAGTGTCCTGCGTATCCTGCGTCTCTCTGCCGAGTGTCCTGCGTATCTTCCGTGTCTCCGACGAGTGTCCTGCGTATCCTGTCTCTGGATGTCCTGCGTTCTGGTCTCCGCCGAGTGTCCTGCGTATCCTGCGTCTCTCTGCCGAGTGTCCTGCGTATCTTGCGTCTCTCTGCCGAGTGTCCTGCGTGTCTTCCGTGTCTCCGACGAGTGTCCTGCGTATCTTCTGTGTCTCTGCCGAGTGTCCTGCGTGTCTTCCGTGTCTCTGCCGAGTGTCCTGCGTATCTTCTGTGTCTCTGCCGAGTGTCCTGCGTATCTTCCGTGTCTCTGCCGAGTGTCCTGCGTATCTTCCGTGTCTCTGCCGAGTGTCCTGCGTGTTCTTCGTGTCCGTGCCAAGCGCCCTGCGTATCCTCCGTCCTGCGTGTCCTTCGTACCAGCCGAGTGTCCTGCGCCACCATGCCCGCCACCACCGCGCCGCGCCCCTGCCGCCAGAGTGCCTCCGGGTCGACGTCGGCCAGGCGCACCTGCGGCCCCACGGTTCCCCGGCGCCGCAGCTCCTCCAACACCGACGTGGTCGTGAAGCTGAGCGTGGTCCGCCGCGCCGCCTCCGGGGAGGACAAGGAGGCCCTCGCCAGAGAGGTCGGCGTTTCCCTCAAGACCCTGAAACGCTGGTGCAAGGCCTCCGAGTCCCTGGCGCAGTTCGAGGTCACCGCCAGCCACAACCGCGCCAGGAACAGAAGGTTCCCGGTGCTGCCCGACTTGGACAAGGCCATGCTCGAGTGGGTGGTGCAGCAGCGCGTCCGCGACAGCCGGCTCCACGGCGGCCACATCACGGAGAAGGCGAGGCAGGTCAACGCGGCGCTGGGCGGGCCGGCCTCCTTCAAGGCCAGCAACGGCTGGCTCAGGTGCTTCCTGCGTCGCCACGGCCTCCACCGGCGGGTTTCCGCCGCCGAGCCTGCAGCGGGGGAGCACGACGACAATCAAGATGATGTCGCCGGAGAGCAGGTGGGTCGAATTAATAAACACTGATACGAGGGGGTAAACACTTCACGAAATCGTGTACAGACTACTCGGTATTACGCTGTATTACGGGTGTATTACACGTGTATTACGGCCCTAAAATGCCAAAATTTGGCACATTTGACCCGAAAATGGTATTACGATCACGTGTATTACGCGTAATACACGGTTTTTGTGTACAGGGTATTACGCGAGTGGTTACCCCCTCGCACTGATATTTCTAATGTGATCAGTTTCATACAATTAGGGGCGATAAAAATCCTTGAGCGATGCCTTTAAATTATCGCATCCATAACAGCAATGAAAAAAATTATCACGTTTAAAGTGTAAGAAGTCTCCTGAATTTTTGACCAGTCTGTTATCACATTTTTGTCGTGATTAAGTGATAACTACGGTAGAAAAGTGATAATCACCTTAATGCAATATAATATTTATCGCACTGATAATGCAATAACTTTTTCATTGCGCTAATAATGCAATATAAATGTTATTACTATTGAAATGAGTTCATAAATGTACTTCGGAAACTATTGAAGTTACAGTGTCAGGGCTAAATTTACTCAAAATAGAGAACAGATAACCTTATGCTGAATTTGACCCAGGTGTCTGCCGCCGAGTCTGCAGCAGAAGTGCACATGGACGATGCTGAAGATGCCTCCGGAGGGGAGGTGTGGCAGCCAATCCAGCTGTAGCGGAGCTCCCCACCTCCCCCGAGGAGCACTTCGACGACGACGACGTCTCCGGGGAGCAGGAGTCCGGAGGGAAGTTGCCCGCGGCCGGTGCTGCTGCAGAGAAGCAACCCTCCTCGCCGGAGCAGCACCCCGACGACCCAGACGACGGCGGGGAGGAGCAGGAAGGCGAGCCCAGCTACATGGAGGTCCTCACGGCGACGTTCGGCGGCGGTCGTAACCGACACCTACTCGATGCCATGCAAGCCTTTGCGGAGGACAGGAACATCACGCTGGCGGCTGATCTCCTGGACGCCCTGAGCCAGATTTCGTCGGGGGAGTATAGTTGGTGATTGTTATTCGTTATTTTTATGGATGCAAGCGAAGTTTTTCCGTCTATGAATCTCAGCGAATTGTTGTAGTTTCGTCAGTGCCTTGTTTGCTGGTTGAAAACCGTTACTGAAAATCTCCTTTTAATGCTACTATTTCCCCTTTTAAAAATATTTCACAACACTTTTTGTCTCAAAGTTGACGATTTTTATTCACTTTTTTGTTTTGTTTTTGATAATCTATGTAAGCAAAGCGTTTAATTATTGTATGTCACTGAATTGTCAGTATTGAGTATTAAAATCTGTTATCAAACATTTCTAGTTCATACAGTGATTTCCCAACTTAATTGAGCCGCACACATTCTACTGCATTAATGAAACCTGTATTTTGATCTTGTGCGGCAAAATGTCGCCTTTTTGGTTCAACAACATTTGTTTCATAATGGCATTCTCTGTTTGGGAACGACTAAATTTTCACCTATCTGATTGTTTCTGCACAACTACTTTTAACTGCGTGTGACCAATAACAAATCAAAGTCATGTTTGATGTCTGCGACAAATGTTGATTAAATGGTCTTGTCGCCAACTTCAGTTTTCAAGATTCTACTTTCAATGATGATAAACTGCCAATGACTTAAAAAACACATAGATGAAGAATCCAATACTACTCATCATTTATTCAGACAAAATAAGATCGTGATAAAATGAATTTTGTTCTTATATGACAAAATGTCGCTTCCTAGGTTCAGCGACATATGTTTCGCTTTGGTTCATGATGACATTCAATATTTACTAATGACTAAATGTTCACTCACTTGCGCTTTCCTGTACAACCATTTCTAACAGTGTACTGAAAGCTGTTATGGTCTTAATAAAAATGAATATGCTGGGGGCTCGATATGAACGTTAGGGCCTTACGACCCTGCGAAAAATCACGCTATCCTTTCATTTGCCGTCCACTATCACAGAACCACCACGATGACCAGCCGGCCGCCGCTGCACGAAAATCACCGACGTGAATTCTAAGATATATTTTTAATTTCTAGCAAATGTTGAGATATCAAAGTAACCATTCACAATTGTTTATTGCAAAGACTCTGCAGAACTATCCGAATGAAAATCTTCATCTCCACTGTCGGCAGTGTCGCCGTCCAGGAACTTGACTTTGAGGAACCGAAGTTCCACGTGGCATCCTTTCCGATAAAGGAAGCAATCACCAGTGTGCTTCCAGCTCAGCACGTCGAGACCCTCCTTGTGTATATAGCCGAACAGCTTGCAACCCGCACGCTCCTTCTCACTCGCAGACCTGCGAATTTTAAACACGAACATAGCAAGTGAATTAACCGACGACCGTACACAGCGGTCCAGAGGACCGGTGGAAGCAGCCGAAACTCTAGACGCGTTTTGAGCTCCAGAGTTGCTACGCAGAGCTCAAACCAAACGTGTGACCCCACCAATGGATTCCCCGTTCGGAGGGAAATCCATTGGTTGGGTCACACGTTCGCACAGTGGGCCAGAAACCGGCGGAGGCGGCCAAAATTCTAGACGCGTTTTGAGCTCCCGAGTCGCGAAACAGGACTCGAACCGAACGTGTGATCCTACCAATAGATTCCTCGTCCGGAGAGCAATCCATTGGTGGGGTCACATGGTCGGTTCGAGTCCCATTTAGCGACTCTGGAGCTCAAAACGCGTCTAGAATTTTGACCGCCTCCGCTGATTTCTGGCCCACTGTGGTTCGGTTTGCGTCCCATTCAGCGACTCTGGAGCACAAAACGCGTCTAGAGTTTTGGCCGCCTCCACCGGTCTTCTGGCCCACAGTGTCGCAGTGACGACATGCCGGGAAAGCACTGACCTGCGCAGGAAGAAGTAGAGCTCCTTGGGGCCCGTCTTGTACAAAACGGCGCCGGGCCGCATCTCCTTGCGACCCTCGGGGACTGGGGCGAGGCGGTCCACGATGTCTGCAGGCAGCTCGACGTCACAGAGAAACCTCCGGTCCTTGCAGAATGTGAGGGCGAGGGGTTTGCCCACCAGCGTCTGAGTGCAAAAGTGCAATGCGGTGAGATTACAACACTTCGACCCTGACTTGGGAATCATGCACTGGTAGAACTGAAGCTTAACTCTATGCTTGAGTCAAGCATAAAGTTACCGGGGCCTGAAGTGAAGAACAAGAAGAACAAACACCGGAAACAGTACCGAAAATCAACTTTTCTCATAGCTTTTGGCAGATTTAAACCATGCACTCTCATTCCAGGAACGTGACATCCGTTCAAACGAATGTAAAAACTGTCACGTTCCTTTGGGCATTGTATCACATTCGTTTAGATGTGTCTCAGCCATAAATTGGCTTATTCACATTCAAGCAATTGTGACACAATGCCCAAAGGAACGTTACGTTTTGTCATGTTCGTTTCAATGTGATGTCTTCCGGGACTGAGAGTGTGTTTATGATTAAATTTATCTTTCATGAATTAACACTCATCATCAATGAATAATTATTTGGCATCTGTTTCCGGCTTGTGCTGTTACACTGCAAATCCAGTGGTAAGTTTACTTGCCACAAATTTGGCAAGCCGTTTTGAGAATGCCAAAATTTGGTATACTTTGGTCGGAAATCTTCATAAGCTTGCAAAATTTTGGCAAGCTGGGAGGTATTTCTGGGCCAAACTTGTCAAATTTTGGCACTCAAAACGGCTTGCCAAATTTGTGGCAAGCAAACTTACCACCGGATTTGCAGTGTAGTCTTCTTTATCTTCGCTCTGGGTTCTACTAGCAGTAACTACGTATTCCCGATTTATTTCATAGTGTACCCTGCAAAGCGTCTCGTGACTCCCCGTGGGGAGAGGCTCCCGTAGCGCCAGGGCCACCGGCACGGTGCCCGCCGAGATGCTGTGCGGGCCCCCGCCACCGTCGTCGAATCCGCACTGGGTTAGCAGCAGTGTGGGCACCGTTCTGAAGTTGCACCCGTCGTCCTGCAAACACACAAGGCCACTAAGTCAAAAACCATACTTCACACACCGCGGAGCGGCTAAAACTCCTAACGCGTTTTCAGCTCCAGAGTCGCTTAACAGGACACGAACCGAACGTGTGAGCCCGCCAATGGGTTTCTCGTTCGGAGAGCAATCCATTGGTGGGGTCACACGATCGGTTAGAGTTCCACTTAGCGACTCTGAAGTTAAATTCTTACAATAAAGATTTGAGGCCCTTTTGAGGTAAGTTTAGGGATCCCTGATTTTCGAACACTAATTGGAAAATAAGATGTGACTCCAAAAATGCACCAGACCAATTGAGACTCTTTGCAGACTTAAACTCCCTTTGAATTGCCCCCAAATTCCACCTTGTTTGGGGGAACTTAGTGAACATGGTTCCGTAGTCCACTCTAACGTAAAGACTTGTAATCTTAGAGACCGTATGCTGAGTGACTTTTAACTTTCAAAAATATTCACAGCTACTATATATTTTTGTTTGAAAAATATTCGTTTGCATCTTGCGTTTGTTTAGTTTTAGTTTTATCTGCAAACAGATTTTAGTTTCTCCTGAAAAATGATCTCTTCCGCATCATGGATCAATTTTTCTAGGTGTATATGACTGACCACCCACCACCATGCACTTAATTCCTTTGTACAATTTTTGTACGTGGTCTCATTTTATTTTAAGCATGCGTTCTTTTTGTACATTTTTAAACGAGATTTTGCACGAATTTGTGCAATACTGAGTGGACATTTTGACGAAAAGCTAGAAGTGTGCTGCATCCTGTGAAAGACCACATACAAAATTGTTCGAATACTGAATGTATCACTGTTTGCTGCCTCACCTCTTGGATTGCTGCCTCCAGTCGCCTGACGTTGTCCTTCGCTTTCCTCAGCAGCGTCTGGGCCACCTTGAGATGCGCCCGCATCGCAGCGCGGCCCGGCTCGGATCCCAGGATGGAGACTGCGTGCCCCACGCAGAACTCCTCCATGCCCATGCCGCCGGCCCTGACCGCCTTGTAGCACGCTTCACACTCCCACCATGGACCCCTGCAATCAAGCGTCCACCACACTGATCAAAATATTGTCGTAACTTAGCAAACTTATTTATTACTGATTTATGTAGCGACAAGATTTGTTTTGAAACAACAAGCTTCTTAAACCAAAGTTGTATACTGCAACGACAAACTTGTAATAACAAATTAACATTCCAGCCTCAAAAACAAGTCGTTGATCACCATCAGACGTTGTTAGTCAACGACGTATGGTAAGTCAAACCAGATTTTGTAATGTCTCCAACATATATTGATTCAGTAGTTTTGTTGCTAGCATTATTTTTCATGGTTCTAATGCTAATAAAAGTAACCTCCTTTTGACTAAGAAGAACAATATAGATGATGATTACAATATTGTTCATCGTTTATTTTAATTGAACGGATAATGGCGAAAGATGTTTGCACACAAATTAATTGTTAATGGTGATAACAAGTACTATGTTCCTCTACTACAAATAGTCGCTCTCTAGGTTCAAGACTTGTTTTGCGCTAGTTCATGATGACATCCTATATTTCGGACTGACTAAATTTTCATTCATCAGATTGTTTCTGTACTACCATTTTCTAAGAGTGGATGGAATTATTAATTGCGTTTTGGAATCGTCCACTTATTACATAACGTTTGTCATAGCTCTGTCCACCTGCAGCCAGAATGTTGCTTAGGACCAGGCAACATAAGGAGTAATCTCAATCAAAGTTGGACCAAAATCTAGGGTTAGGTTATGAAACCGGCTTAAGCTTTGAACATACGAAGGGCTATCAGCCCTCGAGTGAATATTGGATATCTTTCCGAACAACCCCAACAGTTCCCTACAAGTTCGAAAACTTAGCGTTAAAGATTATTCTTTTGGCTAGCGCTGTAATAGTTAGTCTGGTTCTGACTTGTGTTTCAACTTACTGGCAGAGAGAAAAGGTGTCAGTAAAGGTAAGCACATGTTTTACCACTTCACATAAATGGGTACAAACAATAAGTAATTTCTAAAATATTGGCTCCTTAAAAATATTTCTTTGAAGTGAGGTTTAAACCAGAGTTCGTAGTTAGGTTGGAAATAGAGTTGTTACAAAACTCATTGGTTTAATGTTACTGAAAAGAATTTCTCAAGCTTCCTCCATGAGGGGCATTCAACAGCAATCGCTTACTCTCCCTCAACATTTAATAATTTTCACTCCATAACCTAACTGCGCACAAAAGTTTGATTTGTTTTGTCCACAATTTTTGGTTGCCATACTTACACGTATAGGGCAAAAAGTAACACGGAGACATTAGAAACGACAAGTTTCGTTCTCATTAAAACAGAAATTTGATAAACTGGCCTTTTAGTTCAAAAATGAAATTAAAATTCGATTAATTTTTTCAAATAAATGGAAAAGGAAATAATTTTCAATTACTTATTAGTATAAAGTCCACAGGAGCTCCAAAACAAATTTCAGACTTGAACGTCTAAATTCCTTGTGCAAGATTTTGAACACAGTGACTAAATGAAGGAATAAAAGCCCTGTGTCTGAATGGGCTGATAAATTTGAACAAATTGGCATGAAATAGTGCTTAAACAAAATGACGAAGTTTTGAAAGCCTTTAGTAGTTTCATCCACACCACTTGACATGTAAGTTATGGCATGGTTGTTGACCAGTTAAAAAAAAGTTTGGCTCTAGACTGATGTATGATGATTGATGTAGAAAACGAGATACCTAGTCGAGTATGACTAGTTTCGTGAATAAAAACAAACCTCAAACAAATGGCAAGGTGCCCCCTAACCAAGCAAATAACAAAAATATACTATCATATCGTTGCATAGCAAACTTCAGTGATGTGGCCTTGCGCTTGCTCCGGAAAATTAGAGATGGAAGCACGAACCAAGGGCCCTGCGAAACGAACCCACTCACCTCGAGCTGGAGCCGCTGGTCCTTCGTGCCTTCTGAGACGGTTCCCCGGCAGCCATCTCGAGTATCCGCAAGCCAAACACAATGACAACGACCTTGCTCGAGGCAGCACTAGTTGATCCAATGCAAGGGAGCATTCATTCTTGGCATGGCACTTTACCTTCGAGAAACTCCTGTGATTTATAACCTCACTGTCTCGACGGCACGCACACGCAACAGGAATCGTCGAGGAGTGGAGTGACTCAAGGCAGGAAGGACTGCACTAGCACTGGCGCTGGACGAGGAGGGAGAAGGGGGAGAAATTGGAGGGGGGGGCGTCGATGAGAGTGGATGCTGCTGTGCAACCGCAACCGACATCCGGGCGGCCTACAAGAGTGGGTTGTGCTTCGTTTCACGTTTATATGCTTATAGAGATAAAATTTTCCAGATTTATATTTGCATAAAGTCTTCCTCACGGTCTACCTCAGCATGTCAGTCTCAAAGCACGCCGGAAGACTTTAATTGGAAAATTAGTGGAAAATTTCCTCTGAGGGAAATTTTTCTTGCAATACGTATGTCAAAACACCTTTTAAAACTGGACATTTTCATGAAAAGACATGGAAGGTTTTCAGAGTGCAGAGTGTCTGCATTGAGGTCTGCGGTACGAAACCAGAAACACAATAACTACTCTAAAACAGAAAGCTGACGTGATTTTAGTGAAATTATTTCATTGAAGAGTACCAAAACTAAAATGAAATGCACTGAATTATTGAAAGAATCACTCATCAGTGCAACAACATGTTTCAACAGAGGTGACGACAACTTTGACAGAGAAGAAGATCTCGCAACTCAAGTATCTTATCACAAAACGAATGAACTAAAGTTATACACCAAACACAAAATTTAAAACTAAAAATCAATCTAGTGAGAACAACTAGCCCAGCCGGGAAACAAAACCTAGAAGGGTCTTGTGATGGTAGATGTCAGAGCAACAGTACAGATAACGTCTGCTTAAGTATACCAGAAAATGTTCAAAACTTTCACTCAAGAATAACACTCAGCTGATATAAACACTTGAAAGGTATTTTAAGAACATACATTGTCCAAACTTCGACGACAGTTTCCTCGCGGATTCACGGGTAGTGGACCTGAACCGGACGCAGCACAGTGCGCCAGAGTAGCACCGGCGAAGGCGGCCAGAACTCTAGAAGCGTTTTGAGCTCTAGAGTCGCTAAAGGGGACTCGAATCGAGCGTGTGACCCCACCAATGGATTGCTCTCCAAACGAGGAATCCATTGGTGGGGTCGCACGTTCGGTCCGAGTCCCATTTAGCGACCGCGGAGCTCAAAACGCGTCCGGGATTTTGACCACCTCCCCCGGCCTTCAAGTACACTGTGCACAGCTACCGGTCGCAGTCCTAGTAGTAAGCATCACTGTCATCGTCATCATCCGAGTTGGCTTCGCCATTCCAGCCCAGCCCGGGACAGGCTTTGCTGTAGCCACACTCAGCGCAGGAAGGGCCGTCGACGAGCAGTTCCACCACCACGTCCGGCATCTGGAGGGCGAACTCGTCGCGCACGGCGACGAACTCGGACTGGGACAGGAACGAGAACCTGCCGTGCTCCCCTCGGCAGAGCGACACGGCGGCGTAGCGCAGCGCGGGGGTCTTCATCTGCAGGGCGAGCTCGAAGGCGCGGCGCACGGCGCCGACGGCGTCCTGGCCGACGGGCCTGGGGCGGCTGCCGGCGTCCTGGAAGGAAGAGGTGGGCGACGTTTCACTATATTGACAACAATTACAATATTGAAATTCCCATATTGCTATGTAGAAGCTTCCAATGTAGATATTGAATGTAGAGTATACACTCTTAGATTCGGATTGACTTTTTTCTCTGTAGCTTATTGCGTTTTTTGAGCAAACGTAAAGTGTACTATTTTCTTCTTAACTATGCACAATTTTGATCATAATGAAGATAAAATTGTCAATAGAACATGTAGAAATTGAAACGTACATTGCAAATGGCAAAAAGTCTGGTTTAATGGACTAAGTTTATTATACAATGAGCAAAATATTGTATAGCTAAAAAGAAAATAGTACATATTACGTTTGAACAAAAACCTTTATGGCAAGAGATAAAAAGTCAATACGAGTCCGAGAGTGTATTGATAAACCAATATTGAACTTTAAAATTTACTGAGCGATATCGTTGAAAAAATGGAGAGTTAGTGCACGATTCATGGTCCTGTCCACAGTGGGCCAGAAGAACGGCGAGGTTAACAGAACTCGAACCGAGCGTGTGACCCCACCAATGGACTCCTCATTCGCAGAGCAATCCATTGGTGGGGTCACATGTTCGGATTGAGTCCCATTTAGCGACTCTGGGGCTCAAAACGCGTCCGGGATTTCGACCGCCTCCCCCGGTCTTCTGGCAAATCCACTGTGCAGCCCTACCTGGAAGGCGTTGATCGTGACTCGCTCCAGACCGCGCAGCGCGGCGCACGCGTCCTTGTCGGAGGCCACGGGCATGTCCACGTCCAGGACGCGCAGGTTGGGCGCGCCGCGGACCAGGTCGCCGACGAGGCCGCACGGCGGCTCCGGGTCCTCGGCGTCGCGGGGGCAGCGCGCGTGGAGGTGGAGCTCGCGGAGCTCGGGCAGCCCGGCGGCGAGCTGGCCGTCGTACGCCGCGCCGGGCAGCGTCACCAGCTCCAGCGTCTGCAGGCGCCGCATCCGCGCGATGGCGGCCAGGCTCGCCGCGCCCTCGGCCTCCGCGGCCAGCAGCAGGCGCAGTTCCCGCAGCTGCGGCTGCCGCGCCAGGAAGCGCGCGATGCTCGACTTGGGCGTCTTGGCGGCGGACTGCGGCCAGCAGAGCTTCGGCAGTTTGGCCACCCACCTGGCAGAAACACGGAAGGAGTACACTGTGAAAATGTGTTGTCACTTTAGGCGGCGTGCAACTGTTAGGTCATCAGTTTTGAGGGGGAGGGGGTACGGCCTTTGATGACGGTCTATGTTAAATATACATGGGAAGGTCAGATTAAATCGATGACGGACCCGGGGGGGGGGGGGGGGGTCAAAAAGAGGCCTAGGAGACGTGATACTTGCACGCCGCCTTATGACAATAACGTGGTTGATATTTTTATCACTTTCAAATGATGACAACCTCATCACAAATTGACGACATTTTCATCGAAGCTCCTATGTTTACTGCATGGGCATGACAACAATGTCATCAATTTGATGACATCCTTGTAAGGAAAATTAGTCTTGAAATTGCCATGAGGTGATGACTCAAATTTTCACAGTGTAGATGGTCGAGACTGCAGACCTAATGGGTGCAGGGTCGTTGATCTACGCCTGATTTTAAAACGTTAACAGGCAAAATTTTTTGACGACGAAAATCCTCAACCTAGCAATGAATGACCACTGTTCTTCTGGCCCACTGTGGGGCAGCGTACACTCCTCTCAAGCACCCACACAGTGGGCCAGAAGACCAGTGGAGGCGGCCAAAACTCTAGACGCGTTTTGAGCTCCAGCGTCGCTTAGTGGGACTCGAATCGAACGTGTGATTCCACCAATGGATTGCCCTCCGAACGAGGAATCCATTAGTGGGGTCACACGTTCGGTTCGAGCTCTGATTGGTGACTCTGGAGCTCAAAACGCGTCTGGAGTTTCGGCCGCCTCCACCGGTCTTCTGGCCCACTGTGACCCACCAGCCCTTCTCCAGGATCGTCACGCTCTCCCGCACTGTCACGTTGCTGAAGCGCAGCGCGGCGCGCAGCCGGCAGCGGTTGATGGGGCCGTAGCGGCCCCCCGCTGCGTACTGCTTCCGCACGTAGGACTTCCTGGTGAAGCAGCGCCGCGCCCAGCGCGCCTCGATCTCCAGGGACCTGGCAGCGGGCGCGCGCCGCAAGATGCGGGCCTCGTCAGCCACGTCGTTCTTCACCACCAGCCGCACACCTGTAGACACGGGGAAATCACTTTCCACTTCGGTACACTACAAACCTAACAGTCTACTAGTACGCACTTACAAATACACGCTTGGCCAAGTACACACTAGGAAATGCATGCTTGCCAAGTACACACTTACAAAAGCCTATGCTAAGCATGGAATTAAACGGCGCGAAGCGTGCGTTTGAAAGTGTGTACTTGCCGATGTGCAATAGGATTGATATATAATAGGTATTTGTAGTGTATTCAAAGGATCGAATGAATTACAATTGAAATTCGATGAGTTTCGGGCAAAACTTTGGAATGTTGGGAGGAATTTCGATGAATTTTAACAAATTACGGTAAATTTCGAGGCAAGTACGCCATTTTAAAACGACATGGCAAAAAGTTTCTAAATTTTAAAGGCAGTGTGGGTACAAAATGTCATGCACTCAAAGTCTACGTTGCTTCATAAGTACGAAGACAATGAAGGCACTAGAACCAAGAAACTTAAAAGATTTCTCAAGACGAAATTGATAATAATTTTTGTAAAACTAATTAAAACGTTATTGCGCTTATTAATGAGCACAATCGTCCACTGCAAGAAGAAGTGTGGATAGTACAATAAGAGTACAACAAAAACTGGACACGGAAAGTGCAACAGGGATTGTGGAAAGAACAACGAGAATTGTACAAACCACAACGAGGCCTGGACTGCGCAGCACTCTTCATGCCTGATCCATTGTACTTTGTACAACAATTGTTGTACTTAATAAAAACCTGATAAAAAATTTGCCGGAAATTTGTGTGTTGTGGTTAATTCTTGCAGTGTCATTAGGGTCAGGGCGGGGAAGAACTGGACAGGGGAAGAACTGGACACCCCATATTTTACTACAAATACCGTAGGCACAGGAAAAACAACTATCAAAAGTTGTTCCGTAGCATCAGCGGTTCATTACACGACAGTTGTCAGGCCAGTACATACGGCAAATGAAGTAAAATGTGGGGTGTCCAGTTCTTCCCCTGTCCAGTTTTTCCCCGCCCTGACCCTATGTTGTTATAAACGAAGAGTGTGAGAGTGCACGTACCTGCCCAGGAAGCGGGGTCGCGCGCCACGCGGCACCACCGCTTGCACACCAAGGGCAGTGTGTCCAGCAGGGTGCGGCCGTCGGACAGGTTGCTGAACACCTGGGTCAGGATCTCGTCGGGGAGGACGTCCACCAGGGCGCCGCGCTTAGCTTCCAGTCGCCGAGACCTCCGTTGGTCTTCCATTGCGGTGCGGTAGTCCTCAGCGGAACTATGAAAGGACTAGATTTAACGTGTGGCAATAGTGTGTTTTAACGAATCCCTGGACCGGAAGTCAAAAGAACAGAAGTATACGTAGTATAAGATCTAAAACCACTTCTGCGCATGCGCAGACGTCTGAGTTGGCGTCTGCGTACACTGCGAAGCCAGTGGTAAGTTTGCTTGCAACAAATTGATCCAGGAAGCGGAAGAAGGGAATAACTTGACTTATCCCCAAATTGAGTTTTTATTTTATTATTGTGCCTTAGAATGGTTTCCATCATTACACCAAATTATTTGACTGAATTCCAAGCAGTTTAGGAGAAAATCCACTTGGAAAAAGGGTATAACTCAACTTAACCCCTTTTACAGTCTAAATTTCATTGGAAAATGGAGATAACTCAACCTTAGTCTACATGAGTCCGTTTGACAAATTGGCAAAAGGATATAACTCAACTTGTGTTTTTATGAATCTAGTGTAAAAAGAATCAACTCAACTTAACCCCCCCTTAATTTTAAATTTCAATTTGGAAAAAAGAGCTAAGTCCAAAAAATACACCAGAGTAACATACACTTTATGTAGACTATTGTTCCACTTGACTTGTCTCCAAATTCCACTTTGTTTTGGAAATATAAGGTGAGCTGACTCTGTTTTCCATTTCAACGGAAAGTGATAAGTCGCAGAAATCCTCTACGGAGTGACCTTACACTTTTGATTTTTTTCCAAAATTTTACTTATGCTTTTTGAAATTATTAACATCTGCAACATTCATTTGTTTTGTTTTAGTTTTCCCTGCTAACAGTTTTTTGTTTCTCCTGAAAAATGGCCAAAATTGAGTTATCCCCTTCTTCCGCTTCCTGGATCAATTTGGCAAGCCATTTTGGATGCCAAAATTTGGCAAGCTTTGGTCGGAAATCTCCATAGGCTTGCAAAATTATGGCAAGTGGGGGGCTATCTCCGGGCCAAGCTTGCCAATTTTTGGCATTCAAAACTGCTTGCCAAATTTCTGGCACGGAAACTTACCACCGGATTTGCAGTGTGGAAGAGGTTCGAGTTCTTTATGTTCCTTGACTTCTGGTCCAGGCCAGGGAAACGTATAAATACCCCATACTGCAAGTTTGAGTGCCTCAAACTGGGCAACCCTTGACTAAAAACCTTAGTTAGCTTGCCAATTTTTGACGCTTTGGCCACCGGCAAAGTCAAATTTTGAGAAGCTGAGAAGAATTACGGGGCTAGTCCATCACTCACTTACAACGACGGCCCACTTGTAAATACGTAGGATATTTCAGAGGTGGTCCAAAACGGAGGCCAGGATCCGTAATGTTGGCCGGAAACTCATTTGGAACGAGCTAATTTCGAGGCGTAACGGTCCCAATGTTGTGACCAAAGGTTGTACGATTGGGTTAGTTTCAAGTGACTCCAGTCCTAATGCACATTAATTCACTAGCGCGATCAAAGATGAACATTAATTTAAGTGTTTCCGGTACAGACTGCAGCTCTTGGCTTGCGGTCCAGGCCTCCCCTAAAACGCTTTGAGCAGAGAAAATTGACAAGGTAGGTGTACGCCAGGCAGTGGTTTGTCGTAACAAAAATGTCCTCTAAATGCGTTACGTATTTCATGGACGGCCCCTCAGCTACTTACTTATTGCAAAGATGTTCGGAACGGTAGGTAAAAAGATTCAATACGTCGGTTGGAACTGATTTCGGGGACAAGCCGATTGTGATAGACACTTCCAGCAAACCCAGAGCGAAAAAGAAGATATGGAGTGTTCATAATCTCAATCCAAGATTGTATGAAAGTTTAGTTGTGTGGTTGGGCATGACTTCAACCTGCCACAACCCCCGAAAAAAGATTATTTCTTAAACTGTATCCGGTCTACGTACTTCATGTTCTTCTTAACTTCAGGCTGCTCGTCTACAAGAGAGTGGTGGGGTCTTCGCGCTGCACCCCGTGCGTCACGGAATCAACCCAAGTAAGCAGGGTTTCCGGGAAGAAGGATCCCTAACCGACAAACAAGCGTGCAAGTGTACTCCCCAGCGGAAAGTCCCCCTCGGGTGCCTTCGGGTCAACTTCGGGTGTAGCCGAGCGACTTCGGGTGCGATCGGGTGTCGACTCGGGAGCGCTCTCTACTCGGCCCGGCCGAGTCTGCTACTGCTAACAAACCACCAGTACGCCGCCACAGACAGCCAGGCTGTAGGCTGCCAGCTGACTGCATCTGCATACGTTCCACTCACGCCTCGCACTATCGTTGACTTCGTCGCGTCCTTGTCCTCCAGGTCCGGTTCCTCTTCTCCTACCCACTACAACGCAGAGGCTCCAGCAGCGCAGCAGCCGTCGTTCGTCGTTCGCTGTCTGACTTGTGAGGCAACTTTCTGTCCGCAGGTACGTAAGTGCTTAGGATCTACTGTACTTCTACGGGATTCTGCAAAGCGAAAGGATGTACTGTACTTCTACGGGATTCTGCAAAGCGAGCGGTAATTTTGCTTACGTCAAACTTGGCTAGCCGTTACGAATGCCTAAATTTGGCAACCTTTTTTCCTGATATATTCACACTCTCACCAAACTGTGGCTAGCTGGGGAGCATTTCCGGGCCAAGCTAGCCAACTTCTGTAATACCAAACGGCCTGCCAATTTTTGTGATAAGCAAACCTACCACTGGCTTTGCAGTGAAGTCAGAAATGACGGTTTCCATGAAAAATGAATGCGGAGATGAGATCCTGACCCCATCCGCTGCGTTCACTCTCAGACTCGTTCTGTCTTTGTTTCGTAACGTATCGACGTTTGTGCGCACAAGCTTGCGAACATTTTCATTTGCTTTAGTTACATTTTAATGATGTTCGTCATGACAGCTCTGTCAAGCTTCTGAATGAATTTCTATGTATGTGCACTATCGTTGTGATCTGTGCTTTATGACCTGCTTATGACCACTGATCTGAGTAAACCTCAAGGCACGCTGTATCTTGCCGCGTGTTCGACAAGGAAGCGTGCTTTTTGTTAATATGAAACCTTGTTACCACTGCAAAGCAAGTGGTAAGTTTGCTTGCCACCTATTTGACAAGCCGTTTTGAACGCCAGATTTTGGCAAGTTTCGGTCGGGAATATTCATTAGGTTGCCAAATTTTCGCAAGCTGTTGAGTATTTCTGGGTCAAGCTTGCCAATTTTTGGCAATCAAAACGGCTTGCTAATTCTGTGGCAAGTAAACTTATACCACCGGCTTTGTAGTGTAGTCGTAGAGCGTGCTTCCAGGCATACTCCGTGCTTTCCGGGACGAAATGTGCTTTGTACTTTACTCGCAGGTGGAGCATGCCATGCACTCTCTTGAGTTTCTAGAGTAAGCCAGAGTTTTAATCCAGGGAGTAGCGTGATGAATTTACTAACACCTTGCACTTTTTCTTTTTCTTTCAGATAAACGGGCTTGACGCACTACTCTCGCCACTCTACACTTCGACTTGACTGCGAGGAGAGAAGAGGGAATCATGGCCGAATGCCCCGAGCCCTTCGTGAGCCGTGACGCTGCTTTCGAATCCTTGAAGGCGGAGTACGAGGCTTTAGCATCGAGACCAGGCTTCCAAATCCTGCCACGCACCACTGATGTGCCGAGGGAGAGAGATCACGCGGTTTACGTAAGTGTCTCGGGCATGAAAGTGCCTGATTTATGCATTTCTTCTCCCGAGTAATCGTAATACTGACACATATTCATCTCGGTCAACTACGCAATTGTGAAATTAACTTCCGGTTTTTCCGGTAATGTGGCAAATTTCGGCATTCGATTGCCGTGGTACACGTGCAATATGCCCGTAATACACAGTAAATGTCTTACGGTGAAAGGCTGCACCAACATATTATGGTGGAGATTTTCTCCATAATACCAACGAAATTCGTCAAAATCTCTATAAGGTACAGTGAATTCTCAATGGTATGTTACGAAGTCAGCTGCACCACCATAATATGGAACATTTTCACCATAATATGGAGAATCTTCACTGTAGAACATTTAGAGTGTACAGCGTAACACCGAGTAGTCAGTGTTTTTTTAAGTGTTTTCCCCCTCCGCAGGGAACTATGGTTGACTTAAGAGACACTTCAAGTAGATCTGAGTGCTGCAGTTGAGTTACCTTCTTTTCTATGTGGATTTTCTCATGAACTGCTCGCAATTGAGCCAACTAATTTGGTGTACATGCGAACCATCTTGGGGCACCCTTATATAACATGAGTCTAATCTGGGCACACTGAAAACCTTAAGAACTATTTTAGGTCTTTTTAGGCCTGGAAAGTTATCCTTTAGATCCAATACGACTTAAGTGCAACAAGCTATTCGTTCCAAAACAAATCTTGCTGTTAAGGTGAGGTGTGGGTGAAAATGGAAACTTCTGTACCAATTGGCTGTGGTGGTCGAAACTTGAGGGCGTTTAAATCTACTCCCCCATTAAGCCACAGTAGGCTTTTTTCAATGAAATTAAGCGTTTAGTAGATAAATCAGCCACGCAAAGTTTTTTGACGGAATGATCTGAAATTTTTTTGGTTACCTAAAACCCTATACTTCAATGTAACAGAGAGATATTTGAATATTTTTTTTGGTTTTGACGGAGCAAACTTTACAATTTTTGAATTGGAAAAAATAAGTTTTTTTCTCCGTTTTTTACTACTTTAAGTTAAACTATTTAAGGAAGTGGATAGAACAGAGAGATATTTGAATATTTTTTTTGGTTTTGACGGAGCAAACTTTACAATTTTTAAATTGGAAAAAATAAGTTTTTTTCTCCGTTTTTTACTACTTTAAGTTAAACTATTTAAGGAAGTGGATAGCTATTTGAAATATCTCTCTGTTACATTGTTACATCGACCACAAAGAACTACTCCAAGAAGTATGGTCAGTATAAAACAAAACTGTATGCGTGGCTAATGATGGAGTAGAAAAAAATTTCTTCTGCACTTGTCGTAAGAGTTGGGTGCCTAGAAAAGGCTCATACATAATACATACAACAGTCCATGTTAGATGAACCACTTACTTAGGGGTTCATAACAAAGACCTTTAGGACATGGTGTCAGTAATAGAAGAATATTGCACATAAAACAACAAGTGAATTGAATTTATCATTTTAATGAATTTTCGTACAAATTTTCACCCACACCTCACCTTAATGTCTTGCCAAGTTACGACAAAATTTTTATCGGTGTGCACCGTCCAATGACTTTTGGTTTTCTGCAGTAGGTTCTGACTGCCTTGTACATATTATTTGTTTTGCAGGGCATCAATTGTCTTCTCGAGGCCAAAGACGCCGCTCTTCTCTGCTACGATGCCGTAAGGAAGGATGACGACGACGGCAAGACAAGCTGGCAGTTGAGCTTCGTTAGGGCGTACCCGGACAGGCAGCAACTCAAGGGCCAGGGTCCAGAGTTTTTTAATGGCCTTTTCGCGGTTTTAGGCGTAAGTTAATAATTTTGTTTTGGTTCTGCCATTTATGTTTTACATGGAAAGACAACTCATTAATACAAACCAATTTTGTTTGCAGGACGTTATATGTTGCAGAGATGAGTTGAAAGTCCAGATGTGAAATGTAAAAACAGCCTTTGTATACCTACCTTAGATTATTTACAGTATTATTAAAAGAACCTTTAAGAACTCTGTATTCCTTTAAAATCCTTTTGGTCCACTGTCAGTGTTTACATTCATGGCTCACGATAGACTATTCCAGCGGAGCCGAGAAGAAGAACAAAAGGCGAGCAGGTCACATCCGGTTGGGTCACAACGAACCATAGACAATCAACTATATCCATAGACCAACTGCTTCATGCCCGGCTGGGATCCATGTGTTACGCCGCTCCCTGATTGGTCGGTACCTTTCACTTCAACATTTCGAGGTTCAAACTCGACAAATGTAAATTTTGGTGGTCTGATTGCATTCAGCCTGTTCAAATCTATATATCTGGTTCTTGGTTTTTGAGCAAAGCTTGTTGGTATAAACACCAAGTGGAAAACAAACAATCAGTTGTCGGCACCAGCGGCACGAGCGGTGTTCCTCCGTAAAACTTCCTCTGAGGCTCTAAAGTTAAAGTTCATTTTAAAAATCGAGCCGGTTGATGGCATTTCTCATTTATGTGAGCTTCTTTTTCACCACTGAAAGCAGCTGAACATCAACTTAAAGTGGTATAAACTGGTCGACAAGTATGGCATCGACTGCACCAAGCTACCACGGCAAGCGGACGCCGCGTCCTGATTGGTGGGAGCTCGAGCCTCCTCGACCAACCAGGACGCGGCGTTCGCTGCCGAGGCAGCTTGGTGACCAAAGCCGACCAATGACCAGTGAAGTGAAAGGTACCGACCAATCAGGGAGCGGCGTAACACATGGATCTCAGCCTGGGCATGAAGCAGTTGGTCTGTGGATATAGTTGATTGGCTAAGACGAGGAGTTGGTTTTCTACTTACCAGCGGTTCCAATAACGTTATTTTCACTCGGATGAGTGAGTCTCAAATATTATGTGTAAGCTTTAAAATGCCGTGTAACTTTCAAAACGATATTTTCGGCGATGTTTAAATTCTCTGTTATCTGTTTGTTGCGACCCAAGCGGAAGTGGCCCGCTCGCCTTTCGTTCTTCTTGTTGGAAAGGGGGGTCGGGAGGACCTGGGTACATTCGGCTAACTGCCGTGACCAGGAAAGTCTCCGTCCTGCAACGGGAATTTCGGGGAAGGGTCCCTTGCTGGCCGAACAAGCTCCCCTGCGGAAAATCCCCCAGGGTGAATTCGGATGAAGTCAGGCGCGACTGCAGTCTGCGCTCTTGCTGATTGCTGACCAGCGTTGCCAGAAGAGGCGCACAGTGGGTCAGAAGACCGGTGGAGACGGCAAAAACTCAAGACACGCTTTGAGCCCCAGAGTCGCCGAACACGACTCGAGCCGAGCGTGTAGCCCCACCACTTGCTGTTTGATCTAGGAGTCCATTGATGGGGTCACACGTTCGGTTCGAGTCCCATGTAGCGACTCTGGAGCTCAAAACGCGTCAGAGTTTTAGCCGCCTCCCCCGGTCTTCTGGCCCACTGCGTGGCGTAGAGTTTCGGTCAACCCGAGTGGCGCTGGAGTGGCGACTTCGCGGAATCGGTGGCGACCGCGACCAGTGGCGATTTGGCTCGGCGCGCTCGCCGCTCAGCCGGCGGATTAGGGATTAGGAACTTTTCCGCGCTCCCCGGCCCACGGCCTGCGCGCCAAAACGGATGGCCAGTGTGGCGACTTGAGCGCTCCGCCGCTCCGGTGGCGAACTGTGGTGTCGATACGCCCAGTGGCGCTCGGGGCGCGCTCTGGTGGCGCACTGGCGTACTCAGGGTCTGGCAACGGCAACCCTGCCGCCAAGCTGATGCTGAGACAGCGATCATCGCAGTGCTGACCTGACTGAACCTGGCTGGCAGGCTGTCTAGTTTTCAGTTCGTCCTCGACCGCCGCCCGGGAAGTGTCGAGCTCGCTGTCAGCGCTTGTCTTCTTGCCTCCGTGTCATCCAGTGGATTCAGTAAGTCTTTGTGTAGCACTTCCCGACTTTGGACAAGCGACAAGCATTTCGGCATACAAATCATCGCGATAGCATGTCGAAACAGCATTTGGGTTTTGTTTTTACGCAGGGGTTTCTAAAAGAGCGTTCCAGTCTAAAAATATTTTCAAGGACACCGAAATTTCACTTTACAGTTCCTTAAATGGTCACGGGTGATTGATATGGGTAGAGTAAGGGCAGTGCGTAACATAACCTTGAATTTTCACCCTCTTTTCAAGACATTAAAGTGTTCCGGCCTCGACCATGTCTATTTCAAATAAGTCAGTTCTAGCGGTGCGCAGTCTTATTTCCTGCAGGAGCTCCGGCCAGAGTGTGATAACTTAACCAAAATAACGGAAATAACGCTTTTGTTATTTATTAAAGGTACAACCAATAACCGCAAACATTTGCAAAAGGATTAACGTTAATTCATAGTAACAAGAACTGTGGATAAACATTTAAACGGTATAAAAGATAACATTTTTGAGAAGAACAACTCGTTTTGGTTTAGCAAAATAACGGTTATTCCTTAGTAACGATAATCCTGTAGCAAAATTAACGGTTACATTTCATATTAATAACAATAATTTGTTTTATCGTTATCATAGCGGGCAAGCGAAGCAAGGCTAGACGGCTATCCTCGCCGGGCTATAAGAAATCGCGTCCACGATAATTCGGCGCTTCGAGTCCTTCAGTCTCCTCTGGGGGCCCCAAAGGGGTTTATACGACTCTAGCGGCACTTATCAAGCCGTACGCCCAGGCGCAGCGCAGCGGAAGGAGAAAAGAAGCGCATCGTGTAATATATAAAATAACGTTAAATCGGTACGGTTTTGCGATTATTGATATGAACTGCAACCTAAAAACGATGGGCCACAATTAACGTTATTAATGATTCTCCAATGATGAAAGTTAATTTCAATAATCGTTATTCTGTATAACCGTTAAAAGCTATTAACCGTTGTTTATCTACCTGATTAGATGTGGGTATAATTTTATCGTTAATGTTTCAATCGTACGTTTTATTTGTTACTAAAATTAACTAACAAAATTAAAATAACGGCAGTAATGGTATCTTCCGAATTTCCGTTAAGTTACCGGTTACGTTAAGTTTTCGCACCCTGGCTCCGGCCCCCTTTGTTTCGATGTGAGTTTGTTACGAACTGTCCCACCCTTCCTAACCGTTAACCAACCATGGAGCCCTAAACTGCTGACAGATACCTAGAGCGCAGACAGGCCGATCTTCTGACCTATCAAGGGTTGTAAATGCCGCTTGGGAAATCATCATCATTCAGGATTCCTCACTTAGAATTTTGCTGTACGCAGATAGCTTGATTATTTGGGATTCTGAGTGATTTTGCCTACTAAGAGGCGTCCCTGATTTAACATTGTGGGATTGTCCCTAGACAACCAACTGCTCCGTGAAAAAACCGTGAGGCTATGTCTTACGCCGCTCCCTGATGGGTCGCATTTTCACGCTCGAATTTTAGGATTTAAAATTTAATGAATGTAAATTGTGACTACTCGGTATTAAGCTGTATTACGGGGATATAACATGTGTATTACAGCCTTAAAATACCCAAATTTGGCCTGTCTAACCAAAATATGGTATAAGGTTGACGTGTATTACTCGCAATACACGGTTTTTGTGTACAGGGTGTTACGCGAGTGTTAACGCCCGCGGATTGTCTCCTAGCGTTCAGAGGTTGTAAGTGGGGGACCCCTTGTTACTCAGCCATCCAAGGGGGAAAAGCTGTAGCCAAATTCTTACATCAAAATTCATTTAAAACTTAAAAATGACTGAAGTTCATTCAAATTTGTCGAAATGTCTCCTAAAATTAAGAAGTGCTTGCCAGAAACTCATTTGAAAATCGTTTGATTTGTTTTACCGAAATTCAAAGTTATTTCCCCTGTCCGATTGTCCCGCAGATGGAGCTCTCCAATTTGGGCGACGACGAACTGCTACTCATCCTCGGCTACTTGAGTGCGCGGGAGCTGCTGAAGTGCCGGGTCGTGTGCCGCCGATGGAGGGACGCAGCGTTGCATCCGCATCTCTGGAGGATGAAGAGTGTGGATAGCTAGTAAGTTTCGTTGCGTCTGGCACACCTTGGGGACGAGTGGAGTGAATGACGTTCCGATAATTCTCAGAACGTCCCTTACATCCAGGCTAAACACCAAAACCTGACATCTATTGAAAAACTTATTTGTACATACATATGTTTCGAAAATTAATTGCTTTCAATATGCAGAGTCATTGTTGCTCAAGGCAAGATTTAAGTGAAATTGTCAAATCCTTAATTAAGCCCCAGGCTTTATAAACTTGAAGATTTTAATTAATTCACTTAAAAAAGGAATCATACAAGCCAAATTTTGATAAAATTCATTCACCTGTTCAACCTCACCAATTCTTACTTATTTTTTCGCATTGTAGAAAAACCACTTGTGCAGTGTCAGAAAATCTTACAAATAATTTTAGACCTTACGAAGAAAAGCACCTCGTTGTCAACATAGTATTGATCTAGGAAGCGGAAGAAAGGGATAACTCCATTTTGGCCATTTTTCAGGAGAAACAAAAAACTGTTAGCAGGGAAAAGTAAAAGTAACTGAGTGAATGTTATACATGCACCGGTGAAACAAAGGCATAAATCGTTAATGCCTTTGGGAAGGGCATTAAAATTTTGCATGAAATTCCTATACCATTTACGCCCTTCCCAAGGGCATATAACGATTTATGCCCTTGGGAAGGGCGTAAAAGAGTATTTATGCCCTAAAGGGCGTAATTTCTATGCCTTTGTTTTACCGGTGTGATAACAATTTCAAGACGCGCAAATTAAATTTTGAGATAAACAACGAAAGGGTCTGGTCACTCCGAAGAGAATTTCTGTAAATTATCATTTTGTGTTAAATAAGAAAACAGAGTCATCTCTACTGATTGGCTGAGCGATAGCGAAGCCCGTTACTCAGGTCGGGTTGAAAAGTTTTTCCTGTCTGCGTGCGTGCGTGCGTGTGTGCGTGTGTGTCCGCACTACTCCTCCTGAACGGCTCGGCCGATCTCGGTGAGATTTTGCACACTTTTTGGGTATGTCCTTGGCTCGGCACACGCGAAATGTCACCATCCTAGCTCAACTGGTTCAGTTTTTATAGCCGAAAAACACATATAAAACGGCGAAAAATCGAGTTTTCCGCAGGCAGATCACTTCTGTCTTGAAGAAAGGGGATCAAGACAGTATCAATCTGCCTGCAGAAAACTCGATTTTTCGCCGTTTTTTATGTGTTTTTCGGCTATAATAAAAACTGAACCAGTTGAGCTAGGATGGTGAAATTTCACGTGTGCCGAGCCAAGGACATACCCAAAAAGTGTGCAAAATCTCACCGAGATCGGCTGAGCCGTTCAAGAGGACTAGTGCGGACACACACGCACGCACGCACGCAGACAGGAAAAACTTTTCAACCCCACCTGAGTAACGGGCTTCGCTATCGCTCAGCTAAAAAGTGGCTATTTGGCATTTTTTAAATACTTGTTTCAGATGTCTCACTTTAGGGGTCAAAGTTCCATTCTATAACATAAACTCATACACTAAGACTTGCGCCTCAACTCCTATTAATTGCGGGTTTTGGTGGGCAGCTCTCTAAGATCAAAGTCGTTCTAAATTGATTGTTGTCTTCTTGTTTCGGTTCGCAGCAACACCTTACTAGCCAGCGCTGTTCTGCGTTTGGCCCCCTGCTTGGACTCGCTGACTGCCGGCTCACTTTGGAATTTTATATTTGACAAGAGCGGTCTCCTTCTCGCATCTACAAAATGCGCCATTTCTAAACTCCACATGACCTTCTCCATGTCAGACGCATGCTACATGGCACTAGTAATCACCAGGTCAGATACTACTCAGCTTTTCTTCATAATACTAACAAAAAGGTTTATATTATGACAGCACAGCGAAGGAATGTCAGTAACTTATGATCAGTTTCTTCATGGTACGAACAAAATCCGTGCGCCAGAACGGCCGCGGGGCCGCTAAGACTCTCTGACGGCGTGCTATGGCGTGATCTTCCTTACGGACGGCGTCCCCCAATGTTGCCTGTGGTGCGTGGGCGGAGAATTAATTTTTGCCATCGATACGAGAACAACGTGCTCGTAACTGCCCTTTATCCAAAGCGCGGTACACGAGAACACGCGGTCTCGCGTACGTAAATGGTCGCAGAACGTCGAAACAAAAACCTAAATTTTTAAGAGACCTGGCAGGTCAAAACTAGAAGTAAAGAAAGCTAAAAGCACGAAGTGCTGTATAATATCAATCAATATTGATATTAAGATGAAAGGACTCGTTCTTTACTATTATGCAAATGAAAAGTGGATTGTAAATGATCTTCATCACCTCGCTTATCCTGCCCCTGTTCAATGTGTTGAGAGAGGCTCTGCCGCTCTACATTGTGTTTTGAATTCCGCGCCCCCGCTTCGGCACCGCCGGAGGTGGCGCGCGGATCGGCCTGCCGAAGTCCAGCCGAAGCTCATTCAACACGATCTTTAACCTGATATTTCTCCGAATTTATCATTGTGCGTGATAAAAAACATTCCAGGTTTTATAATAACTGAATGTAGGAGTTCATGTTCGTAATGGTTAATTTAAGGGTACCATTATTGATGAAAAGATATAAGAGGTTGAAATGAGGTTAGTTTCGACACCGGCCCCAAAATCTCGTTTTTTACATGTTCGTTTTCTCAAAATTTTCCATTGAAAGTCGAAAAACAATCCGTTTACGATTTACTGACTCACTTCTGCACTTTAAAATGATCCACGAAGCGGAAGAAGGGGGTAAGTCGAGTTGAATCCGTGCACTTTTGAAAGGCCTGAACCTTGCAGGTGGGAGAACAGGTGGGGAATGTCATCTAAAAATAGATGCAAGAGGATGGGACTTGTCTCACCACACTTATTTTTGGACCAAATTTTCGCTTACGTTTACTTGATAGACTGATAAGAGGTCACTGAAGCAACTCGACTTAACCCCTTCTTCCGCTTCGTGGATCAAATGATACCATTGTCTTTTCTGTACATGTTGTAAGTTCTGAGATGAATGATATCCTCCGAAAAAAATTTTTGAGCACAATACTCGTTCTCTTTACTATACCACTTTTCATTTGTTTGTGTGTAAAGAACGAGTAAAAATTTGGTCGCTCTTTCCTACCTGTTCCTGTTGCCTCGTTTTGGCCAGAACAGAAATTTGCTCATACACTGTTAAAAAATGGTTGTACAGAAACAATCAGATGAGTGAAAATTTAGTCGTTCCAAAACATAGAATTTCATCATGAACCAAAGCGAAACAAATGTCGTTGAGTCTAGTAAGCGTCATTTTGTCGTTGAAGAACAAAATTCTTGTTGTCACTCTTTGCGATCAATTTGTGTGGAAACAACATCTTTTGCAATTACTATCTGCTCAATTAAAGCGTATTATGAATAATCATCTATTTTGTTCTTCTTAGTCATATGGAAATTACTATTGTTAAAAAAAAACCCATGCAAAATAAATTTAGCGACAAAAGTACTCTATGAATATTGTCGCAGACATTACAAAATTTCTTTTGGACTTTCAATATTTGTCATTGATGTATTATTGTTGGTGTGTTATTACAAGTTAGTCCTTGTGAAATTATCCCTTAGTTCCAATACGACTACTGTTTAACAAGCTATTCGTTCCACAACAAATCTTGTCGCTAAAAAAGTTAGCGATAAATGTGTCGCTAAGTTACGACAAAATTTTTATCAGTGTACGACCACGCGCGTTCTCGTATCGCAGCCTGGGCGCCGCGCACTGGCGGGCCATACGCAAACGCCCATGGTCGTATTTTTTTTCTTTGCTCGTTGGTGTTTTGGCCCTTTGAGAAGTCGAATGATGTGTCGATGTGTCCGAGCTTTCTGCGGTCAGTAGTTTTCTCTGGGGAGGCCTTCGCAGTCTGGGCTTTTCCGCCCAAAACCCCGTCGCAGCGAACGTGTTAACACGCACCGACTCGAGATCTGCCGATTGCACGGCCCCTATTGAGTTGTCCACATACAGTAGAACATAAAAGTTGCTTTCAGTGGTTTTTGATTTAATTCATGCATGCGGTTCAAAGTTACTTGTTAACTGTAACTTGCCTTATTGAATTTTCTTTGCCTAAACTTATCAACAGATTTTAGGTAATATTTCTATCATGAACTGACTAGGTTTTGCATATTTTCTTGTTCTTTAGGCAAGCGTCCCTTGGTCGTTTAAAGGAAGTTTCTTTGGAACTTTTCAAAGGGAAAGCGGATTTGCCGTTGTATAGACTACGTGCATTCCTTCAGCAATTGCTTCACACTCCAGGTAAGTCTAATGAAGTATTTTTTTCATGTTTTAGGGATGGGATGGTAATCGAGTGGAAACTGCTTCGTGTATTGGAATGAAGCCGTTTGTTTTTAATGCAAAGAAATCTATTTTTACAGGATTGGAAGTTTTAAAGCTGCACACAGTCGAAGTCGAGTACATTGGTGACATGAGTGGTGTTTTGCTCCCGGTTCTTGCAGGTGCTGCTCAATTTGAAGATCCAGTGCCAGCGTCTCTACGACAGTTGTGGATCACTGTTCCATTTCCTGACCCATACGCACATCTGCGCCTGAAGTGGCATGCGACCACGCTTGAGGTACACGCGCTCATGTCATGGTCATTGTGTGAAGTAGCCACCTACACAGTCATTCCAGGAACGCGACATCGAGTTGAAATGAATGTGACAACACTGAAAAACATGTCACTCTCTGAAGGGTGAGACATAACTGTCTCACCGAAAAAGGGTGATTCTAAAATGTATCACCGAAAAAAGAGTCGTACACAAATGTATCACCGGAAATAGACAACACGAATGTATCACCGAAAAAGGGTGATACTCCCCCAGGAAAACAAAGAGCCACCCCAGACATAAAGATTTCGTGACGGTTACGGGCACAGCCTGAGCAAATCTGGGCTCAGCACGGCCGTGTGCGGGCTCAGCACGGGCATAGGGTGGGCACAGCACGGGCAGGTACGGGTGCATCATCCGAAAGCGGGTCGAGGCTCGAGCCGGCCTGCGGGCAGGCGCGGGCAGATGCGGCTGCATCAGGAGCGCCTTGAAGTTTGTGCCCAAGACCCATTCGTAGACGAGCTCGGAAAAGAACACCAGAACTCGAGGCCTGGAGCAGTGCTGCATGCCTGGAAGCCATGTATTACCATCTCGTGCCGGGTGAGCATGGAGGTAGTTTGGGTTGCCTAAGCTACACGGTGATATCAGATGCATACTTGGGTGAGTGTGAGTATGCATCTGTAGACGTGTACTCAACTGAGTATGCATCTGTAGACGTGTACTCAGCTGAGTATGCATCTGTAGATGTGTACTTGCAAGTATGCATCTGTGGACGCATACTGAGAATACAAACTTCAGTTTGTAGAGGAGCTCATGCGTAAGCAAATCTAAGAAAGCTTATACCATTTTTTGCCAGGCTTCACCTGCTGTATGAGAGTAAAAGCAAGCTCACACCTTAAGGTTATATGTATAACATTTCGGGCTAGAAGTTCCTTTCTATTACATAAACTCACACCCTGAGACTAGCGCCCCAACTCCCATTAGTTTCTAATTTATGGAGGTTTACGTAAACTTTTTGTCGTTTCTCCCAAATTCTCCTCACGACAAAGGATTAGCTACCCATTCTTCAGATTCTAGCAATTTTATCTATTTTTGCGTAGGAAAAAGATAGCGTTGACAGATTTGAAGATATCAGTCAAGAAGAGGCTGTAAAAGATATTGTGCCTGGTCTTTTTTTCTTCAAATTTAAGACATTTTGCCCCATTTTGGTCTGGTTTTTGGTTTTACAGGAAAACTAAGGCATACATATGTTAAAAATCGGGCAACGCTCTCTTTTTCCTACTCAAAATTAGATAAAATTGCCAGAATCTGAAGACTGGGTAACTAAATCCTTTGTCATGAGGAGAATTTGGGAGAAAAGACTTAAAGTTTACATAAACCTCCATAACTCTGAAACTAATAGCAGTTGGGGCGCAAGTCTTAGTGTATGAGTTTATGTTATAGAATGGAACTTTGACCTTACTCTTAAACAGGAAAAAGATACCGTTGTCCTTTTTTTGATATCTGCTTCAGTTTTTCTTTAAAAAAAAAAAACAGACCAAAATAGCTCAAAATCTCACAAATTTGAAGAAAAATTCTCAACTGATATCATAAAATCTGCCAACGCTATCTTTTTTCTATGTAAAAATAGATAAAATTGCCAGAATCTGAAGACTGGCTAGCTAATCCTTTGTCGTGAGGAGAATTTGGGAGAAACGACACACTGAAAATCTATCGGCGTGACTTCGTGCCGCTGCAGGGGCGTGACACAAAGTGTCACGCCAATAAACGGCATGACAGAAAAGTCACGCCAAAAATCGGCGTGACTCAAAAATTCAGGCCAATTTTTGGTGTGAATTTCGTGTCACGCCGCTTTTTGGCGTGACTTTGTCTCTTAAAACGCATTGTCATTCACGCCAAATGACGGCGTGACGCACATGTCACGCCGTCTATCGGCGTGAATATCGTGTCACGCCAATTTTTGGCGTGACTTTTTGTCACGCCATAATTTGGCCATGTGTCCGACCATTACGTTTTCAGTGCAAAAAGTTTACGTAAACCTCCGTAACTCAGGAGCTAATAGAAGTTGGGGCCCCCAACTTTGGGAGTAAATTCATCTAATAATGGTTGAATTTTGACCACAAAAAGGTCTTTCTGCGACAAATATTACTAGGACATGCTAAGTTTCACTTTATCCTTAACAGTGTCTTGTATTCTCCTATTATGTTAAAATTGTAAAGGAATCATCTGCCGAAAAAAATATTTTTAAATAGTGCTAACATGTTTGAGTCTGAAGACAATGTCTAAATTCCTCTTAGGTGCTGAAGCTGGCGCGGGCCCTTCCTCCCGCGGCGTCCCTGCCCTCCACCATGCCGCGTCTCCGGGAACTGGACTGCCCTTTGCTGGGGGGCATGGCGGTCATGGCGCAGTACGAGGCCCTGCGGAGTCTGTCCCTTGAGGTGAAGCTGGACGAATCCACTGTACCCTATCTGCTCGGTGTAGAGTCATTCCTTAGAGCAGCCGCGACGCGCCTGGAGTTCGTGCAGCTGTCGTACGAAGCACATGAAGAGCGTGCCGCTGCGGTGGACTTGGTGCTCAGCCTCGGGGGTACAGGGAAGGCCACCGCAGCGCTGGAAACCCTCCTCTTCTCCTTCGATGCCGATATCCCTACTCCGCCTCTACAGCTGCGCCCGTTGACGGCCATCCTCCACCGACTGTCGCTCCTCCGCACACTCAACATCGGTGGCGTGCCGTCGAACGCCTTCTTGACTGCGTTGGACGGCGAGGTGCTGCCGCATCTTCGGAAGCTGAGCATGAAGACGCCTGAAGATTCCTGCCCACACGTGGTTGCACACAGCGAGCCGATTAAGAAGTTGTTGCAGAGTTACCCGCTGCTGCACATCAGGATTTCGGACGAAGGCGATTACTTCGACTGTGAGGATTTCTGTGATTTCTGTGCAGGGAACAAGTGCCATCGTATACCAGACTACTCAGCGAGTGTCGTTTTCAGCCACCCGCTGGAGGACAGCTGTGAGGTGATCCACGATTTAAATAGCTGTTATGAAATCCACCTGAGTCTGTCAGAGGTTGAAGTCGACGCTTTGTAGTCCTGCTTGTTGGCAACGCGGCACCGGGTGGTGACAAGGTAAATACCGACGAAGCGTTCGCAGTGTTGGAACCAAGAGTCCTCATTGCACTCTACCAAAAATGTCCTGTAAATGCCGTTAATTTATTACCAGTTTTCATTGTAGGTCAATTCACAGCGTTTACTGTGATCTGCTCACGGGATTCACTGTGATCTTGTTCGCGGTGTTCACTGTGATCTGGTCCCCAGTAAACACTGTGAGTTTGACGCCGCTGAGCACCGAAGTACTGCAAATCAGGCTCCAATTCACGGCGTTTACTGTGGCCAGATCACAATGAACACTGTAACCGAGATCACAGTGAACGCCGTGAACTAGTTCACAGCAAACGCCGTGAATTGCATAACAGCAAACATTGGTAATAAATTAACGGCGTTGATAGGACTTTTTTTGTAGAGTGTGGTTTATTGGTTACTTTTACAGTTTCAATCGTCAGTGTAGTGATTTGCGCTTCCGAGTGTTCGGGTCCAGGCGGCGAGATTCTTTTTCGATTCTTGCAAAGAAGTGGCAAAGCTTGTCCGGTTTGAAGGTTTTTACACAAGCCGTTTCTATCTAGGAATGTATTTTTCAATGTATGTCTATTGCTAACTGTATCAATATATTGTTTACATGTTCAGTTTAGTTTTATGTATGCTGATAGTGCCTTTTGGTACCATTGTTCGGGTGGTAATCATATCTGTTTGAAATATTATGAACTTAGCAACATTACGAGAGATCAATTTGAATAAATCCCAACGGACTCCTTTCAGTTCTGTCTTTCGGTCTTTTCTTCCGCCTCCTTTGTAAGACCCAAAATAGTTTGAAGGTCTTGATAATGCGCGACGGATTATGCTATTTCAATTTACACTGCACACTGTCAGAGACCACGATGACTTTTGTGAAACACGCGAAATCTCAGATATAGCGGTTTTAAGTTTTCACTCCCCAGTCGCCATCATTCCCCCACGGCGTTCATACGACGGACATCCACCAGGCACTCCCTACTCCCTGACCTTTTAGCGGCTCAGTCACCTGATTTCTCCTCATTTATCCCAACTGAGATGCGAAATCACGCTCCGTCGTCCTAAAGTCCAATCTGCGCGCGAAAGTGTAGCAGAAGTATGGGTTTGGTTTTAAGATCATTGGAGACAGTTTAACAAGTTTCCTTTATTTCAACTTCGAAATACGAAACAAGGAACTACATCCACTTACCGAAGTGAACAGTGGAATATTTTGACAAGGCGGATATGAAAACGGAATGTCGTCTGCTGAATATAGTAAATTACTTAATAATCTAACATCATGAAAGCTTAAGCCCGTTACCAGTGTCACATGACTAACATAAACACTGCCAAACCGGTGACCAATCACTAGAAAAAGTTACAGTCCTTCGGGAGTCCGTTTTTAATTACAGCCTGCAGCATCTCGTCGTCGTCCCGCAAGAAGAAGAAATGACGTCTAATCTGCTTGATGACGTCCATCACTGCCTCCGTCATAATGGCCACCGTTAGCCCAGCCTCCTGAAACACGCAAAAATGATGTTGAGTCGGCACCAAGTTGGGATCTCAAGCTCGATCGCAAGGCTCCGCGCATAGGGTAGGTCGAAACTCTGGGACTACTAGAAGGGGCCAAAAACATTTTTTCGAAATTTGATGACGGCTAAGCTGCTTCCACGCTTCCACACCGTCGTTTCGTGAGAAATTTTTCAGGTTTTCTTTTCTTTTTAATCAGACAACCGATAAAGATCCCGAAAGGCCTTCAAAGTTTTCAAATTCTTGAAGGAAAACATATTATGCAAAGTCGCTCTTTTTTTACTCGTTCTTTACACACAAACAAATGAAAAGTGGTATAGTAAAGAGAACGAGTATTGTGCTCAAAAAATTTTTTTCAGAGGATATCATTCATCTCAGAACTTACAACATGTACAGAGAAGACAATGGTATCATTTTAAAGTGCAAAAGTCCGTCAGTAAATCGTAAACGGATTGTTTTTCGACTTTCAATGGAAAATTTTGAGAAAACGAACATGTAAAAAACGAGATTTTGGGGCCGGTGTCGAAACTAACCTCATTTCAACCTCTTATATCTTTTCACCAATAATGGTACCCTTAAATTAACCATTACGAACATGAACTCCTACATTCAGTTAATATAAAACCTGGAATGTTTTTTATCACGCACAATGATAAATTCGGAGAAATATCAGGTTAAAGATCGTGTTGAATGAGCTTCGGCTGGACTTCGGCAGGCCGCTCCGCGCGCCACCTCCGGGGGTGCCGAAGCGGGGGCGCGGAATTCAAAACACAATGTAGAGCGGCAGAGCCTCTCTCAACACATTGAACAGGGGCAGGATAAGCGAGGTGATGTAGATCATTTACAATCCACTTTTCATTTGCATAATAGTAAAGAACGAGTCCTTTCATCTTAATATCAATTGATTGATATTATACAGCACTTTGTGTTTTTAGCTTTCTTTACTTCTTGTTTCGAAATCAACCTTTTTTTTCTACGTAACCCAGATGATGAAGAGCTTTTTTATGAATACACATGTCATTTATAACAATTGTTGAAGTATATACACCTTTTTACGCATTTTGTAGGGTTCAGGCTGCCAAAAGTCAAAGAAAGGTCTCAATACTTCAATAATTGATAAAAATGACGTGCGTATTCATGAAAAAAGCTCTTCATCGTAGATTACGTCGAAAAAAAGGCTTATTTCGAAAATATCCGACTTTCGCAACGTCGAAATAACGTGAAGTATCTTTGAAATAACGGCGTACAAAATTACCCGAAGTTGTTAGATTGCCCCTCGTCATTCACAGTGCACTTTCAGCACGTTACTGACTTTTTCCTCATTAATTACGTATTTGTGTAAACGGCAATAACACTTGGTATTGTCTAAGTAAGTATGACTAATTTCCTTTGTAAAATTATGTTCAAAACAAAATTCTCAGTACATTATTTAATATTTCCTAAGTAGTTCTTTAAAAAAGGAAAAGTACGTATATTATGGTTGCACAAATCACTTGCATAAGTAGTGACAAAATGATCAAAAAGTCAATAACGTGCTGAGAGTGTTCAGTAGCTCTCCCGCTCTCACCTGAGTCCGAAGGCGTCTGGCGTCTGCTCTGAGCCCTTCAAGCTTGCCGAGCATTTGCCAGCGCAGTTCGCACAGCAGCGCCAACCGCTGGGTGGTCATGCCGGGCAGCAGAGCGTTCAGGGCTCGCAGCTGCTCACGGATCACTTCTTCGCAGCCACTCACGTACTGCACTGGAATGCCTAGCTGCTCCCGCTGTGCACGGGTCGAAGATCCTGAGGAATAAAAAGAGATCGTCACAAAGCATCAGGTGAAGTGTTTTGTCACCACACTCTAAATGTTCTACGGTGAAGATTCTCCATATTATGGTGAAAATGTTCCATATTATGGTGGTGCAGCTGACTTCGTAACATACCATTGAGAATTCACTGTACCTTATAGATATTTTGACGAATTTCGTTGGTATTATGGAGAAAATCTCCACCATAATATGTTGGTGCAGCCTTTCACCGTAAGACATTTACTGTGCAGCTCTGCAGACTCAACAGTGTGCTCACTGAGCATTGCTCAGTACACTCTCTTTAGCGTGTGCCCCTTAACTACAGTCTACTCGTATAAGTACACACACAGATGAGTACACACCTCAGCACGCCTGGCAATTTATGCAGCTAAAAGTGTGTACTCGTGTGAGTACACTAATGAGAACACTACTAAAAAGAGTTTACTTACTCATCTGAGTACACTCATGAGTGCACTCTACAAAGAGCGTACTGAGTATGCTGTTGAGTTTGCAGAGTATGTGACGTCATACTCGTTGAATAACAGTGTTGATTGTAACATGTGGCTGGCACCCACTCACCTGTCACCCCCATTTCCTTGAGCTGGAAAAGATGCTGCATGCCTCTGCGCAAGTGGTAGTCTGTCATGAAAGCCTTCCTGGCATGGAGCACCAGTGCGTGGGTGGGATGCAAGAGCCCCCGTGGGTACGAGTGCTCAGCGATGAACTTCAACAACTCCTCCATCGAAGAATCTGAGCAAACAAATCATATCGTGAGTTAACTGGGGTGAAATGAGACAATGTCAGGGTAAGTTGAGACAATTTTCAGGAAACTTAAAAACACACGTTAATCCCCAGTTTTGTTTTTTTTATCCATAGAAAGGCTACTAAAACACGTGCGGCAGTATTCTTGATGTTACAGTTTTTCGAGTGAATAAACCTAGAATTGCAATTCTAAAGATAAAGATAATGTGTCTCAAATTATCCCAGTTTTGGCCCGTCCAGTGCAAAAACACACAAATTGCGAATAACGTTATTCTTGGGCCAGAGTTGGGCCACCCATTATTGGTCATTATTTCTGTTGCATTGACCGTGCAAAATCGACCGCAATATTATAGAAATTTGTTCACACCGCAAGAAACTAACCGGAACCCTTATGTGTGAAGTAATTTCTAAAGGATGTTTAAAAATACAGGTATCATCTGCTAAAAAAACTAAGGTTAATTTTGATGTTATTATGTCTTGGTTCTTTAACCTCTGAGTTGACTTCTTGAAAAGCGCTACTGCGGGGAAAACAAGTGACAACCTACGGTGGTACATAATCGCCCCGCTGGGGAAGGCGACTGCAGACGTTCGCCGCTAGGGGCGCCACTGGGATATACGCCACTGGCAGCCAGGCGGCAGCCGGCACGGATGCTGTTTTTGACTTATAGCTCTCACTGCAATTATCGCACATGTATGAAAACTAGCTTATTGGGAAGCTAGCAGCATTGCCTACAATCGGCTCGCTTACACTACGGGTCTACCTTGCATGACAAAGAAGTTATGGGCGAAATTGGCAGACTCCTAGGGGCTCCCCTGGCTAAATCGTGGCGCGTATCCCGGTGCTGCCCTCTACCCTGAGTTTGCCGTGTCGCCTTCCTAAAGTCCTTTCTGCGCTGCCACCACTTACTTGAAAGCTCTTTCAACCGCTTTTCTGCTCGCTTCGTCATGGCTTTCAGCTTAGGCAGTGGCACCGACTTCTTGCAACCCTCGCAGGACCAGTGGTTGCGGACGGTGTCCCCGACCGGTACCAGGAAGCATTGCTTGCCGTTTCCTGCTTAAAAAGACAGAACACTAGAGACGCGACAACCTAATTGAACGGCTGTGTGACGTGACAGAATCAAACGAACGTGACAAAATCCACATTCCACACACTTGATGTCATGGGACTTGTTTTGTCCCATGACTTACGCAATTTTAAGCACATCCGACGCTGATACAATTTTGTTCCCGTCTGGCGACACATTTTGTCTGACGCCTACTGCAAATTGTACTTTCACTAGACAATTTGTCCCGCCTGGCTGACACAACATTGCGTCACCACCGGATGCGCTTAAAATGCATAATTTATGGGACAAAAAAATGTCCCATGACATTAGTGTGCACGGTAAACTTCTTACGGATACGTCCTATCTGTATTGCGGACATTTTTGTGCAATTGCAATTACGGATAGATTTTGCTTGTAATACGGATGAAATCATCCATATTACAAAGAGTTTTACGTCCGTAACATACAGACGAAAATATCCGTATGGTACGGACGTAAAACTCTTTGTAATACGGATGATTTCATCCGTATTACAAGCAAAATCTATCCGTAATTGCAATTGCACAAAAATGTCCGTAATACAGATAGGACGTATCCGTAAGAAGTTTAGTGTGTGTAACGAATGTGACGTCGCATTCATTGAATAACAGTGTATACGCGGCTCGAAACTGTACGAATTAAGCGGCTGCTTACCTGCACAGGCCGGGCAGCACGGCGAGTCTACGTACATCCCCAGCTCGGTCGGGTCGCTGCAGCGTTCACAGTCGCAGACGAACCCCCAGCGCATCATGACGTTCTTGCGACGATCTCGTGTGTGGTCATCCCAGGAGCCGCCCTGGAAGCGACAGGGAGGCAGGCAAACGTATACGTTGAATTCGTCGCCTGTGATATCGTACACGCTCAGATGGACTTTTTTCTCTCTTGCTTATAGCGGTTTTTGAGCAAACGCAAAATGAACTATTTCCTTCTTAACTGCACAATTTTGATCGTTTTCGTGATATAATTGTCAATAGAGCATATAGAAATTGAAAAGTGCATTGCAAATGACATTTGCACAAAAACCTTTATGGCAAAAGATAAAAAGTCAATACGAGTCTGAGAGTGTATCACTGTTATTCAGGGAATGTGACGTCATATTCATCAGAATGTGAATTTTTCACGTTCGTTCAAATTTGATGTCTCATTCACTTGAATGATGATCGATGTTCAAACGAATGACACCCTGAGACGACCGTGTCACGTTCAAACGAATGTGACATGGTATTCAAACGAAAGTGACAAGCATTCACATTAGAGGAGATATGACATGACGTGGCATTCGTTGAATCAGTAATAGCACAGAATCTTTTCGATAAGCAATATACAAGGGGATATCAAAAGAGATAATGCATTAAAATTTGACGTGCGGGACCCGACAGAGAGTCACTGAAGAGAGAAATTCAGACCTGGCGGCTTGTTGTGATGCATTGCCCGGCAGACACATCTCTTGTAGTGACAATGGTGAACTCGTCTGAGTAAGGTCTGAATAGTCTGTCAGCAGAGTTTGGGTAGCAGCTATGCTTCCTCAAGGACATTCCAACGTACAAGATGCCGACGTAGGCCTGAAACAAACATATACACCGTTTTTGCTTATTTTGTCAGTACTTATGCAAGTAATTTAAGTAACCATAATACATTTTTTTTCTCTTTTACAGAATTACTTAGGAAATACTAAATAATGTCCTGACAATTTGGTTTTGTACACAATTTTACAAAGGAAAGTAATCATACTTACTAAGAAAGTACTAAGTATTATTGTTATGCTTATAAAAATACGTAATTAATGAGAAAAAAGTCAGTAACGTGCTGTGAGTGCACTTCAAACCTAAATGTCTACTAAGTACACACTTACAAAATGCATGCTTGCAAGTACACACTTACAAACGCATGCTTGACGCCGTATAACTCCATGCGTCAAGCACGCGTTTGTAAGTGTGTACTTGCAAGCATGCATTTGTAAGAGTGTAATTGGCCAAGTATGCGATTGTAAGTGTGTACTTGCAGCATGCATTTGTAAGTGTGTACTTAGTAGACAGTAAGGTTTGCAGTGTGTGTGAGACTGACCTGCTTCTTGAACTCCGTGACCACAAACGGGCCCTCGGAGATGCCGGCATACGTGATGACGACGTGCGCGGCGCGGTGCAGGTCCCGTTCGGAGACTCGCCTGACGCCCACAGTGTCGCGCAGGTAGCGCACCGCACGCGTGTTGACCTTCAGGTTGGCGGTCTCCCACATCGCTGGCAGCCTCTGCAACATCACGGCACTTAAGGGGAGGTTCTGGTGAAAATGCTATTTTCTCCTAAATAGGTCCCACTGTGAAAATTTGTTAAAAATTTGATGTCTCATTAAGTATTTATACAAATTTTTCATTGGGGAGGCACATTCTATGCCCTGAATCCAGTCGCAGAGCCTTTTTCTCCCATTTAGGCTATAACTTTAAATATCTTCTTGCGCATACTATTTTGTCGTAAAAGGTTGGCTTAGACATTTTTCACTTCTTCCATTCATTTTTGAAAAATGCCGGCATGCCCATCTCAAAATGTCAATTGCATTTTTATTCGTAAGCTTTCTAACGAAGCATTTCACTAAAATTGATCAAAAATGTACAAAATAGACAAATTTTAGGGACTTTTCAGCTTAAAAAGCTAATAATTAATAATATAATGGAAGTTTTGAGATATGCATGCCGGAATCTTTTGAAAATGAGTCGAAGAAGTGAAAAATGTCAAGGTCAACCTGTTACGACAAAATAGTATGCGCAAGGAGATTTTTTAAGATACAGCGAAAATAGGCTCAAAAAGACTCTTTGACTGGGTTAACAGCCTGGCATGTGCCTTCAAAAGTCAAATTTTAGTCTCCCCAATGAAAAATTTTATATTCCAAACAAATTATGACTGTAGGATCCATTTGGAAAATGGCAAGATTTTCACCAGAACCTCCGCTTAAGGACTAAACACAGCACGTCCATTGGATAACGAAGCACACTCAGTTAAACCACACTCTCAGCCTTTTACTGACTATTTCTCATTAGCAGACGCATTTCTGTGAGCAACCATAATACTTAGTATTTTTTGTCAGTATTACTTAGCAATTGCTAATTACTGTACTGATATTACCGTTTTCTTAGTAAATTACAAAGAAATTATTAAGTATTAAGAATTAAGTACCTAAGTTTTATGGTTGCTTACTGAAATACGTCTGCTAATGAGAAAAAGTCAGTAAACGGCTGAGAGTGGCGTCAAACTGGATACTGCTCATTAAAATTTACTTCGATCCTTCAAGTTATGGAACTCAAGAAGAAAAATTCAATTTCGCTTCAAAACAGGAAGATCCAAGGAAGATCCAAATTGGCTTTATATTCAACAACAACCGCGTGCACAAAATCACCCGCACGTTACTCGAAATGTGCTGTTCCTGTCTCTGTCTCCGGTAAATGAACTGACGCCCTCCGCATTTCCGCCGTTACGAAGTCAGCGATTTCATTCAACTGTGTCGCACACCTACACGGTCTACCTACCCTTGGCGGTTTCTCGCCGAAGCCCAAGTCTTGGTGCAGATACTCAAGCAGCGGGTTGTCGAGGGACGCCAACGCACCGCGCAGAATCCACACAGCGGTGCCCACGGGGACGCCAGCATCGTCGATGTGAGCTGGGAGCAACAAATGCGAAATCAGTGAGCGCAGTGAAAATCCGGTGGCAAGTTTGGTTGCCACAAAATTGGCAAGCTTTGACCTGCGTTCTTCATCAGCTTGCCAATATTCACTGTGAATTTCGATGAACAAGTCCAATGAATTTCAGTCAAATTTCGATGAATTCAGTCGAATTTTGAAAATTTAAGTGAATTTTACATGTTTGATTAATTTTGGTGTACAAATTTGGCTGGAGTTGTTTCCCCTAGGCTTCGAGCGCCATCAATGCCAAATTTTGGCAAGCTGGTGAGTATAACAAGGCCAGGCTCGCCAAATTTTGGCATTGCCGGCTTGCCAATTTCGTAGCAAGCAAACTTAGCAATGCAGCTTGATCGGGAACAATTTTGAAGTCGAAAACATGGATGAGCTGGCGTTCGTTTGGGCACAATATTTGAGATCATTCAATTTTGTTTGGGTGGGACGTCCCCATAACACAGCCGGAGACATCTTGAATTGAAGCTCAGGCCGGCTCAGGCTCATTTTAGACTTCCGAAAACTTTCTCTTTCAATTACGTAAAGCTGACGCGAACAAACTCACCTTTGGGCACTACAAACCCTGCCTCCTGGAACACGCGACACTCCCCCTGGTGACTGCTGGACTGGCTGCAGGTGTCGTCACAGACAGGGAGCCCGCAGCGGCCGCACTGGGAGTAAGACTTGCTCACGTCGACGCAGCACGCCACGCACAACTGTCAAAGGTGGTTGTCAATAGTATTTTTTACTCAGGAAATAAGTTAAGAAAAAAAATTTCACCCTAGCACTTCTACACTCTCAGTCTATTGACTTTTTCTCTCTTGCCAAAAAGTTTTTTGAGCAGACGTAATGTGTGTACTATTTTCTCTCATGCACAATTTTGATCGTTTTAAATATAAAATAGTCGAAAGATCATGTAGAAATTGAAACGTACATGGCAAATGACAAAAAGTCAGGTTTCATGGACTGAATGTCAGTAAAAGGCTGAGAGTGTAGCGGTGAGAATCATAATTCTCACTATGAAGCGGTGAGAATGTTTTCCCACGTCCTATAGGGTGACTCATGTCAAAATTTGTTGAGAATTTAGACTCTTACCTCAAGACGGTAAGAAATAGGTCTCGCCAAACTTTGGTAAGTGTTGTCACCCTTCAAGTTTCCGTGCACTTAACAGTGGGCCAGAAGACTGGTGGAGGCGGACAAAATCCCGGACGCAGAGTCGCTGAATGGGACTAGAACCGAACGAGTGACCCCAGCAATGAATTGCTCTCCGAACGAGGAATCCATTAGTGGGGTCACACGCTCGGTTCGAGTCCCATTTAGCGACTCTGGAGCCCAAAACGCGTCTAGAGTTTCGGCCGCCTCCACCGGTCTTCTGGCCCACTGTGCACTTACAACAACCGACGGCTTCTGGAGGAAGTGCGGCTGGCACGGGAAGACGACGGACGGCAGCTCGCGCATGTTGCAGGTGTTGGCGGGGATGTCCTTGACCGCCACCAGGACGTCGCCGTCCAGCTTGACGGTGCCGCAGCCGGGGCGGTGCGTGCGCCAGTGCTGCTTCTGGTGCTCCGGGCCGCAGTAGTAGTGGACGCGGCAGCGCGAGCACGGCCGGCCCTCCGCACCGCACACCGCGCACGGCGCTGTGGCCGCATCTGCGAAGGGCAGTCACTCTCATTCCAGGAACGTGACATCTCACTCTCAGACTCGTATTGACTTTTTAACTCTTGCCCTAAAGGTTTTTGTGCAAACGTAATATGTACTATTTTCTTTTTAGCGATGCACTATTTTGTTCATTGTATAATGTATCTAGTCCATTAAACCGGACTTTTTATCATTTGCAATGTACTTTTCAATTTCTACATGATCTGACAGTTTCCTCTACGATCAAAATTGTGCATAGTTAAGAAGAAAATAGTACATTTTACGTTTGCTCAAAAAACGCTATAGGCAAGAGAGAAAAGTCCAATAGGTCTGAGAGTGCACGTTCAAATGAATGTGACAAAGTGTCACGTGCTATACTTATAGCGTTTGGAATCTCAGTGTTAACTAAGCTACCTCTGGAAAAAAAATTACCCATAAGGTTCCTTTGTAAATTTACGACGAATCTTTGTGGGAGTTACGAATTATTTTTGGAAAATGACATTGGATATTCTTGGATCTTAAAAGAATCTCCGTAAATTACTAAGAATCATCGTTAAATTACAAAGGATCCGTCGGCTTTTTTTTTCAGAGGTACCTTTGTAAATGTCTGAGTCGTGTCTGAGATTTTTTTTCAGTTTGTGACACATTGATCAATGGAGCAGACCAAAGGCAGCGAAGTCTACAAGTAAGTTAGTAAATTTTATAGTCGATTACTTTTACCAACTCTACAACTAAAGTACACTTATACTGCGGTGATATCCGAATAATTGACGGTGATAAAAACAGGAGTGGTTTTCAATTTACGGTCCCTGATGAGACTTACTGTACCAGACGGGGCGGCTTGAAGACATTGATGATCAAACCAGACCACGTTCAAGGCAGATTCCGATTGATGCTGAAAATTGGAGTACACTGTATTACAACAAAATAAAATAAATACATTCAAATTTGCACTGGTCACAAAATAGAGAAACGATGCCAGGGGGAAAACGTCAAAGCCCTAAGTGCCTACACTGAAAACGTAATGGTCGGACACATGGCTGGCGTGACAAAGAGAAATTGGCGTGACACGAAATTCACGCCGCTAAACGGCGTGACATGTGAGGTCATTTGGCGTGAACGACAACGCGTTTCATGAGACAAGTCATGCCGAAAGGCGGCATGATAAGAAATTCACACCAAAAATTGGCGTGAATTTTTGAGTCACGCCGATTATTGGCGTGACCTTTCTGTCATGCCGTTTTTTAGCGGTTTCAAAACAATCCTAACTTTGGATGTGGCTAAAACTGCTCATTAGCTAGCTGTCAATGGTTACGACGTATGAGTTTCGGATGTAAGGCATGTATGTATAATAACCTTAGATTTCGTAATTAATTTTTTGAACTTGGCAACAGTTGCCTACCATTCATGAGAGATGAAAATCAGGGTTAGCAATCAATAACTTTCTCAAATATTTCCGGAATGCGCCGTCCAATCGGGGTCTTGCTTGCGGCTTGAGGTAATCATGTCTTGTCCGACAATCGGTATAAAAAGGCTCTCCCTTAAATTTCAACTCTTTTGCCATTTTGTTTCACAATTTTCATCTGCATTATCAAAATCTCAATAACGTTGCAATTATGATTAAAGTGTAGAAAAGAGGTGAAAGAGTCCGAAAACGCAAAGGAGACATTTTACAAAAAATATTCGGGAATGGACTGTTCTTCCTTGTGCCGGAAACAGGACCTGATAGGACCACGCGTTCTGGAGATAAAGAGGAAATTTGAAAATGACTTTCGCTTATGGTTGCCAACTCAGATGAAAATAAGATACTTTTATTTTCACTTCACAATACAGGGTGACTTTTCTCGATGTGTCAATAATTTGAAGGCAGCTTGGGCAAATCGAGGGGATCATTTTTCACCAGTGAACTAATGGGCGTAAACGTCTAGGTACGGAGATAATTGGTGTTTCAACATAGGCGTCGGCACCTGCGAGCTAGGCACCCGCTGCCACTGAGGGCCACAGGACCTCACGAGAGGGTGTCGCGGGTCTAGCGGGGATGCTTCGAGTCTGGCGGAGCTGCGGTGGACCTTTCAATTGTCTTCCGGAGGGGTTGCCGAAGGTTTTAAAAAGCTGTCGCGGTGCCCTGCGTAACAGTGGATCTCGCAGCTGTCTTTGCGAGGGTCCTCTCGTGAGGTTCCGCCACCCTAAGAGGCAGCGTGTGCCTACGTCGTAGGCACGAAGGTAAATTACAAAACACTGAATATCTCCGTAACTAGACGTTTGTGCCCACTAGTCCACTGGTGAAAAATGATCCGGTAGGGGTGCCTTAGCTTCCCACACATTATTGACACATTCAGAAAACTCACCCTGTAGGTATGATGTTTTCACATCAAAAATCGTATGAAAGCGTAGGTTCGCAGGAGAAGACGTTCTGCCGAACATCAAACCACACGTAAGAGCAAAATTTTAAAGGAGAAAATACCTTATTTGGACGGCATTGATAGATCAATCAAATGAATTCACAAAGATGACGAAGAGGCGCGCCGTTAGAGGGAGAGGTGCGATTGTCGAAATCGAACCAGGCGTTGCTAAGCAGACTACACTGTGCGAAAAAAACACAGTAAATTCCGTTAATTTTTTTGCCGGGATTTACTGTAGTTCACGACACAGTATTTACTGTGCCTGGTTACAGAATTTACTGTACCTGGTACAGGATTTTTCGTACTCCACTCCTGTGGTAACAGTAAATCCCGTACAAAGTACAGTAGATCCTGTTAAAAAAGTACAGTAAATCCCGTACTCTGAACTACAGTGACAGCTGTACTAATCACTACAGGATTTACTGTGATTTTTTCCCACAGTGTAGGCGGCGGCACAGTGGGCCAGAAGACCGGTGGAGGCGGCATAAACAAGAGAGGTGTGGCCAGGAATGTGTTCCTAAAGTTCTGCGCATAGGCTAGTTCCCTGATGAAAATTCTGCCTACCGAGATCGATTGGATTACTTCAGGCTCGCAGCGGCGCCGGAGTACCCTTTGCTTGCAAACATGCCAATTTACACCGACGCGGAGGCATCCGTTCCGTAACTTACTTCGAAATGAATATTCATAGAACTTACTGTAAATGTTTATATTTACGCCATCCCTGTCACTCCGTTAACGCCCGTACAGTCCGATGATATGAAAACTCTTCCTGGTCTGGTTCCGGTTTGAGGCTTGGCAGGAAAGATTGCGGCGCTCTTGTGCCTTGGACGGGAAGAACCACCAGGCAGTTATACGAGAATAGTTTTTTAACACCGCGATTTGACAGACGAAGTCCTCGACCGGAACCAGCCTGAGAAAAAATACGAATCTTCTGAATACTCAAATTTGAGGATACGTATTGTACTCTACGGCACCGAAACAAGTTGCACACATAGGTGGCTGTTGCCTGTCGAACCACATTCCTCAATATAACGCCCGAGAAGTGTTTCTGATCCTTCTCCACGAAAATAATTGTAACCTCAAGAATTCACTGGGCTCACAGTAAACGCACTATCACTGGTAATACAAAGGCATAAAAATTACGTCCTTTAAGGCATTATTACTCTTATACGCCCTTCAAGGGGGTAAATCGTTTCATGCCACTGGGAAGGGCGAGAATGTTATAGGAATTTTAAGCAAAATTTAAATGCCCTTCCAAAAGGTCTGAACGGTTCACGCCGCTCCAGGGGCGTAAATCGTTTACGCCCTTGAAGATCATAATTTTAATGCCTTTGTTTCACCAGTGATGAGCTTTGAGCACTGCAGCACTTAACCGACGGACAGAATTCAAAGCTGGATTGAAACCAACAACGCTACGCACTTCACTTCGCACTAAATCGCTTTTGGGCCAGACGCAATCGCCCGAATTCCCTGCGAGGGAAATAACGAGTGAAAAGTGGATGTGATGTGGATGGAAACTTACGGCGTCTTTAAAGTTCACCCACCACGGATCCCGTGCTGCGATGTGAGTTGCTCTACAGTCCGACTGGTCAGAAGGAAGTAACCTGGCCCGGCCCTCCGCGGCGAAGCGCACTCAATGGGGCAAAAACATTGCGCGCTTGCAAAGTAGTTCCCACCACATATGCTTCCGTTAACTAATGGACTATTCTAGTCGTGGCTGAGTGAAGAACAAGAAGAATCACAAAAGACGCTATTTAGGGCATTTAAAGTGAATATATTTGATGAAATATGTTGCATTTACTAGAAAATATTTGAATTAACTTCTACCAAGCAAGGGGACTTAAGCATTTGAAGTAAAAGTGCAAAAAAGTACACTTTTGTGATTCTTCTTGTTCTTCACTCAGCCACGACTAGAATAGTCTATTGGTCTAGACATTTTCATTACTCGGAATACGCGTTTTTAATTGTATTTACGACTAAAATGATAAAATATACTCGAGATTTCTTGCAAAGAGCTTGCTATCTAATAGCTCGCTGCTGATGTCCAACAAGGTTCGGGAAACGCCGGGGCCGGGACTTCTTTTACCCCCACCCCGCCTCTCGGCCTCCGCGCCAGGCGACCGACTGCAGGTCCCTTTTGTACAAGTCGGACAACCACAACCACCCTTCGGCCTGCCAGCGAGCGGCGGTTTCCGCGTATGCAGCGTCCGGGACGTGCAGGCGCCTCGGCTCGGCTCAGGTTAGTGTTCCGGATTGGGTGGGCGGTCAAAACCCGATGACTCCAGGGCGACTCTAGAACTCGGCCGGTGAATGCAGTGCCGCCCGCAGGCACTGTCAGTAGGCTGGCGTAGGGCCTAAGCTATCCCGTCGGCAGTGCCTGCGGCTGGCACTGCATTCACCGGCCGAGTTCTAGAGTCGCTCTGGAGTCATCGGGTTTTGACCGCCCACCCAATCCGGAACACTAGCTCAGGTACATGGTCCGGCTGAGCTCCGGCTCGTCTCTGCTCGGCTCGAGCCCCGCGTGGGGCTGGCCTACAGGGCCTCCTGTGAGAGGGACGCAGACAGAGCGAGCGCCAGTGGCCGATCCAGAGGCGGCCTATGGAGGGGGGGCACCTGGAGTCCCCCAGTGTCCCCCGCACAGTGGGCAGTGCTCTACAAACTGAAGTGTGTACTCAGTATGCATCTACAGATGCATACTCAGCTGAGTACACATCTACAGATGCATACTTGGCTGAGTACACACCTACAGATGCATACCTAACCTCTCCAAGTATGCATCTGCAGATGTGTACAGTCAAACTCCTCGTTTCGTCCCTCTACCCGGGAGTTGCTGCGGACAAAACGAAGGACCGAGGCCGGCCGGCCGATGTGGATTAGGCCGCCCTAATACCTACCTGGCCGGCCAGCGACGGCAGGCATCGGCCGGCGGGGCGCGACCCGCTGAGTATGCATCTGTAGATGTGTACTCAGCTATACTCCGTCCAGAAAACGAAGAGCCCTGAGTTCTCGCGGTTTATGGCATCTGCCGCCTTGGATAGCATTGCAGGTAGCCCTCGACCGCGAGAACCCAGGGCTCTTCGTTTTCTGGTCAGAGATTAAGTATGCATCTGTAGATGTGTACTCAGCTAAGTATGCATCTGTAGGTGTGTACTTGCAAGTATGCATCTGTAGATGCATACTGAGTACACACTTCAGTTTGTAGAGTGGGCCAGAAGACCGGTGGAGGCGGACAAAACTCTGGACGAGTTTTGCAGGGATCCTTAACTTATCTCAACATTTAACTAACACTGCTTTCATAACGTAACATAAGACAATGTTTGTTATAGGTTAAGGGTACGGCCTTATGAAAGTACTTGCAAAAGTATATCCACACAAATTTGAGACCTAAAAAAATAACTTACCCTTTTAAAAAGGTGATAGAAGTTAAGGGTACTAACTTCAACTCTTATGATAACGTTATGATGGCCTTATGAGGTAAGTTAAGGAACCCTGGAGTTTTGAGCTCCAGAGTCGCTAAACGGGACTCAAACCGAGCGTGTGACCCCACCAATGGATTTGCTCTCCGAACGAGGAATCCATTGATTGGTGGGGTCACATGTTCGATTCGAGTCCCATTTAGCGACTCTGGAGCTCAAAACGCGTCTAGAGTTTTGTCCGCCTCCACCGTTCCTCTGGCCCACTGTGCGACGGGAGGGTCTCCACTGCGGCGGACCCGTTTTCCGGGAACTCCAGTCCCAGGAAGGACATTTTCTCGGCGGTCGATGGAATGCACTCGCACAAAACTTTTCCGCGGCCGAGTCCGGAAGAACCCAAAAGCGCCTAACGGCGGGCAGAACTGCGGCTGCGGCACACACGGAATACCAGAGGGGGCGACGACCCCCCCCCCCCTTTAATCGGGGCACTACACTCTCAGAGTGTTATTGACTTTTGAAACTTAGGTAAAGAGTATTTTACACAGCAATAAAAAGTACTCTTTCTTCAATATCTATCTAACATTTTGATCGTTACATTGACTTAAAGTCAGTTTACTATTTTCGATGAGTTAGTACGCAATTGACTGAAAAAAATAGTCAAATATTGTTGACAATTTAGTCTTTATAGTAAACAATATTGTATACATGATTACATAGGAAATACTTCATATTATTGCTGCTTAGAAGTTACGTAAGCAAAGGATAAAAAGTCAGTAAAAGAGAGAAAAAAGTCAATACGAGTCTGAGAACGTTGAGAGCCACCTGGAAGATAGGAAAACTGCGAAACAATACACCTGAAATCGGGTCAGGGCCGAATGCTACACTGTCATTCAAAGGGTGAGGCATCTCACCAATTTTCGGCGATACAACAGAACGACGAAAATGTAATCCATTCTGAACCTCGACGCAGATTTGAGTTTCAAAAAGGCATAATGTGACCAGAATTTTTATCCCGAAGTTTATATCGACGTGTCCTATTTAAAAGATCTTATCTGAGAGTTCCCCTCAAAATAGTCTTATCTGAAACGCAGGGGAATTTCACTCAGCTTGATCATTTGATACTGCTTCAGAACAGTATGTATAATTTAATTTAACTTCAACTTGAAGATGAATGATCAAAGAAGCTAATAGTGCATGTAGTAGAATTATGTTCCGCTTTCTCCTGTGTGCGTGCCATCAAACTAAGCGAAATTCACTTGTGTTTCAGAACACTTTTTTGAGGAAACGCTCAGATACGATCTAATGAATAGGACCCCTCGATACCATGTCTTACCATCCAGAGAATGCCAACCTACAGGGGTCATGCGGTTCGACCGGGGAACCGCTTTATAAGGGGGGTCTGGGGGGCGGGCGGGTCCCCTTAGTACAGGTGAAGAATCCGGACTCTGTTTCGACTTGCAATCACGTCCATTTTCGTGCTGATGTATGGCAAAGGCAGGCCAGCGCCGCAGACCAGATGGGTGTAAATGCCACACACTAAATGTTTACGTTCAATTTTGTACGAGGTGATGCATAATTTTAAAAGCCCATTCTAGTCAATTCTACGACACTACTACTAGGGATGAGTCTCCCTGGTTTTCCCCTTTCAGATCTGAGCAAGTATAAGTATGCAAACAAAATCTTACAAGAACCAAAATTTTAAACGTTTCTACAAAATTTCCAGAAAGTGTCCAAGGTCACTTTACTTTATGTCAGAATAAAGCTTACTCAATAACCAAATAGGTTTTTAATAAAAAATCATAAAATCGTGATCTTTCTACACCAAAAAAATGTTTTTACAAAGTGTTTTAACATGTGTGAGCCCCCTTAACTTTGAAATAAATAGGTAAAGTTGACCGCAAGAAAGTTATCCTTTCTTCGCTTCCAGGGTCTCAACGTTTTCCCCCAGTGATTGTTACTTGTCAACATGTGAGCTTGCCTATGTGGGACGTCAAGCTGCACCAAGAGGCATATGAAATAAAAAGTCTGGAACGAACCAATAAAACTTAGCTTTTAACTCAATTTTGACTGAAATTAATCATTAAGAAGTCAAACATAAAACCCTCAGTGCTTCTGCCTTCCATGGAGGGTTGTCACATCAATCAAAACATTGCAAGCGAATTACAATGAATTCAAACTTCATACAGGTAATATAAATAAAAAGATAAATAAATAAATGAATAAATAAATACAGATATACTACTAAAAGTCTTGATGGGAGGAAGAGGCAAGGTTGGCCAAGTTAACGAAAAAGGCAGCATCTCGGTCTTGGAGCAAGGAATATAAACCAGTCTACGCTTTCAGGAGCAAATTCCTAAGAATGCTGGCGTGGATGTTGCAGAGCTTGAGTTGCTATTTTGATGGGGAGCTGGAGAAGAAGAACCTGAAATCAGTTAAAGAAAAATGTGAATCAGACACCACAAATATGTTGTAATATTAATTTTTATTTGATGTGATTCAAAACTCCCTCCTGTGACTTGTTCTACAAAATTCTCATAGACTAGTTACAACTTCCTATTTCCTGTTTGCTAAGTTTCTCATGCTCTCTGTACCCTGCCTCCTTACTGAAGAAAAATAAATATACTCCTACTTCCGTTCTAGATCTTATCGTGTTCGTTCTTACTGTTCCCTCTCCAAATATTAATCAAGCTACATCTGCTTTAAATCTCAAATTTCTCAAGAGGTTATGGGCCCAGGACATCGCCCCAACTGCGCGTGATCGAGGGAAATGAAGATAAGAACGTAGTCCGAAGAAAAACTTCAGAAATTGGAATAGGCGGTGAAGAGGCGGTGAAGAGGTTAGGTCAACCACCACGCCACCACGCCAAAGCCAAAGAAGAGGAAGACGAAAAAAATGGTGCTCACACGCCAAGATTCGTCTGCGACTCAAACCAGCGGAGGCGGGACAACCGTAGTCGTCCAGTCTTCCCAGCACTCTCTCAAACTAAAGGGTGCTTCGAACTGGTGCGACTGGAAGTATGTCACAGAAATGCGGTTGCAAGCCCGCAAACTACAGGGTTGCATCAAGACAAGAATAAGTGAAGCTCATCTCGCCGATACCGAGTCTGCGGAGTACGAGCAGGATTTCCAAGCTCGCCTCGTAATCGTGGAGTCCCTCAGCGAGGAGCTGATTCGCCATGTGCGGACCCACAAAACTGCGTTTGATGCCTGGGCGGCGTTGTGTAACACCTACGAGGACAAGGGAGTTCACCAACGTTGTGCTCTGTACGAGAAGTTTTCAAACTGCCACCACAAGAACTTCTCTACTCTAGGCGACTACGTTATGGAGTGCCGGCACATCATGGAACAAGTGGCGTCAACCGGCAAAGTGATGGACGACGAGATGGCCGCCTGGTGGATGCTGAAGAATCTACGTGAGGAGTATTCCACCATCAGAGCGCTAACCAGTCGCCAGTGTGCATCAAGCTGCCCGACGGTCAGACAACCTTCAAATTCGAAGACGTCGCCACCGAACTTCAAAAAGAAGCACAGCGGGAGCTGGCTGAAGGAAAGGGCGGGAAAAGTAAAGCTGCTCTGTCCAACGTTGCCGGATCGTCCCACTGGCAAGGCAAGAAGAAGAACAACAGCTCCAACACCAAACCACAAGGCGGTGCACCGGCTGCTGCAGCGACAACACCGCCGTCGTCTGCTGGTGACCAAAACAAGAAACAATGGCCGCCGAAGCAGAGGACACAGTGCAAGACCTGCCAGAAGTTTCACTTGGGAAAATGCCGCTACGAGAAAACTGAAGATGGGCCTGTCTCCAACATGCCCGGCCCCAGCCATAGCGGACCTGCCGGGTGGTCAATTGGCAGTGCTGCCAAGTTTGCCGCCATGAGTGCAAAGTGTTGTGAAAAAGGTTCTGACAATAAAGTGTTGAGATGTATGTTGACTCTGGTGCTTTCAAAAGCCTGTGTAATGACAGCACTATTTTCCAGGATCTAAAAAGAAGTGAAAGTGTGGCCATAGACTGTGCGGGTAACCAGAAACTGTTCACAGCTGGTGAAGGCTGTATTAAGGTAAATGGTCCAAATGGGTTGAATTGCATTGAAGGTGTGGCCTACGTCCCAGAACTCAGTGACAACTTACTGTCAGTAAGCAGCATTTGTAAAAAAGGATCAGGGCTAGTAACGCTGTTTAATGAAGAAGGTTGCGGGGTCTACATGAGAGAAAATATTGTAGTTAGTGGGTCACCGCTCCTGCATGCAGAAGAGCGAAATGGCACATACAAGGTTAAATTCAGTGTAGACAAGTCTAAGGCTCTAAAAGTCAGTGATAATAGCCGCATATGGCACAAGAGATTGGGCCATCTTGGTGATACCAATTTAAACCTAATGCAGAAAAATTTAGTGGTAGGAATGGAGGGTGTGAGCCCTGCTGAAGAAAACTGTGAGGTATGTGTCAAGTCAAAAATGACTAGGGCTAGTTTTCCTTCCATTAAGGGTGAAAGATCTGCACAGATTTTAGAATTGATCCATTCAGATGTATGCAGTATGGGGTGTGCTAGTCTAGGGGGAAATTTCTACTTTGCAACCTTCATCGACGATGCAACAAGATACACCTATGTGGCATTACTTAAGTCCAGAACGTCTAGTGAACTGCTCGAAGCGTTCAAAGAATACAAAATTCTGGTAGAAAAACAAACTGGATGTAAGATTAAAATCCTAAGATCTGATAATGGAGGTGAATATTGCTCAGCAATCTTTGATGCTTTTCTAAAATCTGAATGAATAGTGAGTTAGAAAGTTTTGAGAAAAACAATGTGTATAAATTAGTACCCAAACCAAAAGGAAGAAATGTAATTAAGTGTAGATGGGTATTTAAAGCAAAAATAGGTGCTAATGGCTCAGTAGAGAGAGAGAAGGCAAGGCTTGTAGCTAAGGGGTTCTCACAAAAGTTTGGTCAAGACTACTATGAGACTTTTGCCCCAGTTGTGAGGTCAGAAAGTGTTCGTCTACTGATTGCCATGGCAAATGAGTTAGGCTATAATATGATACATCTAGATGTTTGCACAGCTTTCCTCAACGGTGATCTGGAGGAGACAGTCTACATGGAACAGCCCGAAGGGTTTGTTGATAAGAACTCTCCAGGTCATGTTTGGTTGCTACAAAAGGCCATTTACGGCCTCAAACAGGCATCTAGAGCCTGGAATTCAAAACTGCATGAAGTCTTAGCTGAGCTAGGCTATTACAGATCTAGATGTGATCCATGTGTGTATGTTAACAGCAATAGCGAAAATAGTTTCTGCTATGTAGCAATTCATGTTGATGATATATTTGTATTCAGCAATGATTCGGCTGAAGAAAATAGATTGAAAGGAGAGTTGTCAAGAAGATTTGCTATTAGAGATCTAGGAGACTTAAAAGTTTTAGGAGTCTCAGTAAAAAGGAACACTGAAGGTGGATCCATAAAACTGTCTCGGGAAAATGTACTTGGATAAAGTCATAAGTAGATTTAGTGCTGAAAAAGACTATGTTTACAAAACTCCATTGTTGCATGGTTTGTACCTCTCAAGGAATGAAGGTGTAAAGCCAGATGTTCCTTATCAAAGTCTCATAGGATCACTGATGTACTTGAGTCTGTGGACCAGGCCTGACATAACGCAGGCGGTTAATTATCTAAGCCAGTTTAATAACTGCTATGACTGGGGCCACTGGGAAAATGCCAGAAGGATCCTTGGTTATCTAAAAGGGACAAAAAAAATTTGGGGATAAATTACCATAAGAAAGGCTCTCTAGATGTAATTGGTTTTTGTGATGCTGATTGGGGGAATGATAGAGTAGACAGAAAGTCATACTCAGGATATCTATTTCAGATGGGGGGGGGGCCCAGTGTCTTGGCGAGCCAAGAAACAAGACTGTGTGGCTAAGTCGAGCACTGAGAGGAATATGTGACAATGAGTCTGGCTGCGATGAGGCAGCCTACTTGAGAAACATGCTTTGGGAGTTACGGGGGGGGCTAAAAAAAGCCCCCCCTGTGACAACCGGGGGATGGCCGAGGTTTCCAACCAAGGACCAAGCATTAGATATTAGATACCATTATTTAAGAGACTTGGTGAAGAAGGGAGTGATAGTTCCTATTTATGTCAATACTAAAGATCAGTTGGCTGACATTTTTACAAAGCCATTGGTGGCAACCACGTTTACAGATCTTGTGAAGAGACTGGGCGTAAAGTAAGGGAGTAAAAAATTAAGGGGGTGTGTTGTAATATTAATTTTTATTTGATGTGATTCAAAACTCCCTCCTGTGACTTGTTCTACAAAATTCTCATAGACTAGTTACAACTTCCTATTTTTTTTGCTAAGTTTCTCATGCTCTCTGTACCCTGCCTCCTTACTGAAGAAAAATAAATATACTCCTACTTCCGTTCTAGATCTTATCGTGTTCGTTCTTACTGTTCCCTCTCCAAATATTAATCAAGCTACATCTGCTTTAAATCTCAAATTTCTCAAGATAAGCAGATACAACATGTCTAATGTGAACCAACCCCCTGCCACAAACAGTATTTTGGACATTGACATTGTACTTGAGTGTCCATTGAGACCTACCTGGAGTGGTGCAGGCTGATTCGGATCCAGAGCGCAATGGACTGTTTAACTGGCCTCCTGGTGAATTATTGCAAGCCATCAATTTCTGGCGGACTTCCCTTATTTTTAACTGCAGACAGCTTTTATTTGGGAAGATATCACTGTGCTCGCTCTAAAAAAAGGACAAAAGCTTGTCAATAAATGGTAGGAACATTTTGTTTTGAGGGAGCTTACATTCAAATTCATGGTACAGAGATGACAATGCATGGATGGTAGGTACTGACCTGAAATGAACTTGTAGCAGCTGTTGTAGGGAAAAGTCCATGTTCATTAAAAAATTGCACGACGAGCTTGCGTCTCTGCTCAAGGAGCTTACGGTGTCCTTTCTCAGCCTCTTTACCAGTTCCTGGTGTTTTAGGAGTTCTCGGAGTGCTACCCTCAATATTTTCTCTGTGCTCGGCTCCTGATAATAAAAGCAACAACAAATATTAATGATTGAAAGTCAAAAATTTGTTATAAGGGGCTCTTCAGAACTGATAAGTTATCCCATGAACAAATATTCTAAACTTGGAGTAAAATTTTTCAAAAAGTCTAAAACTAAGTACTCTGCCTTCAGCACGTGCAATTGCAAATATCCCACTGATCCAATCACTTATCTCTTTGTTCAATAAACAAAGAGATGAGTGATTGGATTAGATGGAAAAATAACTCGTGCTCACTTATCCTTTCCAGCTTATCCACACGAACACATACCTCGACTAAATACTTCAGGATTGAAGTTGGGGCCGAAGAATGTGTTGCCAACAAGCTTGCCCGACTTTGGAGTCGGAGGAACAGATCCATCTGACGCCACTGTTTTGTCCATTGGACTCGGTCTTTCATTGTTTTGCACATTCTGATGCATTGCGTTAGGTGTTGCACATATAGCACTAGGCGACAAACATTCGTCAGGTTTAAATTGGGGTAGTGATGAAAACTTGACAGCGAAATTAACTTGTTCTAGCACTTCCTCCATGCCATCGTCGATAACCTTTCGGAAAAAGTGCTTCTTGGATGCTGCCGAAGGGGATGCCACTTCGGATGACGGCGTGTTTCCAATAATGGTAGGTTCAGAGGGATTCTTCAGTACTTCCGGCACAGATATAATCTGATTGTCCCGCTTATCTTCTTCATTTGCAAAACAACTAGAACTGGCAGTAGGCGCATCTGAAAACGAGAGAATGAATGAGTGAGCGCAGTGCTTGTACCTTACGGGAGTAAGGAAAGTGCACTGTGAGAAAAAAGTACGGAACATAACTGGTCAATAATTTGCCTGGAACGTCCGTACTTGCCAACTACGGAACGTTCCGTACTTTTTTTCCGTACCCATTTACATGGGTTCATATGGAGCAAGTACGGAACGTTCCGTACTTTCCTCCGTACCTCCGCACTATATTTTTCTGTACCATTTCCGTACAAAAATACGGATTTTTTTACAGTGGGACGCTTTTGACGAAGCATACCTAATAATTGTCGTCTTTGCAGAGGAGCAATGCCTAGCTGTGCAGGAGTCGGTGCAAGCACGAAAGTATTGGTGTCCTGGGGTCCAGCCTCGGAGGAGGACGGGGAGGGAAGATCAGTGGCCAACTTCGGAAGACTCCCTGGAAGCTCCTACAGAGACACAAGAAATAATTCAATTAGTTTACGTATGAGCACACGGTAAAAACGGTTCCTGGTTTTCCCAGGAACTCCCTGGAAATCGCCTATGTCCTGCCATAGGCTTCCTGAAAAAAAAAAAAACCAGGAACCGTTTTTACCGTGCAGACAAACCTAAAAAGTAGGAACGGCTTTTGTTCCTCTCTATTTCTTTTCAGCTACGCTATGAGCATACTGTAGTTTGTGTGGTGCAGTGCATTAAAACACACGTGCAATGCGTCCCGAAAATGCCCACATTTTCCGTACAAAAGTACGGAATTTTTTTTACAGTGTGCACACACTAAATGTTTTTGTACAAATTTTGTACGAGACATCACAGTTTTTTGTGCACACGAACTTTTCGTACAAATTTGGGCAAAATTTTGTGCAATTTTGTCCAATAATTGTGAAAAATGTGCAGTTTTTCGTACGAAAATTGTATGAAAATTTCGTGTGCACAAAAAACTGAGATGTCTCGTACAAAATTGTACATAACATTTAGCGTGCACCGATTTGGTGAAATGAAAATGTCTTCAAACGCATTGCGCACTAACTGACGCTATAGTCATAGCGTTTCGATTCTCAGTGCGTCGCAGCTCTTCCCCTCGCGAAGTATCCTTTTGAGCTCAGGAACCTACCTGTGTCTGACTGATGAGGGCAGAGGAGCCGGAGAAAGAAGTGCAATCCGATGTAGTGACAATCGACCCACTCCACGCGAAGGTCACCGACTGCTGGCTTCGGATTTGGCTTTGACTAGGTGAACTGTTAATAGAAACTTTGAAACAGCTGTCCTGATCAGTTGGCTTGACAACCTAAAGAAAACGCGCAAACAAAACAAAAGATCAGAACTTTTGAAAAAAAAAACGCATTACCCAACCTCCGAATGCCATAGGAACAAGGTGACTTACTTTTGGTGATATAGGTTTAAATGCGCCACCAGTTGGCTGGAAACTCGAGATGCCAGTTGGGCTTACCGGAGAGCGTTGCGGCTGAGCGACGTCCTCTGTCGTGACCGCTTTGTCGTCAATGGAGCACTCAATCTTAACAGCAACATCCAAGCCAGCTTCTGTTGTACTGCGAAGACAAAAAGAATAAAAACTAAACCCCCTAAATGACGAGTACACAACAAACGTCTCTACTTAGAAGTGCACACTTTCAAATGCATGCTTACATACATACACGTCTAGACGCATATTCGGCCACGTACACACACTTACAAATGCACACTTGGCAAGTACAAACTTACAACTGCATTCTTGGAGCTGTTAAACTCCATGGCATTTAAAAGTGTATAATCGTCAATCATGCATTTGTAAGTGTGTAATAAGTAGACTGGTCAGCTTGTGGAGTGAGCGTTTTTCTTTTCTTTTTCTTCACTTTCAGAATAAACTGACCTGGTGGTGATTGATGGTGTACTTGTGTCCACAACAGAAACTGGACTGACACGCTCTTGTGTAGACGCATCATTTTCGAGAACAGGTTCGGCGTCACAACGTGACTCAGACTCTGAATCAGTCCCCTTCTCAGGACACTTGGGGTTTGGTTCCTCGGTGGTTTCTTCACATATTACCTGCAGGTATGAAAAGTGACATTATTGACTTGGTGAAAAAGTAACATCACGGCAAAACCAAATTTGGAGAACTCCGCATGTATAGTATGAAGGTCGAATTTTAACTGCATAAAGAAGAATCGGCTCTAATCTCCTCACGATGTCTGACATGCGGTTGACGATATTTTCGGCTTAGAATTCTGTATTCTAATCCGTAAGCACACACAGTATGAACTTGGAGCTCACTATCAAGCAATAGGGGTAAAAAGTATGTTAAAAAGTTGATTTTAGTCTTTTTAAATTGACATTAGCGGAGTTCTCAGTCTCCACGCTACATTCCACAGACCCCAAAAAAAATAAAATTAAAAGGAACTTCGCATACCAATGGACCGTCTGAGAAATCTTCTTTGTCTTCCTCAATCTTTACTTCAGCAGGCGGAGGATCTAAAGCGGTCCCCTAGAGAAAAACAAAGATATAATGAGAACAATAATAGACGACAATATTGATCCATGAAGCAGAAGAAGGGGATAACTCAATTTTCATCATTTGTCAGCTGAAACAGAAAACTGTTTGCAGGGAAAACTTAATCCAATGAGATAAGTAATGCAATCGATTTTTTATCAAAAAAAGCATAAGTAATAACTGTGAAAATTTTCAAAAGTGTAACATCACTCTTTACATGGTTTCTGTGATTAAAATCTTTACGTTGGAATGGACTAAGAAACCACGTTTACTTAGTTCTCCGAAACGACCTGGAATTTGGAAACAATTCAAGAGGAGCTGAGGACTGCGTAGAGTCTATATTGCTGTGGTACATTTTTTGATTTACCTCTTTTTTCCAACTAATTTTCTAAAGTAAAGGGAGAGTTAAGTTGACTCTTCACATCAGATTCATAAAGAGATAAGTTATCTTTTGCCATTTTGTGCAAGGGAGTCCTGTGGACTTCGATTGAGTCACTTCCATTTTTCAATGAAATTTAGACCGTAAAAGGGGTCATGTTGAGTTATATCCATTTACCGTGTGGAGTTGAATCTAAACTGCTAAAAATTGAGTCAAATAATTTGGTATTCAAATGCAAACCATCCTGAGGCACAACAATGAGATAAAAGCTCAATTTGGAGATAAGTCAAATTATTCCCTTCTTCCGCTTCATGGATCAATATGTGAGAAGATTTCTTGATTAGGATGTTAATTAAAAACAGGAGTCACAAACCTCAACCATCTCATCCTCCCGAGGAGTTGCAACGACAGTAGGGACATCACTTGTGGCAGATGGGGAATGTGCGGCTTCCTCACTGCTTCCTTCAGACGCCACTTCTTTGTGGCAGGTCTCGTCTTTTTGCGAACTTGAGGACGTTTTCTTCTTTTCCTTGCTACACCACTTCCATTCTGGATGCGCCTTGAAATGAGCTTCTTTCACCTGGAAAATTGAAACAATTGTGAAGAAGCCAATTTTTAAGACTTATGGATGCAGAGACAAAAAAAGAATGTGAACGTACCTCAGAAGCCAACTCATGGTACTTTTTCTTTCCGTCACTTCCAAGAGCGTACCACCATTCACCTAGGATTTTCGATACAGTTCGATTATCTTGATTGGGGTGTCTCTCATGAACCATAGCTCTGTGTCGCTTGCTGAATATCATAAATGCGTTCATTGGACGACGGATTTTGTCCTTGGCCAACTGAAGTGAGAAATAAATCAATATAATAAAAGAATAGGCCTCAAAGCTTCGGTGTACACGAAAAAATGCTTGCGAGAAATTCTCCGGCAATGCACAGTGGGCCAGAAGACCGGCGCCAGCGGACGAAACTCTAGACGCGCTAATCACTTAACAGGGCTCGAACCGAAAGTGTGAGCCCACCAATGGATTCCTCGTTCGAAGATCAATCCATTGTTGGGGTCACATGTTCCATTCGAGTCCCATGGAGCGACTCTTGAGCTCAAAACGCGTGCGGCATTTTGACCGCCTCCACCGGTCCTCTGGCCCACTGTGCTTTGCATTACAAACTCTCTTCCAAACTATTTTGTTTGCTTTGCGATCTATCACTTAGCAGCTGCCAAAGAAATTCTTTGCAACGTTATTTACCGAGTCATCGCATCTTATTTACTACAATTTCTATGCAATGCGAAGAAAAACGTTTGCAAGAGTGTTCGTAATACATTGCCAGAGACGTATTGCGAAGTTCTTTTCTTTGCAAGCTTTCAAGTGTGAAGAAGTCCAAATCACAAGACAAACCTCCGAGGGATTTTCAAGCTCCTTGTCACTTTGCAGTGCACTGAGAGATTGGGTCCGTCTTTTCCCTGCGGTAGGGCCCGTAGTTCTATCACAATCAGGGGTGCGAGTGGAAGGTTCTGCTTCGAACGGGCCATCGTCCTCTTCAGTGTCAACACTGCCTTCCGTATATTCACCTTCGTCCTGTAAATTGCAAACAAATTAATCATCATTGTCAATAAATTGACACGAATTGTCAAGGCTGAGAGTGCACTTTAAACAAAACTTCACTGTTATTCAGCGAACATGGTGTCATATTCGATGAAATGAGAATCTTGTCACGTTTGATTGAATACGATGTAGCACTCGTTTGAACATGAGACGGACGCCTATTTGATAAGGGTGTGATTGAACGTGGATCAATTCAACCGAATGACATCGCTCGCAGCACGTTTACTAACTTGTTACTCAACTGTCAGTACTTGTGCAAGTAATTTGTGCAAACATAATACGTACATTTCGTTTGTCTAAGAAGTACTTAAGAATTGTAAAATAGTATACTGCTAATTGATTTTCGTCAATAGTTTTACAAAGGATTAGCAATACATACTTTGAAAACTAAGTATTATTCTTGCTTGAACGAATACGTACTTACTGTGAAAAAAGTCAGTAACGTGCTGTAAGCGACCATATTCAAATGAATGTGTCTAAATTAACATTCTAAAAGAATATGACGTCACATTGTTGAATAACAGTGCTGCACTTACCGATGCTGAGTGTGGCAGATATGGCTTGATTTGATACGCTCCGGCAACTGAAGGAATACTGTCCCGAAAAGTTGCTCGTGGGATAAAGGGCAGCAAGGTGTCCCACGCATAGAGGGGGGCTGGTGGGTCATCTAAGCTGAAACCTGCAAACGCGAAGGAACAAGTCCGCCCGCCCAACAGTGAAAATTAATTAAGAAACAAACAAAAGTTAAGGTGGGTTCTTTGAGTGGTAACTGTAGAGAAAAAAAGGGCCAGTTGTGAGGAGTTACATCATGGGTCGTGATATTCAAAAGCCATACGCCTTCGCATCTGAACACAAAAATAACTCAGTAAAATATCAATTACTTACCGCGGCTCTTCTCAGCGAAGTTTCTTTTCTGCAGCCGTATTACTGGTAACAGTTTCGTTGGAGACACAATGAGGGGACGATGGGCTATGCCGAAAGTCTTGACTTGGGCACTGCCAGCAAATCCCGAGAAGTCCACAGCCTTGGAAAGTGGTGAGGCAAACACACTCTGGGGCGGTTGAGACGACATTTCACTCGGAAGCGGTGCAGGGGGCGTAACCAATGGGAACACAGAGGACGCCATAGAAAAGGGCAGACACTGCAGGCAAAAACAAAAAAAGAAATGTAAAACATAGAGTTGACAAGATTCTAAAACCCCGTACACAGTGGGCCAGGTGACCAGTGGAGGCTGTCAAAATTTGAGCTCCAGAATTACTAAACAGGACTCGAGCCTAACGCGTATGGATTGCTCTCCGTACGGGGAATCTATTGGTGGATCAAGTCCTGTTCAGCTATTCCGATGCTCAAGACGCGTGTTATGCCGGTACCCGAATGAGATATTACCTGAATGAAAGGCTTAGATTCAAAACCCGGTTCTTCTACTTCTGCCGGATCGTACTTGCGCTTTTTGGGTAATTTCGCTACATTCATGAAGTCCATCCTGGTCACTCTTCCGGTGTTGTGCGCTGGGTTTCCTTCAGAGTGACGTGTCACGATATAGTCCACCGGACGTGATGAACCGTTTTCCTGTTCAAGTCAAATCACCGTTCGTAAGACTAAGATTCCCATGTTCCATGTTCCCTTGAAAATATCACCAAGTTGTGGTGACATTGTAATCATTTAAAGTAATGAACATTTCATCCACGATTTTGTCAGAAAATGGCAACAAATTTTTTACAGTGTAGATAGTCATCATGTGTGGAAATTACGCCAGAGATCTCGCGCATGACAACACAGGTAGCCAACGAATGTGACGTCACGTTCGTTTTCATGTGAAAACGGCGATGTAGCTAGAGCGTGACAAGCGGCTAAAATTCACAGGCAATGACGAATGTGACACGTCGCTCCGCTTCGCTTATTGTCACATTACTTCGGGTGTGACACGCAATCAGAAGGTGAATTGTCACATTAAAACGAATGTGACACCTGGTACGCACCGACATGTCGTATCCAAACGAATGTGACACACATGTACTGTCACGTTCGTTTCAATGTGACGTGCCCGACTTGTCACGTTCGTTTGAATGTGACATGCCATGATTGTCAGATTGGGGTGTCACGCTCGTTTCAATGTGACATGTCACATTCAAACGAACGTGACAGTACATGGGTGTCACATTCGTTTTAATGTGACAGTTCGCCCTCTGATTGCGTGTCACACCCGAAGTAATGTGACAAAGCAGTGCGGTGTGTCACATTCGTTTGACTATAACTTTTCACCGTTTGTCACGCTCAATCCAACATCGCCGTTTTCACGTGAAAACGAACGTGACGTCACATTCGTTGGCTACCAGTGAAGCATCACAAAATTGTAACTGCAACGGCACCCAGTGGGTCAACCCTTCGAACACGCGCCGAAAATAAAACAAAACCAGCCCTTACATCACTGCACTGTACCTGTGTTCACAGCAGCATAGAATGAAGGCGGTTCGTCTGGCGTCGCCACAAGCCGAATTCACTCCGATCCACGAATGTGGTTTACCACTCGACTAACTCATAACGCTGGCAGGACAAGCGCCAGGCCGCGAAGACGCTCCTTGACGTGCAGAAGGCAGGACGACCGTCGCGGAGCAGGCGAGAGCGACCGACGCGAGGACTGGACCGGACCGTGAAAGGCGACGCACTGCACTGCTCTGCGCGCTCCGCTGCCAAAATCCCCAGCTGGCCCAGGGAGCCCCTCCCCTCCTCCGTCCCGCCCCTCCTGTTCGGCCAACTCGGGCCTGCAGCCTGATTCCGAGAGTCACCTCTCGTACCTCTCGTCGCGCTGTCTCTCTCGCACTCGTGGGGCGTCCCGAGTAGGTGCGAGAGAGACAGAGCGACGAGAACGACTCTCGGAATCGGTCTACTGCCTGTGGTCGTTCCTAGAAGCGCAACGCCCTTGCTGGCTCTTCTCCCGTCGGAGGCTCGGTCTACCTGCAGGCTGATTCCGAAGGTTCGTTTCCTCGCTCTGTCTCTCTCGCACTCATGGAGCGTCTCGTCAGGGTGCGAGAGGGACAGAGCGACGAAACTATCCGTCGGAATCAGGTGGCTGGCACGGCCCTGAACCGATTGCAGCGCTTCTGCGAAACGGTCCGAGAGAGACAGACAGAGAGAGAGAGAGAGAGAGAGAGAGAGAGAGAGAGAGAGAGAGAGAGCAGACAGACGACAGACAGACAGACAGACAGACAGACGACAGACAGACAGAGTGGCGGCACAGCCCCTCCCAACTAAGTAAATTACAACAAAATTCACTTTTGATATTAGTTTTGTTTTTGTTGCAGGAATCCACAATTTTCGTAGTACGCAGGATGCTTCAATTCAATAATCTCCCGTAGAATTGATTTGCACAATAAATATCCCGAAACACACTTCAATTTCAATTTCTCCTCTAATTTCTTCCTTTCCTCACCACTCTCTTCTCCTTCTCTCTCTCTCTCTCCGCTTGCCCCGTAAGTGGCATGGTTCTTTTACACATGGATGAACTTAATTCGCAGACAAACCAGGCCGTGGCGTAATCGTAATATATTTTATTATCACAACCGTCCACTTTCTTGGAGAAGCGAGTCCTGAAACAGATTGTACCTACGAATATTTTCGCATCGTCTACAGTAGCGTGCGCAAGAGGAACAGGGGGCGGAGTAAGCGCACTACCCCCTTTTTCGGCTCACTAAACAGCCGCCTGGAAGGTAGGCAAATTGCGTCACATCCTCATGTAAGTAAGTAGGCATGGCCTGACGCCAGATACTGAAGTATCACCTTTGGATTTGCAGTGTCTAGAATTTTGCACGAGTGACTTGCACACGTGCAATTCACATAAAATTGTGCGTAAAAACGCATTTTTGCAAATTTGAGCTTAAGTTTTTGCCAGACGTTAGACAGACCTGTTTAGAATCATGCGCGGCGCACGCAGTTCAAAACTGCACACAATTGAGCGCAACGTACGTACGTAGCGCATGAAATTCGTACATTTTGAAACGCATTCACAGTTTCGTGCATAGCTTTTGCACCAAAACCAAGGGGAAATAACTCCAGTCAAATTTGTACACCACAATTCAGCAAACAAGTAAAACTCATCAAAATTTATGAAATTTCATTATTCTTCTCAAAATTCAGTAAGTTTTTGCCTGAAATTCATCAAAATTCAGCTGAAATTCATTGGATTTGTACACTGAAATTCACAGTGATTTCCCCTTGACCGCAAAACCTACGTAGTGACTAGCGTGCGCCTTGAGAAAAAAATCTTCAGCGAAACAAGTTTGGACCGCCAGAAAATGACCACCAGCTCGACGAGGAAGCACGCGAGCGCGACGGGCAAGCCAATCATGAGGACGTTGAAGCACGGCGCGATGTCGCGCAGCTTGAGCCTCTTGGGGGCGGCGGCGATGTTGGCGGAGGCGCGCGGCGCGGCGGACGCGAGGAAGCGGCCGAACTTGTAGCGGATGATGCCGGCGTTCTGCAGGCGCAAGACCCGCGTGGAGAAGGCCTCCACCAGCGGGTGGTCCTTGCTGAAGTACGTGGTGACGGGGAACAGGTAGAAGGGCGGGCTGAGCATCCGCAGCCGGCTGCGCTGCCCGGCCGTCAGGTTGACGTAGAAGGTGGCGGCGTTGAGGAGCAGCGCGAAGCGGCCCTCGCTGCGCACCAGGTCCCCCAGGCACCGCGCCGGGTCCGTGAAGCAGTCCACGATGGCGGGCAGGCGCTCCAGGCTGCCCGGGCGAGGAGGGACAATGTTTTACAGGATGAGTTCACGCACAGTGGGCCAGAAGACCGGTGGAGGCGGCCAAAACTCCAGACGCGTTTTGAGCTCCAGAGTCCAACGGTGAACCAAGGATAAAATTATTCTCTAAGCGTAAACGATTTAGACCCTTAGGGGGGTCAAATCGTTATGCCTTCGGAGGGCATTAAATTGGGCTTGAAATCCTATACCATTTACGCCTCTCCAGGCATACGTTCTGGCCCTTGCAGGGCGTAAATGGCGTAATTTTTATACCTTTGTTTTACCAGTGTCGCTGAACAGGACTCGAACCAGACGTGTGACCCCACCAATGGATTGCTCTCAGAACGAGGAATCCATTGGTGGGGTCACACGTTCGGTTCGAGCCCTTTTTAGCGACTCTGGAGCTCAAAACGCGTCTAGTGTTTTGGCCGCCTCCACCGGTCTTCTGGCCCACTGTGTGGTGGAGGCGGCCAAACCTCTAAACGCGTTTTGAGCTCCAGAGTCGCTAAAAAGGGCTTGAACCGAACGTGTGACCCCACCAATGGATTGCTCTCCGAACGAGGAATCCATTGGTGGGGTCACACGCTCGGTTCGAGCCCTTTTTAGCGACTCTGGAGCTCAAAACGCGTCCGGAGTTTTGCCGCCTCCTCCGGTCTTCTGGCCCACTGTGCGCGTGTGGCTTACCCGCTTTCCTGCTCCTCCGTGAAGACGTTGTAGATGGTCTCGTCGTGGGCGCCGACGGGGACGCCGTCGGCGACGAGCTGGTCCACCGAGGTCACGTGCACGAACCGCGGCCGCATGGCGTTGGTGGCGTACACGGAGCGGCGCACGGTGTTGACGCTCACGGCCCCGAAGGCCAGGCTGAGCCACAGCAAGCGGTCCCACCTGGACGAGGGGTCTTCAACTACCGCGCACACGCTTTACACGCTAAATGATTTGTACAAATGTTGTACGAAATTTTGCACAAAAACAGGGAATTTGTGCAGTTTTTCGTACGAAAATTTTTAGGAAAAGTTCATGTGCACAAAAAGTGTGCAAACCTTACGAAGTATTTTGAGCATACATAGTTCAAACTACTTTACTTTGTTCTACGAAGAAATAGTTCGTAACACACGACGTATTTTTCATACTAACATTCACTAATTGTTTTTTTTGTACAAATTTTGTACGAGACATCACAGTCTTCTCTGCAGATGAAATTTTCGCACAAATGTGTACGCGATTTTGTACACATGTGTGGGGGGAAATGTGCTACATATTTGTCGCACGAACTTAGTACGTGAAGTTCACCTGCTCAAAAAACTGCGATGTTTGGCGATGTCTCGTACAATTGTATAGTGAAGTTCATTTGCTACTACTCTGTTAACTCAACAGTATACTCAGTACACTCTCTTCAGCGTGTACTGACGAGTACACTTTCTTCAGCGTGTGCTCACGAGCACACTCCCACGAGCGTGTACTCAACTGCATATATATCCAGGATCTGAGCACACTCTCGTTAGAGTGTACTCATCTAAGCACACTCTCGTTAGTGTGTACTCATCTAAGTACACTCTCGTTGGAGTGTACTCATCTGAGTACACTCTAGCTGGAGTGTACTTGTGAGTACACGCTGAACAGAGTGTGCTGAGCACATTGTTGAGTTTGCAGAGTATTTATGGATTCTTTACAGTAATATACAAGTGATATGTATGAAAAATTCACAGCGTGTGTACAAATATGCTAGTAGACAGCTCCTCCCACCTGGAGGCCCTGCCCTTGCGCGCCGGGGACTGCTCCGCGAACAGAGACCATGCGGACAGCATGGACGGCACCACGTCTGGATAGGGAAGAAAATTAGGTCGTTTGCACGTCCATGTTTTATTAGAGCCATTACTGCGAAACGCAGAGCCGTCTTTGCACGCAATGCAGGAAGATTCTGACACATAGCCTTTAATTTTCATAAAAGCGCGGTGGCCCAGAAGACCGGTAGAGGTGGCCAAAATCCCGGACGCGTTTGGAGCTCCAGAGTGGCTCAGTGAGATTCTAACCGAGCGTGCGGCCCCACCAATGGGTTGCTCTCCAAACAGGGAGTCCATTGGTGGGGTCACACGTTCGGTTCGAGTGCTATTCAGCGACTCTGGAGCTCAAAACGCGTCTAATGTTTTGGCCTCCTCCACCGGTCTTCTGGCCCACTGTGCGGCGTTCCTGGCTGCATTCGTACCGCAATACTTCACTCCGGCGATGTGCGGTAGGCCATAACGCCGCCGAAATGCCAGTTGGAGGTGGTTGACCACCATGGCGATGGCCAGCATCAGGACTACCGTGAGCTCTAGCGCCGTGGGGAATCCCACTCCCACATACTTCTCGCCCACGTACACCTGGATGGAGTGCAGGTCCAGGGACGTGGATGGCGAGAGGATTGCCGAGCGGTTCTCAGTCATACTCCCGTACCTGCCTCACATGTTGTCTTAGGCGTATTTTCCGGCAACACACAGGGTTCCAGAAGACCGGTGGAGGCGGCAAACGCGCGCGTTTTGAGACGCGTTTTGAGATCCAGAGTCGCTAAATGGGACTCAAACCGACCGTGTGACCCCACCAATCCTCGTTCGGAGAGCGATCCATTGCTGGGGTCACACGCTCGGTTTGTGTCCCATTCAGCGACTCTGGAGCTCAATACGCGTCTAGAATTTTTGCCGCATGCACCGGTCTTCTGGCCCACCGCGCAACATCCGACCATATCCAAATGACAAAATGTACACTCTGACGACACTGAAACTCGAAGGGTCAGACATCTGACCGATTTTCGGTGATACAAAAAGTATGACCGAAAAACAGTCATACACTAATGTATTATGACCGAAAAACGGTCATACTCAAATGTATGACCAAAAAAAGGTCAGACATCAGCGAGACTGGCTATTGTTTAGTTTGGGGATATATCAGCCTTTGCCCGTGATACACTATT